CGTTCAAAAAATGTAAACCAATATTTCATTGTCGACCAAAACCATTCTGCTCTTGGTGTCATTGACGGTTGTATAAAAATGTTAAGAGACTTAAACCAACCACAAGGTGGTGAAGCAATGAAATGTCATATGACGACAAATATAGACACTTCTCCATGGCAAAGATGAGACAAGTTTTAAATATTTACAATACCCGTAAACAAAAAGGTTTGGGAAAACCACTCCCCTGAAGAAATGAAAAACAACCCTGACTTAGAGAAAGACTATATATTTAACAATTTAGTCAAAAGAGACAAACAAGAAAGAATGCCGGGCTTCAAACTTCAGAAAGGTGACAAAGTAAAAATAGAAATACCTAAACGCGACCCATATGAAAATACTATTGACTATGACAACAATGGGAACCCGACAGGTACTCACGTTCGTGTTCGTAAAAATAGAAGAAAGTATACAAGAGAATATTATGAAGTTTTAGGCAAACATGGCAAAATGTACACACTGCAAGCAGAAGATAAAACTACTATTGTCAGACCTCGTTTCAAACTTGTCAAAGTTCAAGGTGGTATACTTTCAAAGACAGTTCCTAACAAATATAAGACAACTCCTGACGAATATGCTAAAGAAGTTGAAAATGACGACTAAGCATTTCTATACCATGCGTAAACTGTCATGTAAGGTGGCATGTAGTCTTTACTTTGTCCCGTTGTTTGTGTATATCCTGAAACGCGATGTGTATGGTTTCCTCCTCCCTCAGTGTTACTCCAGTAACAATTTATAGCAAACTGAACGTTGTCTTTAACATCATATCCTTTACCTTTTGTCATTCCTGACCAATCCCAATATCTATGCTTATGCCAACCTGCTTGAGATGTACTTAAATCTATGTAGTGACTGTGTGCAGGTAAATTTTCACCTGAAATCGTTTTACTTCCACCTGTTTCCTTTGAAGAGTTTGCACAATACAAAAACCTGTCGACTATTTGAGTCCAAGTTCCAAAACCAAGTACTACTTCTGGATTTGTTGAGTTCATTGACGTATAAATAGAACCTATAGGATATAATGTTTGAAGTATTTCTGTCTTTAATGTTTGAAGCTCTGTTTTGTCTGCTTTCTTATCTAACATTGCTGGTAGTTCATATGCTTCAAAGTTTCTGGCATGATCTTCAATATTCCTGCAACTCTTATCTAAATTGTTAAGAGTATCTTTTACGCTTGTACTCGGATTCTCTAAAGGTGCATTTGAACCAAGGTCAAAGTTCAATATTATGTCGTCTGCTCTAACAGTAGTGAAGGATTTATGTGTATGGTTCTTGTCAGCTTTGTCATCTAACTTTTCTTGAAGTTCATTTACGTCAGAGATGTTATGTGTATGGTTCTTGTCGGCTTTATTTGAAACATCTATGTCAAGTCTTTGCAAATGGACACTATCTTCCATTAAACCTCTGGTATGACTTGAAACCGTTTGTGCCAACATATCTACAGTTTCTTTGTCAGCTTTATTTTCAACATCCTCTTTTGTTGCATATGTTGCATCTGCTCTGTCATGTTCTTCTTGAACTTTTTCAATGACATATTCTTTGTCAGCTTTGTTGTCAACATCTGCTTTCAAAAGAAGTTCAGATATAGGTTTCTCGTTTAAAGTTCCTTTTGTTGGATTTATACAGACAGTATTGTTCTTCTTGTCTTGAAATAGAAACTCATCTGTCATTGGGTTTAATGTCAGTTTTAAGTTTCCTTCTTTCAATGACTCAGATATCTTAGAATAGTTTGAAAAGTTTGTTGTGTTCTTATTTAGAGCTTGCATAATGAGTTGTCGGTTGTGTTGTATTTCTCTTATGGAAGCAATATCTTTCGACATTTTTATTCTAGATAAAATATGCTTTCAATAGAAAAAGAAAATTCAAGAGTTGCTACAACTAAACCATTAGATGAACTTTTTACTAATGTCGGTCAAAAGTTTGAGACAGAGACCGTAAAGCATGAAGGCTATCGTTTTGACTACCCATTAAGATGGTTAAGAGACCCATCTGTCACAAAAGCTATTGGCTTTCGTAGAATGAAGTTCATTTCAGAAGCCATACATGGTTTCCCATTTACGGTCGGTTTTGAAGTTCGATACTATAACAAAGAAAAACGTATGTATGAGAAATTGAACAGGGAAAACTTTTACAAGTTAGTTTGCTTGTAAACTTAGAAACAACTCTTCAAGCTTTTCAAGAAAAAATAAACGATATCTATCTCGAATATGCAAACCAGTATAACATTGACGAAGGAGAATACCATCTCGATATTATTTATGACAGGAAAAATGCAACTGTTAAAATCAATAGAATAGAAGACCTTGGAGAAAACGTTTATATTTCTACAAAATATAACAACTTGGCATGGTATAGATTTATGAGGATGTTAAATCAGCCTGCAGCATATCCAGTACACCCGGACTTTTATGAAGTCGAAAACCCTAATGGAACATATGAAAATATTTTCGACCCAGATGCTATTATTGTTCATGCTTCATTTTCTGGTGCGCAAAACTCTTTCTTATGTCTGATGAATGATTTTTACGAAAAACCTACAAAGTTATACGAACCACCAAGTGGAAGTATTTCAGACTTTCAAGTATGGTTTACTACAGATGGAAGAAAAAGAATAATTCCATTATACCATGCGTTTTACTTAGAACTTAGTTTCATATACAACTACTATCGAACGGTAAAAAATTAATTTTTTTAATACGGTTGAGGTGTTGGATTTGGTTGCCAACTAGACTGTGGTGCAGGTTCAGGCTGTTGTATAACAGGAGCTTGTTCTTCTGGTTCAGGGTCTTTAGGTATAATACCAACGAACTGACCTACTCTTTTACCAATATTTTTGACACCGTTCCATTCCTCTTTCCGACAGATTTTATTCCATTCCATATACCTCTTCCAACTCTTCTGAAGAAGTTTCCAATACTACTGAAGAAACCCATTTACTACGTGTAAAAATCTAATGTCCGCCTAGTCTCTACGTTTCCTGTTGAGTTCCATAGCATTCTTTAACTGGAGCTCATACATTCTGTTTCTCCTCTGGTAGAAAACATATTATGGGTCAACTCCTGTGTTTCGCGTCATCTGCATAAAGTTGTTTATATCCCACTTCAGGGTTTGTATAAAACTCTTTCCATCTCATATTTGCATACCATGGTGGCAAACCTAACGCAGCGTCATTTGACATGGCAGTTTGCATTTGTACATCTGTTGGCACTTGACCATAGTTTGCCATTGCAGTTTGTATTCTAACTTCATTTGGAATATTCTCTGGGTTTGGTTGTCCAGGTTGCTGTGCATTCGCTAAGTTCTGTGCGTCCATTTAATATTAGATAAAAATATCTCTTACGAGTACATATACTGAACATTTGCAGGCATTGGTTCATCTTCATATTCTCTGTACTTTTCTGCCACGTCAAATAAATAAATGACACAATGGAAAAAACCTAAAACAAGTAGTCCTATTTCAAACCACATTTACTTACTAATAAAATTTCTTTGTTATGACACTTTCTCCGGTTTATAGGACCTCTCTCATATTCTATCTTGTCATATCTAAACTCATAGTCATGTATGTCCTCTAACCATCTCATAACGGTTTCCAAACCACTTTTATCGGATGTAAAGTAAAACATGGATGGTTATGTATAACGTCTAAAGTTTCTAAAGAGTCTCTCAAAGTCCAGTCTACTTGGTATTGAAAATCCCATGTGTTATAGAACGGCGGGTCCACTATAAAGAAAACATTTTCCTTGTCTTTATATTTTTCATACAACTCTGTCCAACGACATCTCACAAACTCTATACCCTCAATATATTTTTCTATGTTCTCTTTGAAAACATTTGTATAGTTAAGATATAAAACGTTTGACATAAGTGTTTCAATGTCATGAACTCTTATAGAACCACTATATAATAGTCTAGCAGATATACTATCCCAGTCTATATATTCTGCTTTTTTCAAAACCTCTCTCACAATATTTTTCTTATCTAATGGTATACGTTCCATCTTACCTATAGGTATCTTTTCTTTTAACTCTTTCAATATATTGTTTGTGTCTGGAATATGTTTGAGACGGTCCATATAGTTGTCGAAGTCATTGCATATAATCTTTGAGTCTGGGAATATTGTATGACATAAATGGGATATATAGAAACTTCCACCGAACAAATCTACAAATGTTAGACCATTCGGTAGTTTCTTAAGTTCTCTCAATATAATATCTTTACATTTACTCTTATTTCCAAAGAACGGTAACGGTGGTTTTGTAAAATTCATTTATATATAATAATAAAAATGTTTTTACCTGAAAAGTGACAGAAAAGTGACAAAACATGAAAACATATATAATTTGTGAAAAGCTCCTGGAAGACCCGTATATAAGAACTTCATTTATACTAAACATCTTCAGGGCTAGAAGGGGCGCAGCCCCTGGAAGCCCTCCGAATAAAAACTTCATTTAGACTAAACATCTTCAGGGCTAGAGGGCGCAACGCGCCTGGAAGCCCCACTACCTTTTTTTTTAATTTAATCAAACAATTAGGGCAATATTGAGGATTTTAGTAAAAAATTAATTAAATTGTTTTCAATTTGGAAGTTTTTGATGAGCAATTGAATTTTTTTTGAAAATGTTTATTATGAATGTTTGAAAAGAAATTTAATTAGATCAAAAAGTATTAAATGTGCACTTTTAAATGGTTTTTATATATATATTGGATTGAAGTTTTTGATGAGCAATTGAATTTTTTTTGAAAATGTTTATTATGAATGTTTGAAAAGAAATTTAATTAGATCAAAAAGTATTAAATGTGCACTTTTAAATGGTTTTTATATATATATTGGATTGAAGTGAAAGAACAATTGAAAATTATATCAATATAGTTAAAATAAATAAATAAAATACGAAATGGAATGTAATAATTCAGAAAAAATTGAATTAATTGATAAGGTTTTGAAATCATTTTAGATAATGCTGAATGTATTGACGTTCGTACAATTTAAATTAATAGAAGGTTCAAATAGATTAGAAAATAGAATCAAGAATAAAACAGTTGTAACTGATATATCAATTGTCAATACCGATGAAGGTCAAGCAAGCAGAATCGAGGAGGCAGGCAGTTACAAGCTCAAGATAGATACAGAATCTGCAGCAGCCATCAAAAAAGTATACTACATTTTCACCGATAATGACCAAGCTGCTCTTGGAGATCAAGATATTGATGGTAATAATGATAAAATTAAGAAATTCACAGAAGACCAAATTACACGCAAGGAATGATACATCACAGTAGATGTTAGTGGTGTAAGTGGCGCTACAAGACATTTACATGTCGTCATAGCAACTACTCAAACAGTAGATCAAGTGACCACAGATTTAAGATCTGAGAATTCAAAAAGGAAATCAAAATTTATCCAAAAATCAGCGGTGCTTCAATTGTCAATACCGATGAAGGTCAAGCAAGCAGAATCGAGGAGGCAGGCAGTTACAAGCTCAAGATAGATACAGAATCTGCAGCAGCCATCAAAAAAGTATACTACATTTTCACCGATAATGACCAAGCTGCTCTTGGAGATCAAGATATTGATGGTAATAATGATAAAATTAAGAAATTCACAGAAGACCAAATTACACGCAAGGAATGATACATCACAGTAGATGTTAGTGGTGTAAGTGGCGCTACAAGACATTTACATGTCGTCATAGCAACTACTCAAACAGTAGATCAAGTGACCACAGATTTAAGATCTGAGGAATTCAAAAAGGAAATCAAAATTTATCCAAAAATCAGCGGTGCTTCAATTGTCAATACCGATGAAGGTCAAGCAAGCAGAATCGAGGAGGCAGGCAGTTACAAGCTCAAGATAGAACAGGATCTGCAGCAGCCATCAAAAAAGTATACTACATTTTCACCGATAATGACCAAGCTGCTCTTGGAGATCAAGATATTGATGGTAATAATGATAAAATTAAGAAATTCACAGAAGACCAAATTACACGCAAGGAAGATACATCACAGTAGATGTTAGTGGTGTAAGTGGCGCTACAAGACATTTACATGTCGTCATAGCAACTACTCAAACAGTAGATCAAGTGACCACAGATTTAAGATCTGAGGAATTCAAAAAGGAAATCAAAATTTATCCAAAAATCAGCGGTGCTTCAATTGTCAATACCGATGAAGGTCAAGCAAGCAGAATCGAGGAGGCAGGCAGTTACAAGCTCAAGATAGAAACAGGATCTGCAGCAGCCATCAAAAAAGTATACTACATTTTCACCGATAATGACCAAGCTGCTCTTGGAGATCAAGATATTGATGGTAATAATGATAAAATTAAGAAATTCACAGAAGACCAAATTACACGCAAGGAAGGATACATCACAGTAGATGTTAGTGGTGTAAGTGGCGCTACAAGACATTTACATGTCGTCATAGCAACTACTCAAACAGTAGATCAAGTGACCACAGATTTAAGATCTGAGGAATTCAAAAAGGAAATCAAAATTTATCCAAAAATCAGCGGTGCTTCAATTGTCAATACCGATGAAGGTCAAGCAAGCAGAATCGAGGAGGCAGGCAGTTACAAGCTCAAGATAGAAACAGATCTGCAGCAGCCATCAAAAAAGTATACTACATTTTCACCGATAATGACCAAGCTGCTCTTGGAGATCAAGATATTGATGGTAATAATGATAAAATTAAGAAATTCACAGAAGACCAAATTACACGCAAGGAAGGATACATCACAGTAGATGTTAGTGGTGTAAGTGGCGCTACAAGACATTTACATGTCGTCATAGCAACTACTCAAACAGTAGATCAAGTGACCACAGATTTAAGATCTGAGGAATTCAAAAAGGAAATCAAAATTTATCCAAAAATCAGCGGTGCTTCAATTGTCAATACCGATGAAGGTCAAGCAAGCAGAATCGAGGAGGCAGGCAGTTACAAGCTCAAGATAGAAACAGGATCTGCAGCAGCCATCAAAAAAGTATACTACATTTTCACCGATAATGACCAAGCTGCTCTTGGAGATCAAGATATTGATGGTAATAATGATAAAATTAAGAAATTCACAGAAGACCAAATTACACGCAAGGAAGGATACATCACAGTAGATGTTAGTGGTGTAAGTGGCGCTACAAGACATTTACATGTCGTCATAGCAACTACTCAAACAGTAGATCAAGTGACCACAGATTTAAGATCTGAGAATTCAAAAAGGAAATCAAAATTTATCCAAAAATCAGCGGTGCTTCAATTGTCAATACCGATGAAGGTCAAGCAAGCAGAATCGAGGAGGCAGGCAGTTACAAGCTCAAGATAGAACAGGATCTGCAGCAGCCATCAAAAAAGTATACTACATTTTCACCGATAATGACCAAGCTGCTCTTGGAGATCAAGATATTGATGGTAATAATGATAAAATTAAGAAATTCACAGAAGACCAAATTACACGCAAGGAAGGATACATCACAGTAGATGTTAGTGGTGTAAGTGGCGCTACAAGACATTTACATGTCGTCATAGCAACTACTCAAACAGTAGATCAAGTGACCACAGATTTAAGATCTGAGGAATTCAAAAAGGAAATCAAAATTTATCCAAAAATCAGCGGTGCTTCAATTGTCAATACCGATGAAGGTCAAGCAAGCAGAATCGAGGAGGCAGGCAGTTACAAGCTCAAGATAGAAACAGGATCTGCAGCAGCCATCAAAAAAGTATACTACATTTTCACCGATAATGACCAAGCTGCTCTTGGAGATCAAGATATTGATGGTAATAATGATAAAATTAAGAAATTCACAGAAGACCAAATTACACGCAAGGAAGGATACATCACAGTAGATGTTAGTGGTGTAAGTGGCGCTACAAGACATTTACATGTCGTCATAGCAACTACTCAAACAGTAGATCAAGTGACCACAGATTTAAGATCTGAGGAATTCAAAAAGGAAATCAAAATTTATCCAAAAATCAGCGGTGCTTCAATTGTCAATACCGATGAAGGTCAAGCAAGCAGAATCGAGGAGGCAGGCAGTTACAAGCTCAAGATAGAAACAGGATCTGCAGCAGCCATCAAAAAAGTATACTACATTTTCACCGATAATGACCAAGCTGCTCTTGGAGATCAAGATATTGATGGTAATAATGATAAAATTAAGAAATTCACAGAAGACCAAATTACACGCAAGGAAGGATACATCACAGTAGATGTTAGTGGTGTAAGTGGCGCTACAAGACATTTACATGTCGTCATAGCAACTACTCAAACAGTAGATCAAGTGACCACAGATTTAAGATCTGAGGAATTCATTAAAATCATATTTGGCAAACATGACAATCCAACTATTAATTTAATTCAAACTCCTGGAAAAGTTTATTATAAAATTCTGATACAATTGTCTTGCCAATCACAATCGATTTTCCAAGTTCAAATCAAGGATATTCGATTCTTGCTGCTAGGCAGACTTCCAAACCAGATTCTGTTTCTGGATACAATTTACATGTTCAATTTACTGAAAATAAATATTCAATGCAAATTCCCGATACAATCAAAGCTCCACTATGATCCGATATTTGTTGCTTTAATTTTTGATCATTCAATTGTTTCTGAACAAAAAATTGATAATATTATAATTTGTGCCCCTCCAACCATTTCAGATTTTAAAGATATGAATTCTGATAAAAATGTTAAATATTCAGCTGATCAATTAATCAATCTTTCATTTAAAGCTGATGTAGTAGAAGATGATGCCTCAAAGGCTTCTCCGATGTATCAAATTAACTCTCAAACACCAGAACCTGCTTTGTTAACTAAGAATGATGATGGATTTTATCAATTTACAATCAAAGCTCCATCCGAAATCCCTAATAACCAACAAATCACAGTCAAATTATCTATTAAAGATCCTGCTGGACAAAAAGCAGAAAAAGCATTAAAGATTGATGTTAAACAGTCGCCATACATAACAGAATCACCAGATAATTCTGAAGTTAAAGAAGCATATAAAGCAGAAGAGCCAATCATTGTTATTATTCAATTCAAGCATTTTGAGGAAAGGACAGGAAAATTCGAATATAAATTCTATGAAGATCAAAGTTATATTCCACTTCCTGAAAAGAATGTTAAAGAAATTTCTAGCGGTTCGAGTACATCTTCTAAGAAGCTCCTAGCTGATGATGGCAAAACATATCAACTTACCATACCAGCTCCTAAAATCGATGAAATTAGAGATTCAGAAGAAGCTAAGCTTCGGATCAGAACTGCTCAATCCGATGAACAACCACCTTCAAATGTCTTCTCTAAAGAGATTAAACTTGAGAAGACAAAATATGTTTCAGGAGAACAACCAAATCCAACATCATCTCCTTCTAAGGGAGGATTATCTGGCGGCCAAATTGTAGGAATTGTATTTGCCGTTCTTCTTGGCATTGTTATTATTGTACTTATTGTCTATTTCATTTTCTGTAAGAAACCATCAAATGATAGATCTTCTTCTGATATGAAAGAAGATTCTGGTTCTGGTGTATATGTTTAACTTCATTGATCTTTATATTTATATTTTTTGTAAAAGCATTTTTCTTCTATAACTAAAAGCATAATATTATCAATTGATTATTGTATCACCTGACAGAAAATGTTTTAATTAGTTGTGTCTGTTTCTCATATCTTAAAACAAGTTATTAAAATACTTTGTCTTAAGCAAACCTAATAATGCAGTCCACCGTTATAATCTATAGATCAGGCAAATAGAATTATAGACGGTTTTAAAATTAAATTTCTTGAATGCTAATCAGCATTTATGGCGAGTTTATATTATATTTCAACTATAGATATTAGTCACTACCACAAAATATCATATCACAGATTTTTTATGCATATTCAATTTAAAATAATCTTTATTTGATAATACGAATAAAACTACTATAGTTTTCATCTAATCTATTAATATCTCTCTTAGATCATCGATAAAATTAAATCTAAAATATTTTTCATTGATTCCCAATAAAATCAGTTTAGCCTAAGGGAGTTTGCTTTCGCATTTCTATGTTGATTACTTTCATTTATATTATTCATGAAATTACAAAAATATTCCTTGATATAATTTGCCAATTCTTAATTAAATGTTAAGTACTTCCTACATATCAAGTTTGAGCACAAGCTTGTTAAATTTAGGAACATGACTGATATTTATATATATATTTTGCCAATTTGAAGTTTACAATTTGTAAAGTGTCTCCAAACTGAAGTTTAGAGTTGGAGAAGATTTTTCTCCATACGAGATCCTTAACCTAAATACTGATTCTTCATACCCAATTTGAATCATTCGAGTAATTTACTTCAAAAACTTCAAAAATAAAATCATTTATATAAATGTTTGCTGAGAATTCTTTAAAATACATAACGTCAAAAATCTTTAGAAAAAATTTAATTTAGTTGCAATATATTATTAATTCTTGTTTGAAAATAAATATATGATAGTTAGGAAAATATGAAATACATAATATAACATGAAACTTTTCAACGGAGAAGAATTCAGAAAGTTTTCTGAAAATGATTTTCTAGATTTATCATTGATCGAAGAGAAGAATAATTTTAATATTGAATTCCAAAAATTAAAGAGTAGGGGTAATTTTAGCTAAAAGTAACACACTTGTAAAAAGTGACACACCCATGAAGGGTGTGATTACCGATCGGTAATTTCGACAGTTTAGAATTTAAAATTTTTTATGGAACTGTTGCGAGTTTCATAAAGAATTTAAGGAATATAAGCAAAGATTTGAATCAAAATCTTAGACCTAAGCCGCTCGATTCGCTCGCGGCTTCCGCGAATTACAGATCAGCAAAGATTTGAATCAAAATCTTCGAACTAAGCCGATCGCTTCGCTCGCGGCTTTCTTTATTATTTTAAATTTGCATATTTCCATCAAAAGTTCATAAGGTAAAAAATTTCGTTTATTTTTACTAAGAAAAAAAAGGTTTTTGATAATAAATTTATTTTATTTCGAAAAAGTAGCAATAATCGTAAAAGGGTATTGATAGGCTTGCTAAAGTAACTAATTTTAGCTGTCAAATACTTTGTATTTTGAAGTAAATTAGTATAAATTTGTTTTTACTTTTATTTCGAAAAAGTAGCAATAATCGTAAAAGGGTATTGATAGGCTTGCTAAAGTAACTAATTTTAGCTCAAATACTTTTGTATTTGAAGTAAATTAGTATAAATTTTTTTTACTTTTATATTTCGAAAAAGTAGCAATAATCGTAAAAGGGTATTGATAGGCTTGCTAAAGTAACTAATTTTAGCTGTCAAATACTTTTGTATTTTGAAGTAAATTAGTATAAATTTGTTTTTACTTTATTTCGAAAAAGTAGCAATAATCGTAAAAGGGTATTGATAGGCTTGCTAAAGTAACTAATTTTAGCTGTCAAATACTTTTGTATTTTGAAGTAAATTAGTATAAATTTGTTTTTACTTTATTTCGAAAAAGTAGCAATAATCGTAAAAGGGTATTGATAGGCTTGCTAAAGTAACTAATTTTAGCTGTCAAATACTTTTGTATTTTGAAGTAAATTAGTATAAATTTGTTTTTACTTTTATTTCGAAAAAGTAGCAATAATCGTAAAAGGGTATTGATAGGCTTGCTAAAGTAACTAATTTTAGCTGTCAAATACTTTTGTATTTTGAAGTAAATTAGTATAAATTTGTTTTTACTTTATTCGAAAAAGTAGCAATAATCGTAAAAGGGTATTGATAGGCTTGCTAAAGTAACTAATTTTAGCTGTCAAATACTTTTGTATTTTGAAGTAAATTAGTATAAATTTGTTTTTACTTTTATTTCGAAAAAGTAGCAATAATCGTAAAAGGGTATTGATAGGCTTGCTAAAGTAACTAATTTTAGCTGTCAAATACTTTTGTATTTTGAAGTAAATTAGTATAAATTTGTTTTTACTTTTATTTCGAAAAAGTAGCAATAATCGTAAAAGGGTATTGATAGGCTTGCTAAAGTAACTAATTTTAGCTGTCAAATACTTTGTATTTTGAAGTAAATTAGTATAAATTTGTTTTACTTTTATTTCGAAAAAGTAGCAATAATCGTAAAAGGGTATTGATAGGCTTGCTAAAGTAACTAATTTTAGCTGTCAAATACTTTTGTATTTTGAAGTAAATTAGTATAAATTTGTTTTTTACTTTTATTTCGAAAAAGTAGCAATAATCGTAAAAGGGTATTGATAGGCTTGCTAAAGTAACTAATTTTAGCTGTCAAATACTTTTGTATTTTGAAGTAAATTAGTATAAATTTGTTTTTACTTTTATTTCGAAAAAGTAGCAATAATCGTAAAAGGGTATTGATAGGCTTGCTAAAGTAACTAATTTTAGCTGTCAAATACTTTTGTATTTTGAAGTAAATTAGTATAAATTTGATATTATTTTAACTCCCTTTGAAAACCTCAATTTTCCATACAGAGGGAACGGAAATAGCATCCAATATTCCCTGAGAATGGTTGCGCATTCTCAGTTCCCTCTATATTTCGAACGAAGCTCTCATCGGTCTTTTTTAATACTAAACGTTTTTTCCCCTGTCGCTTTTAGCTAAAATTTGGGTTTGCCAAAATTAAATTCTCAGCCATACGATTATTTTTGATTCAAATGCTGTTCGGTGTTAAATGGAAAAATTAATCATATTACTGAGAATTACACTTTTCCGATATTTTTTGGGTCGCTTCGTTCCCTGACAAAAAGTCAGAAAAGTGTAAAATCTAATTCGGTAAAATTTGGAAATTTAATCAAACAATTAGGGCAATATTGAGGATTTTAGTAAAAAATTAATTAAATTGTTTTCAATTTGGAAGTTTTTGATGAGCAATTGAATTTTTTTTGAAAATGTTTATTATGAATGTTTGAAAAGAAATTTAATTAGATCAAAAAGTATTAAATGTGCACTTTTAAATGGTTTTATATATATATTGGATTGAAGTGAAAGAATTGAATTGAAAATGTTTATTATGAATGTTTGAAAAGAAATTAATATCAAATATAGCACTAAATATATATATATAAGTAAAGAACAATTGAAAATTATATCAATATAGTTAAAATAATAAATGAAATGAATATATTCAAAAAAATTGAATTAATTGATAAGGTTTTGAAATCATTTTAGATAATGCTGAATGTATTGACGTTCGTACAATTTAAATTAATAGAAGGTTCAAATAGATTAGAAAATAGAATCAAGAATAAAACAGTTGTAACTGATATATCAATTGTCAATACCGATGAAGGTCAAGCAAGCAGAATCGAGGAGGCAGGCAGTTACAAGCTCAAGATAGATACAGAATCTGCAGCAGCCATCAAAAAAGTATACTGTTGTGCATGAAAAATAGCGTGACTTCACTTTTGGCAAAAGTGACACTATTTCTGATGGTTTTGTCATTTATTTGTCAGATTTATAAATGGATAATAATGCTGTAAATCAGATATTAATTAAAAATATTTAAGATTTATGTTCGAATTGAAAAGCAAAATGATCTTTTTTTAATTGAAAAACGTTAATATCTGATATTTTGAAGTTTTTAATATTTGTTAGTATCTTAAATTATTGAATGCATACGTTTTTTATGTTCTCAATTTTAAAAAAATTGTGAAGAATTTAGTTTTTTGGAGATGGATGTTTAATATTTGTGAGTGAGAATGCAAGCAGGAGTTTGGTACTTTAAGGCTAGGTTGAGATAGATTTCCCATTATATTATCTGTGAATATATTGTTTGAAAATTCAAGATATAAAAATATATTATCAAAAAATTTTATATTTTTAAATACAATCGGGTGGAAATATAGTACAATGAGATAGCAATGATATATTTTATAATGGGAGGTAATCTGAAGATAAGTAGCAAATTTTATGCGATTTTGATTGGGAGTTGGAGGGTGTGAGTACTATAGCATGTAATAGTATCTCACACCCTCCAATTCTTCCTATGGCGTCGAAAAATTTTTGGTGAAATGCGACGACATTTCACCAAAAATTTTTCGGCGCCATATAGAGAACTATAGTCTGCGAGGTACTGATTCTATCTATGTACCTCGCAGACCATAGAACCAACAAAAATGGCTAATAATTTGAGAGTCTATATGATAATGTAAAAGTTAAAACATTCAAGTATTTAAGTATTTCTTTAAAATATTAAGTTTTTTATTTTTCCAATAAAATTCTAATATCAAATATTTTTATTTAACGATTAATTTTATTTATATTTTTATAGTTTTTTTAAGAAAAAATATTGTTAGGGTTTTATGGATTTTCAATTAATATACAAGATAATTCATGAATGTATATATTTTCAAGTTTTTAAGGATGCAACACTTTACATTTGTAAACTGTCAAAAATGAAGTCACGCTATTTTTCATGCATTACAATCAAAAAAGTATACTACATTTTCACCGATAATGACCAAGCTGCTCTTGGAGATCAAGATATTGATGGTAATAATGATAAAATTAAGAAATTCACAGAAGACCAAATTACACGCAAGGAATGATACATCACAGTAGATGTTAGTGGTGTAAGTGGCGCTACAAGACATTTACATGTCGTCATAGCAACTACTCAAACAGTAGATCAAGTGACCACAGATTTAAGATCTGAGGAATTCAAAAAGGAAATCAAAATTTATCCAAAAATCAGCGGTGCTTCAATTGTCAATACCGATGAAGGTCAAGCAAGCAGAATCGAGGAGGCAGGCAGTTACAAGCTCAAGATAGATACAGAATCTGCAGCAGCCATCAAAAAAGTATACTACATTTTCACCGATAATGACCAAGCTGCTCTTGGAGATCAAGATATTGATGGTAATAATGATAAAATTAAGAAATTCACAGAAGACCAAATTACACGCAAGGAATGATACATCACAGTAGATGTTAGTGGTGTAAGTGGCGCTACAAGACATTTACATGTCGTCATAGCAACTACTCAAACAGTAGATTAAGTGACCACAGATTTAAGATCTGAGGAATTCATTAAAATCATATTTGGCAATCATGAGCATCCAACTATTAATTTAATTCAAACTCCTGAAAAGTTTATTATAAAATTCCTGATACAATTGTCTTGCCAATCACAATCGATTTTCCAAGTTCAAATCAAGGATATTCGATTCGTGCTGCTAGGCAGACTTCCAAACCAGATTCTCTTTCTGGATACAATTTACATGTTCAATTTACTGAAAATAAATATTCAATGCAAATTCCCGATACAATCAAAGCCTCCGACTATGATCCGATATTTGTTGCTTTAATTTTTGATCATACAATTGTTTCTGAACAAAAAATTGATAATATTATAATTTGTGCCCCTCCAACCATTTCAGATTTTAAAGATATGAATTCTGATAAAAATGTTAAATATTCAGCTGATCAATTAATCAGTTTCATTTAAAGCTGATGTAGTAGAAGATGATGCCTCAAAGGCTTCTCCGATGTATCAAATTAACTCTCAAACACCAGAACCTGCTTTGTTAACTAAGAATGATGATGGATTTTATCAATTTACAATCAAAGCTCCATCCGAAATCCCTAATAACCAACAAATCACAGTCAAATTATCGATTAAAGATCCTGCTGGACAAAAAGCAGAAAAAGCATTAAAGATTGATGTTAAACAGTCGCCATACATAACAGAATCACCAGATAATTCTGAAGTTAAAGAAGCATATAAAGCAGAAGAGCCAATCGTTGTTATTATTCAATTCAAGCATTTTGAGGAAAGGACAGGAAAATTCGAATATAAATTCTATGAAGATCAAAGTTATATTCCACTTCCTGAAAAGAATGTTAAAGAAGTTTCTAGCGGTTCGAGTACATCTTCTAAGAAGCTCCTAGCTGATGATGGCAAAACATATCAACTTACCATACCAGCTCCTAAAATCGATGAAATTAGAGATTCAGAAGAAGCTAACTTCGGATCAGAACTGCTCAATCCGATGAACAACCCACCTTCAAATGTCTTCTCTAAAGAGATTAAACTTGAGAAGACAAAATATGTTTCAGGAAACAACCAAATCCAACATCATCTCCTTCTAAGGGAGGATTATCTGGCGGCCAAATTGTAGGAATTGTATTTGCCGTTCTTCTTGGCATTGTTATTATTGTACTTATTGTCTATTTCATTTTCTGTAAGAAACCATCAAATGATAGATCTTCTTCTGATATGAAAGAAGATTCTGGTTCTGGTGTATATGTTTAACTTCATTGATCTTTATATTTATATTTTTTGTAAAAGCATTTTTCTTCTATAACTAAAAGCATAATATTATCAATTGATTATTGTATCACCTGACAGAAAATGTTTTAATTAGTTGTGTCTGTTTCTCATATCTTAAAACAAGTTATTAAAATACTTTGTCTTAAGCAAACCTAATAATGCAGTCCACCGTTATAATCTATAGATCAGGCAAATAGAATTATAGACGGTTTTAAAATTAAATTTGACGTAATCTCGAAATCAATAATTTGGAATAAACGAGTGAAATGCTTGTAACATGAGCTTTGATTCCTTATATTGTGTATTTTATAAAATCACATATAAGCCTTAAGTTATATTGTTCAATGAAAGAGCTTTTTTGTAAATACAAATTGTTATTTTAATTCTGATATAAACGAGAGTGCAGCAGGATCACACCTTAGTGAGTTCTATACCAACAATTGGCTTATATAATATCAGCCCGAGAGAGGGTCAAAGTTGCTATTTGTCACTTTTCCACAAGAATATAATGGGGAAAAAGTTATCATATAGTTGATCTCATTCACTGAGATGAGAGATGCATGTAGTGTAATGGGATAAACAGTGGGATTGCTGCTCTAAGTCCTAGGTTCGAAACACATTGGCTTCATTTTTCTCTTTTTTATTGACGTAAACTATTCAATTTTTGTGTTCTCCATTCAAATTTCAGAATTTTTTTTTGCAGATTTCACGCTACATTCGAAGTTACCTTTTGTAACAACCACCACTGCCTACGAAAGACGAAAGTGTGTCACGATTTCACCCGGAAATCCGACGGTTGTTTAAGAGTATGCACTTTTGTCACCTACTCGCTGATATGAGCAATTCTATCAAAAAGTATTGCTTAATATGGCTGAATTTACATCCAATGCATAGTTATTATTACTATTTGATTTATATCATACTCTTGAAATAAAAAATTACAAAAATTTTCCTGTAGGTTTACAAACGATAGATAAAAATGGGTCTTCAAGAAAGTACACCATCTGGCGCACAAAACACTTCATACTATGGTACATCAACTCGTGACATTACACCTGATAACGCGATGGAAACAATCAGAGAAATTCAGCTCGAAAAACTCAATCAGAGACTAGCAAAGGATCGTGCTAATGAAACACCACGATTCAAAACACCTCTAAGCTTAACGAACATGTCGATCAAACATAGCGGCCAGTTTTTAGTATTTGTATGCCAAATTAAATCAGATACTCCTGGTCAAGCAGTCATCATTGCTAACGGAAAGATGAGCTCATTCAACTTTCCAAAGATCGCCGAGAAGACTGTTTGCAGCATTCCAATTCCTACAAACTCTGACTTTATGATTGAAATAACTATCGATTATCATCATTACCATGAAATTATTCCACCAAACACACATATGGTTAAGAAGCACATATACGAATTTAAGCTTCTAGACTCAGATAGCATATTCAGAGTTCAATATGTATCACAGACTGTAGTCTCAACAACAAAGACTTGCAAGATAGATGTAAATAAACCGATCGAAGTCATCGATGAAAATCTTACCGGAAAATGTCTCTTCTGCTTGGCAAATGAGGCAACTACAGATATATGCGACAAAGACCACAAAGTATACTGCGATGCTTGCAAGGAAGAAAAATCAATCAAGCTTGCAGAATGTCCATACGATAGAGTACAGCCTGTTGAGCAACCTCTCATTGAATTGTAATTTGATTGTATTTTATTTTATTGTATTATACTCTCTCGTCTATTTTCATTGATTAAATGATTATTCATTGAACATTATTTAGAATTAATGCAATTATTTTTTCATTCAAATATTTCTTTTATCTGAACATTTATTTATCCAAAAATCAGTAAAAATATTATAATAAACATCAATTTATTTAAAAGAATCTATTAATAAATTTACAAATTTTTGCTTGATTTGGAACGGCTAATAGCTTGCTTCGGTTCTGGTATGTAATGCGGAATATATACATTTGGTGGCAAATTCAGGATCCTCGAAAGTTTCTTTTGTTTTTCTTCTAAATTTAAAACCCATTCTTGGAATCTTGTTGAAGGAATATTCTCTGACATTTCCTTAAATCTGTTAGAGAGCTCTTTAGCAAAAGTGTAAATAAATTTTTGGCGATTTCCCCAACCTTGAATATTTTTATTGAATTTAAAAGCGTTTTGCCAAATTAAATTCATATCATCTTTCCAATCTTGAACTTTTGCATATTTATTTTCTGTTAATTTCCTCAAAACTTCGCGTAAGCACATTGGATTTTTAATTTTTGAATAATAGGCTGAATTTTTATCATCAACAAACTCTCTGAAGTCCTGTGATATTGGCATATCAAAAATTGCATTTGTTACTTTGATGCAATACTCTTTTTCAAAACTGTTTAATCCTTCCATTTAAACTGTTTATTATTCTTTCCGTCTGAAAAATATCAAAAATCTCATAAAGTTAAAAAAATGGGGGCGAGCATCATAAGAAAAATTTTTCGAAAAATAGGGGGTGTTAGTATACTCAACCCCCTCATTAATTATCGTTTCTAGAGGAATAGGAACAGAGGCCTTTTTTCAGGTAACCTTTAAGAAGTTTCCGAAAGAGTTTATGCTCATATAACCTCATTTCCAGGTAAATAGGGGGCATTGTTCTACTAAAAGTTTAGTTGCATACTGGCCTCGTTTCCTAAGAAACTTAATCAAGAGGCTATCTCAATAAGCCTTGACCAATAGGAATAGGATAAAGGAATATGTAATATTGAACTGCCGTAATCTTAAAGCAATAACCGATAGACACAAGCTCATCACTACTTGTTTGGTTGTTCAACGAATCTTTTTATATCATAGTACACTACGCGTATCTCATACCTCCATTCAATAGATGATTTACTCATAATTACATTTAAAACCCAAAAGTCGAAATTTTTTTGAAAATATTATTCAGATTCAACGAAAATTTTCATTGATAATACAGGCATATAAAAGTTTCCAAGATGTAATCACTTGTCTTAACAAAAAATTTCATTCTCTTTCTATAATTTGAACAAAATTATGCAACCATCAGGATTTTCGTTCAGAAATCATGTTTCATTCCTCTATGTATATAAGAAATCATATTTTCTACGGAGAAAACTCCATTTTTTATATTTTTCCTAAATTTTAATTTTTTACTTCTTTTTAATTTCCTTTTATTAAGAGCACACTATCATCCTTGAAGGATTTTCAATTTTTGCATCACAACTACATTGTTGCATATTTTACCATAACAATTCTTATCTATTGTTAACATTCACTAAATTCGTGCACACATTACTTTTTCATATATGAAAATACTGATAGCTTCTTAAATTTCCAATTGAATCTTTCCTTTTGTACATTTTGTTTGAAAATGTTATTTTTCTGCATGAATATCTTAATACTTGGGACAAATATATATATCAAAACCAAACTAATAGATTCTAGGCTCAGATATTTTCAATTTTCTTCTTATTTATTCTCCAATGTGATTATATGAGAATTCTGTTAAAACATTTCTTAATGCATGAGAAATCAAATATATTACAGTCATCTTTCAATATGCAATGTTTATGGTAATACTTAAATTTTTATCTCTTTACACTAACTTTATTATGAAAGGCATATTACAATGTTAAATTCACATCAAAATAGTGCAAAACGTATCTTATATTAATTCCAGACTTCAAAATATTTAATGAAATTTAATTTCCTTCAAAAATTAGAATAACCATTTCAAATTAAGAAAGCAAAATTATAAAGTAGCAATACGGGTTCATTTGTCTTTGATAATAATAAAAAATATTGATTTAATAAACAATTGAACTTATTAATTTTCGAGTAAAGATAAAATTATTCGAGAAAATTAATAAGTTCGTCATCTTCTATTAATTTTCACATGTTTTAGAATGTATAATCTCAATGCAACAATAATATTGGATAAAAAATTCGACGAGTAATGGTTTTGCTTGAAAAGCGTATGAGCATTATTTGAATTAATGTATATAATACAAATGTGGTTACTATAGAAGGTAGGCTAAAGAACCTAAATGCGTGTTTCGGTATTATTGATTACTTATTCCACAAGAGTGATGGTAAATCCTATTCCTGTTTGTCAAGGCTTATTGAGATAGCCTCTTGATTAAGTTTCTTAGGAAACGAGGCCAGTATGCAACTAAACTTTTAGTAGAACAATGCCCCCTATTTACCTGGAAATGAGGTTATATGAGCATAAACTCTTTCGGAAACTTCTTAAAGGTTACCTGAAAAAAGGCCTCTGTTCCTATTCCTCTAGAAACGATAATTAATGAGGGGGTTGAGTATACTAACACCCCCTATTTTTCGAAAAATTTTTCTTATGATGCTCGCCCCAAATATATTCTTATTATGAATATTCACTTATTTTCGATTTTTAAAAAACAACAAAACACATTTTTTTAATCAAACTTAACTCGAGGTTTGGATTGCTGGGGCTGTACTTGTGGAATACCAGCAGATATTCTGGATTTGAGAATGATCACTTCCTGTCTTAATTGTGTAATAAGGGAAGCTTGTTGAGCTCTAATTTCTTCATTATCAATGTAATCTTGCAGTAACTGTTCTACTTTTGATCCAAGTTCAGCAACTTTAACATCTGTATGCTCTAATATTGTTAATCTCGCTTGTAATCTTGCATTTTCAACTAAAAGTTTTTTTATCTTTTCTGTATCTTTAACACGTTCCTTTTTAAGTTCTTCTATTGTTTTTAGTATGTTTTTTGTGTCTGTTGGAAGATTTGATCGAGTTGATTGAGAATTTGAAATTTGTGACTGAGTCATTGAAGAAAATGAAAAAGATGGAACACTAAACTGTTTTGGTACAGATTTATTAATTGGTTTCAGTTGAGGATCAGAGTTTGCAGGACTAATTTGAGATTCAGAATTATCTTTAGTATTAGAAGGATTTATTGGAGAATTTACTTTGCTGTCGAGATATTTTGAGCTATTTGGTATGTCATCAAGCGTTGGTATTGGTTTAGTTGGAAAACCTGGCGAACCTGTTGGTAAATTGATGGAATTTTGATGATCTTGATTAAAAGACGACATATCAAAATGAGAAGAATCGTTTAAACCGCTAAATGATGCATTTTGTTGATTTGTTTCTGGTATTTGTGAATTAATTTCTGATTTTTCATCTGTTTGAGGGTTTTGTTCTATATTTTGACTAGTACTGAGATTGGAAACAGAGTGTAAATCAAATTCGTCATCAAACTGTTTAAGTAAATCCCTTGCTTGCATTGTTTAAAAATTTGAGAACTTTATATGTCAATTTATACTTTCTGACATTGTAAAATTCTCAATATAAAAAGTATTTATTGAAAAAAATGAAATCGTCTTTATCTGACATGTTTATTTTTTAAACGTTCGCTTAGTATGAGTAAACATTATCATTCCCTAATGAACAAGTATGGGTCATTTTAACCCATAAATATCCCATTTGTCAAAATATTTTGCCATTTTGAATCAATATTTAAATACAAATTTGGTATTTGATTATTCTATCATATAATCAAGAGAGATATAATTTTGCATTTTGAATTTAATACAATAGAATCAGTATATCCTGATAATAACAATGAATTACAAAATAAAAAAACATAAATCTTCTCTATTTAATCGGCCAAACATCAAAATGATATGAGTATGGCTTAATATAATAGAAATAGAATATTATATATAAAGAAAATAAATAAACACTTTAAATAACAAATATATTAAATCGAAACTAATTAAGCGCGCGAATTTCACGTGATCCTTTGCTAGTAATGCAATGGATAACAATAAATATAGGTGTTATGATCGAAGTGAACAAAATTAAACCATATTGCTTTGCAAGCATTTTTGGCGGCATCCAATTGACTTCTGGCTCTTTATTCATGTCAATATCGATTTTCGTTGGCTCTGCGAAGAATGTTTCTTTCTTCTGGACGAGATGAGGATTATATTCCAAAATTAATTCCGGAGGATCAGTTGCTGATAATGCGTAGCATCTAAACTGAAGTGGATCTCTCAATCTGTTAAGGTTTGGATTCGTTTGTTCAAACTTACACAAAGTTATTTGTATTTCTTCGTAAGAACCGATTTCCAAGAGAGATAAATCAAATCTACAGTTAGAGAACAATATACTCTTAGCATTAATGATCTCTAAAAATTGAGGAATTGAATTTTTTGCAAATGTAACCTTTTGAAAAACAAAATTTTGAATGTTTAAGTTAATCATTGGAGAAGCATCTGATCCAGAATTATTTATTACATTGCATGCGTTGAGTTTTGATGGATTTATAAATTCAAAATTAAATAAACCATTTCCGAGGTTATTTGCAATAGAAGTAAATCCTAATTCTGCATGTAAACACTCAATGAATGTTAATCCACAGTCAAATAGTACTCTTCTGTTACAAGATACGTTTGAATTTTGAATTCTTATAGGGCTTTTGTAAAATTGTGTTGTAGTAGATACAAGATCGTTTTTCTTCATTCCACATTCACTTATTATACTATCATCAAGATCTATTAAAGACGCTGAAAGGTAAAAAGCTTGGCAACCTCCCATGGCTCTGCTATCTTCAAAACATGTCATGGAAATGTTAACACTTTTACAATTCATATAAATGCACCCGCCTTTTTGAATAGATTTGCAATAAATGAAGCCAGATCTGATAATAACTGCATTTGTTTCATTATTTTCGCATAATAATGCTCCGCCATTTGTCGAAAAATTCTTACTGTCAATTTGAGAGAACACGCATTGAATGATTTCGATATTATTATCTGTTATGTTGGTAAATTGATCGATTTTTTGGATTTTTTGAGAGTATTCGGATATAACTATTGCTGGGGATAAAAGTTTATTAAATTTCATTTGAATAAATTTCGAATTCGGATGAAGAGAATAATAAAATGGAGAAAAGCTACGGAAATATTGTGATCTTGAGAAAGTATGGTGCATATAATTTCTTGAAAAACTATCAACAAAGAATGGCGAGCTACTTAACGATTTTGCTGATAGAGAAATTATACTTAGATTCATAAAAATGCCCATCTTACAACAAAAATCTTAGCTTAAAATGTTGTGAATCAATATTCTATTCTTAGATACCAAATTAAATGATTTTTATCAATTCTCAAAATTTTTTGTTCATAGATAGCTTAATTTGAATGTGAATCTCAGTTATATATTTCAAGATATCTGATTTAAATAAGAAATTATCGAAAATCACTTTTATTTTGATATTTTTCGAGGAATTTAATTCTGAATGAGTTTTTAATCACTGAGACATCTTCTATACTCTATGCTTATTTCATTGCATCATAAGTCAATATTCAAATTCAATTGTTTGCCAAAATCGTCGGAAATTTTTTGAGATTCAATACTTTTATCAGTGATATAAACACATCATATGTGTCATTTGAATATACAGCAGAAATCTTCGAAGATTTTTTTTCTATAGTCGTAATTAATGTTACCGGTGAATCAAATGGGTAAACCACCCATGAATATGGGAAACAATATGGGTGCTCACCCGCCGCCACAAGTTCCTGACGATAAGAATGTTATGGAAAGATTATCACGACTTATTTCCAATTTTAATGACGAAATCAAGTTAAAAGCGCTATTTCGATTATTTGAGTCGCTAAATGATATAGATGAAAAGAGATTTGATAGAACTGAATCAGAACGTAAATTTATAGAACAACTTCAAAATTTTCGACGTATGTTTCCTAGTCAGAATCCACTATTCAAAAACATTGGTTATGTGGCTCAAAGAATTAACAAGGGTGGTGGATTCTTTCAACAAGTTAATCAACCTTCACTTCCACAATTATTCAAAGCAGTACCAGAGATACCACCACAAATTAAGATTGTAGCTTTACATCCTACTGATGAACTTGTTACTCCAATAGATTTAGTAAATTCAGAAAATTGCGTAGTAATAGGAAAATTTTTCGCACTAACGCCATCTCAAAATCAGCAACAGATGCAACAGCAGATGCAACAACAAATGCAAAATCAAATCAACCCGATGAATCCTATGAATCCTATGAATCCAATGACTCATCATCAACAAGGACCTCCAAATAACAATGCAGAAATAGTAATGAAAGAAGGAAATGTATGGGTAAACGGAATGCAAATAGAACCAACTGAGATTAACAACGAAAAAATTTACATTTTATCAAAAAAGCCAAGTACAGAATCTTTCAGTCTTCGAGTTTCAATAGACCATCCACCACAGCAACCACTTTCCATCTTTAATTGGTTTACTTTACAATACGTAAAACCTGATCCAAAATACCACGCAAAAATCAAGCATCCCAACTGTATTGTAGACATTGAGAGCATATTTAGTAAGCATACAACAGAATGCCCTCAATGCCACCGTCCATTTCAATTTAAAGACGTAGAATTCGAAGAAGGTCCATTACGAGCAAATAATCCACAAAATTCAATGAATTACAAGTACACACAGATGCAGCAAGTATCATGGCAACAACCATACCAACCACAGCAACAGTATCAACAGCAATATCAGCAAAAACCACAACAATTACAACAGATGCAACAAATGCAACAATTTCAACAGCTTCAACAGCAAAATCATATGCAGCCACAACAGCAATCCATTCCTCCACCACCTCCTGCTAATCTTATGGGCCAAATGCCAATGGCACAGCCACAAATGCAAATGCAACAAAATTTGAATTTCCAAAATCAACAAATGGCACAACAAATGCCTTACGCGAACCAACAAATGCCTTATGGTATGAGAGGACCTGTTAATTTCCAAAATTCTAATCAAAATACCCCAATTTCAACTCCATCACCTTATCCGATGACTCCGATATCGCAATACCCTCAATTACCTCAACCACCAACTATCCAACAGCCACCTCCGCCTCCGCAACCTATTAAAAAGGAAGAAAAACCTGAAGTTGATGTAAATATTTGGAAAGATCTTCTGATTACGGTAAAAGGAGCTGATCTACCACCATTAGTACTTGATAATGACTACGAACCTTATTGGAATAGGCAATATCAAGAAAATATAGATGATACTTTAGATATGACCGATATTTTAATATAGCTTGTATTTTTTAGATTATATTTCATTTGTTTTAAATCATGATTATTGAAACTCTTTCATTTTTTGTAATATTAAAATTAAAATTTTTTATTTTTATGTAATTTAACTTAAAAATCATAAATTATAATTCTCTAGTTTAATAAAAGAGTTAAATCTTTAAGAAATGGTTGAATTCAATAATGAGAAATACAATTTTTTATATTTGTAATGGAATTAAACTCATTGGCCTGGGATTAATAATATACCAATGAAATCATTCATAAGCATTCATTCCCTGACTATGTAAAAGATAATTTATATTAAAATTTTTATATAATTACTGGTGAAAGTTGTATTTTAAAGTAGAAAAAGAAATAAAATGTAGAATAAAAACGCTCTATAACTTTATTAATGATTCTATAATGGTGAATAAAAATATTTGTCTTTTTGAAAATTTTGTTAAAATAAGTAAATTATTTCTTCTTTCCAGATTTCTTCAAATCTCTCTTCATTTCAAGCTTGTGAGCTCTCTCCTTTGCGCACTTCTTTTCGAAAATTCCTGTAAAATGCTCTTTCTTTTTAAGCTTTCTGATACTTGCTTTCTTAGCTATTTCAGCCTTCTTTGTCATCATTTCGATCTCAGTCAAGTGTTCTGAAGCAAGAATTGGAACAACTCTAAGTTTTTCTTCAGTTTGTTGTACTGCAGCTCCCTCACCATTCTGGTTTTCCTTTGAAGCTGCTTGCTCTTGAGCATCAATGTTGCTCAAGGCATTTGCCAAATCAGCAAAGTCATTCATCAAAAAGTGACAAAAATGAAACCTTTTGCACGTGTAGAGCTCGAATTCTGCAAAGAGGTTACTAAAAAATTATATAAACATCCACTAGCACGCGCCTTTATTCGTCCAGTTAATCCAGAACTTGATCGTGCAAATGATTATTTCCAAATCATCCAAAAGCCAATGGATCTCGGTACAATTCAAAGAAAATTAGATAAGGGTGAATACGCACATGTTGATGAATGGCAGCAAGATATTAAATTAGTTTGGGATAATGCAAAAAGCTATAACAACGACAAGAAATCTCTTCTTTACAGAGCAGCAGAAAATTTAAGCCAGAAATGCAATAAGATATTCAAATTTATACCTAAAGATGAAACAGAATATTGGACACTTAAATTAGCAAAGGCCAATGCAAAATTAGCGAAGTTCTTTGATAACGCTCCACCAGAGTTGAGCACTTATCCTCGCGCACCTCAAAACGCTCTTATCGAAGAACCTCCTAAACCTACAACAGCAGCACCAGCAACAAACAACACTGCTTAAAAGGAAAGTTCAAAACCATTATATTTGCTATCATATACTTATACTATTATGATTCTTAACTTATAATATTTATGAATAAAATGTTTTCAGATTTTTTTGGAGAAATTCATATACTATTTTAGTTTACTTTGCTTACATGAATAAGTCTAATAATTTATTTTAATTAGATTATATATTTCTTAGATATTTCATTTGATATGATCTAATTTAATGCCAATTTTATAGCATAACTTAGTAATTTAAATTTTTATGTCGTTAGTGCTCATAGTTCAGAATGGAAATACAATCTGATGAAGTGATTTCAAATTTCAGATTGATCTCTTCAAAAACTAATTCTTATCATTGTCATAAGCTTTTATGTAGATTCCAAGAAGCGACAGCTTAATTTAAAACCAATGGATTTAAGAGTGACAGTAAAAAATATGGTTTCCGTTTTGAAATTCGATGTTAAAATAACCTTATTTTATCGTTACAAATTCATTGAAAGGTGAAAGATTTTTTTATTATATTTTTTTAATGAATAAAAACTTAATAAATTACGGTATTGAACCAGATTTTCAGCTTAACGTGTTTACGGGTCCAGTAAACAGCGTGTATATGGTCAGCGATACTGAGTATGTGGCTTCTTCTACGCGTGAAATTGTAAAATTTGAAGGGTCCAACGTAAAAATGACAGGAAACTTTCAATTTGACTGCTCGTGCTTTGTTAAGCCAGCCGAAGTGATTGTAGGTATTTCATCGCGAGGTCATGAATTCGTTGTTCTCCCAATTAATAATTTTGCAAAGCCAATTATCGAAGGTATGCCAACAAATATGCTTACAGTTTTTCATATACTATATTCAGAAAAATCAAGCGTTCTCATTACTTTAGGAACTGGAATTAAAACGTGGAAATTTGAGTTTCCAGAGCAAAACTCAATTCTCTCACATCGTAGAAATGACATCAAAATTACTCCAATATCAACATTTTTATCTACTTATGACGCTCCAATTGTTAATATGCCGCCATTTAATTACATCGATGAGGAGTTATTGCTTCCCTCCATACAAGGATTGCAGTACTTCAAAATTAATGGTAATCAATCCCAGCAGGCAACAAAATTACCAGTTTCCAAAGTTTCAAATTACACTTTATTCGAGAAAACTCGAAAGGTTCTTGTTACTGAGAACGGTGATGTTTGTGTCTGGAACAAATTCCACAATTTAACCCATAGACATACATTTTCAACAGAACTCATTACTTCAATTTTTATGCCTGATAAAGAAAACGCAATTATAGTTACAGGATCGCTTAATGTTTTCATGATGAATGTCAAAACTGGCCGCTTTTGGAGATGCGGAACTTTGCCGCAAACTCCAAACAAAATTTTCCAGTTTCCTAAGCGTAAAGAGGTTGTTGCGATGACATTCCTCAACACTCTGACATTCTACAAGGTCAACATACCATGGAAACTTTGGGCTGCCAGTATTTTGAAATCAAAAATTTTACAACGAGTGTCAAAACTCAACGAAGCAGCTCGAATTTTAATCATTTCGGATAGTAATTTCATCAAAATCTACAGCCCGCGTACAAAGACGCAAGTAACTACAGCTTCTCCTTCTGTAGCCGGAAATATTATTTTTCCGTTCTACGATAGAGGCTCAAAATTGGTCAAAAAGGACAATTTATTCACAATTCTTGCAAACGGAGCCGTTCTTGGCTTTGAAACTTCAACAGCTCCTTCTGTCGAGTTCATTAACGTAGAAATGAAAGCGACATCGATGGTAAAGTTCCAATACCATGACAGAGACGTATACGGTATCACAGTTTTAACAGGAGATCTCGTTGTCGTTGACCCAGATAATTTTAATATTTTACAGTCCATTCAAGTTTCGTCATCTCAGTCACCAGTTCGCAATAGTGTATTAGGGGCCAGTTACATTATATGCTTCACTGATGATGAAACTGTTTTAATTGACTTATATGATTTATCAATCGTTTTAAGAAAGAAGTTACTCATTAATGGATGCGTAAAAGCACGTAATGACACATTATATGTTGGAAAAGAAAGCGGAAATATCATTCTTTATGAAATAAGAGGCGCAATAATAAATGAAATTCCTCCTCCGTTCAGACAACATAATTTAGCGGTTACGGCGATCGAGTTTGGCACTGATTACTGGATTTCCGCAGCTCTGGATGGTCTCCTTAAGTTCTGGGACTATAAGAACGAAAATTTGAAAACGATCAACTTTTTCACTCCTTTGTTTTCCTTGACAATAATGAATGGAATGAGAGACACATTGGTCGGTACATCCAATGATGTCATGGTTGTCCCAGGAACTGTTGTTTTTGGAAATATCACGGATAAGGAGAACAAAGATATCGACAACTTCGATAGATATGTAGATGAATTAGCTCCTGACTCCATCAAGAAGATAGCAGAAGAGGAAAGAAAGCGTCAAGAATTGGAAAGATTGATGAGAGAAGAAGAATTGATGCTAAGAGAGCCTAAAAAGAAGAATAAGATGCTCCAAGCGTTCAGAGATAAGCTCCAAGAGAGGGAAAATGCAATGAATGCTGCTCAGGACAGTAAAAACCAGGAAGAGGAAGAAGATTCGGACAAAACTGACGAATTTGGCCACAAAAAGAAGAAAGTTTATGACGAAGAGACAAGAAAGAAGATGTTACAAGAGATGATGAACTTCGGAAGCGAACCACAACAACCAGAAACCGTGAAAAAGGAAAAAGTTAAAAAACAAAAAACAGAAAATGAACAAAAAGTTGTTCCAAAGCTTCCAACAACAGAAAAAACAGAAAGCAATGCACCAAGACCAGCAGCAAATCCACCGCCAAGGCCAAATATCATGAAATTAATCGAGGAATATTCTCCTGAAAATAAAAGTGAAAAAAGTGAAGTTCCCTCTGTCAAATTTTCGATGAAACAATCGAATTCGAACGAAAACCTTCGCGTGAAAAGTGATACTCCAATAAAGAAAAAGAAGAGAACAAGTTCTTTCAAAAATAAAAATGATATCGAAATGGAAAATCAAAATCAATTGGAGAAAAGTGAAGTGACCAAAGTTCAACTTGAAATTCAAGAAAAAGATTTAAATGAGCAACAACAGGAAGAAAATGAAGCAAAAAGTGATGTCACATTTAGTAACGATGATGAAGAAGAAAATTACAGTGAAAATACAACAGAAAAACAACAAGAAACATCAGAAAACAAAGAACTTATAGAACAAAAGAATGAAATTTCTGAAAAAGTGATAGAAAAATTGTCAGAAATATTGTCAGAAAATTCACAAAAAACAAAAGAAAAATCACAAGATTTACCAGAAAAGATTTCACAAAATGTCTCTGATAAATCAGAAATTCCTAAGATTATTTCCGAGAAAATACCAGAAAATATTAATAATTCTACAGAAAAACAACAAAATTCTGAAAATCTGACAAATAATCAACAAAATTCTGACATTTTGACAATTACAAAAGAAATTCTGCCAAATTGACAACTGAACAACTCAATTCTGACAATTTGACAATTGCACAACAAAAATCTGTAAATATGGAAGATAAACAAAATATTTCTGACAAATTAACTGATAATGTCAAATCACAAATTCCAAATATTGTTTCTGATTCAAAACAAGAAAATATCCAAAATAAACCAAAAAGTGACAATGATCCAAAAATTTTACAAATTAATTTACAAATAAATGACACTCCAAAGCAAGATAATGAGATAGTTAATGCAAATCAAATCAAAGAAACAAAGACAAATGATGATACAAATGAAGAAAAAGTTACTGATTTCAGTCAAGTCATTAAACCAGAGCAAAACAATGAGAAAAAGAATGAAAAACAAGTCAAAATGCCGAAGATGCCCCCTTCTCCACCTCCAAGTCTTCAAGTACAAGATAAACCACAGACAGCTCCAAGAAGACACACTCCTTCACCTTTGTCATCAAATATTAATAATTCTTCACAACAAAATCAAGAAAAACAAATTTCTCAACCTGTCAAAAGTGAAGTGACTACTTATAATGATGTTGATCTTAAAAGTGAAAGTAAAAATAGCTCATCATCAGATATAAGAGTTACAGAACCAAAGTACAAAGTTGAAGATGACATTCCGAAAGAAATTGAAAAATCTCCAATTATTTCTAATGATGAAAATTATAATTTTGATAAAAGTGACAAATTCATCACTTATGTCAAATCAGAATCAGAGAAACTGACAATATTTGATGATGACGAAACCATTGATGTTCCGAAATTAAACATCCATTCACCAGGTAACCGCAATAACCGTCATTTGTCATCTCACAAATCATTACCACAAGATATGGAAAAAACTGTTATAGAAAGCGAACTTTCTGAGCCAAGAAGTGCCAGAGTTGCATGGACAAGAGCTCTTCTCAATGCATCCCCTCTTGCAGAAGTCCCTGTTCCTCATTCCGCGAGAAAGAGAATGAGTTTGGATCCAATTGCCGTTTATCAAAAAATGAAAAATGCAAAAAGTGACATCGACATTGATCCACAGATGCAACCGGTCAAATACAGGCAGAAATTCTTTAGAAGGGATAAAGGCTTCATGATGACAATGAATTCATTAAAGACAACAGCTTTGCCACGTTTATTTCCTCCCTCTGAATTTTCTGACGCTGATTCAGAACATTCTAGAAATGATATTGATTATTTCTATTCATTAAAGAGGAATAGAAGATCTCCAACACCTCCCGTTGTTTGCAAACATGCTTTGCAGATTAAACCTGACAAGATAAACAAACGTCCAAAGACAAGCGACAGAAAGAACAATTCTAAAGCTTTGATGGACAAAACAAGCCTTGATTACCAAGAGATCAATGAATTGTACGGTCGTGGACATCACGAACTACAACCTATTATGGAGAGTTCTTCTGTTTATAGCGATTACGATGAAGAAATTTCTCCTTCAACTCAGAAAATTAACAAAAGAAAGACACACACAGCAATTTACACTTATTATACTGTTGAAAGCAGAAAAAATAACGGAAATAGATTGGTGGATTCTTTGATTATTCAGCCTTATAAAGTACATCACCAAGAAATAGAAAAGAGTCCTCACGCGAAGATAGTTGTTCCTTCTAAGAAATCTTCTCGGAAATAATTTTTTTTATTTATTTGTTATTTTTTTTATATTTTTTACGATACTAAATTTTGTTTGTTATGATTAATTTTTATATATTTTTAATATGAGGAACATTACTAATCTATGCAATGTATCCTTTCTTGTGTAAATAGACTTATAAGGCGGTTCTAACAATCATAGTCACTCATTTAAAAAAAGTGTTTTATTTTCAAAAAGCAATGACGAAATGGTTAAACAGATGCATTGCATATTTTATCATTTCATAGGAAAACTCATAGAATCTTAGTAACCTTTGTTTGGTTTTTGATTCTAAATGATATGATCAATGTTGATTCTATATTAATCTATAAAAATCTTTGTAAATATCATTTTGTTTGCCATTGGAAATTTCTAGTAAAGCTTATTAAATCCATAAGAATAAATGTTCACAGTTCCAGTTATATTGAGTGTCATCTCAGGAATGAGTTATGTTAATTGAGGGTCCAAACATGAATGCCCCTCAAATAATATGATTTGTAAAAAAAATATAAAAATGGATCCAAAGGATTATCGCAAAGTTCATAATGCTTTAGAATCAATAATGCAACATCATGGAGCTTCATTATTTATCACTGGTAATGGTGATCCTACACTCAACACTCTTAGCAACGTTATGAGTTATTTGGAAGCAGGTGGATACAACTCTGCAACAGCATTTTCTCAAGCTGTTGATTCTATATTTAATTCTGCATCAAAATTATACGATGATGAATACGCCGAAGACTTCGGAATTTATTTCAAGCAAAAGTTTCATAATTATCTTGTAAAGGATTCTCCAGATACAGTTGATGCATGGTCAAAGCGTGTTGCACATCTTGAAAAGAAAATAAGCGAATTAGTTACTCAATCTCCAATTGATGCAAATTATGATGCTAAAAAATTTACAAAAGATCAAAAAATTGCACAACAACTTACATCAGAACGCGATATGTCACAATTTCTCAAGGCTATGTCTCAAATTAAAGAACATAACGAGCAAGAAGAGCTAAAGAAAATTGTTGAAGCAGAACAACCAGAATTACTTAAAGATGGACCATTCTCGCAGATACCTACAATGAGACTGAAGCCAAAAACAGTTAAAGCTCTAATTAAAAAACTAAAGGAATTTTACAAAGCACAAGGATTAACCTTTCCATCTAATTGATAACCATAGAGTAATGTTTTTAGCATTCGATATACTTAGATTATATATTTTCAAATTTTGTTTTTATAAACTATACTAGCTTTTAAAATTGTCATTATTTTTATGACCTATAAACAACATAACTGAAGGACATTTCATGTATACTAAAATGCCCCTTAAAAACATTTTGTTATATAGCCAATATGACTTCTTCGATTCTGGAGCTCTGATTGATATGTTTAATAATTTCTATTTATGGTATGACTGATCAGATATGTATTGATTATTTTCCCCTCAAAATCACAAATTTCATCGATAAATTCATCGCCAAATGACAAAATTATTGGTTAAATATTCAACAATCAAATTTTAATATATTTTGTCCTATTCATTATGCAGTGAATCAATACTTTTTGATAAAAATTTACCAGCTTTTTCAATTTCAACCATATGGAATTGTAAAAAATGCGCTAGATAAGATGTTGTTTAATAATCCCGACTTGAGAAAACGCAAAATTTTGATCAAAAATTGCCATTCGTTGTAAAACAGAAAAAAAATTTAGAAAAAGATGTCTGATGATTTTACTTTTGATGATTTTGATTTTGATAACCAAGGGCAGGGGTCAAATCAACAGGAAGATCAGACAGACCTCTTTGGTACCGGAGAAACTTTTGCTCAAGATTTTTCTTTTGATGAAGTAGCTAGAAACGACTACTCTTCAAGTTTTTCATGCGATTCTAGTAGTATTAACCAAAATTATTCACCTTATTTCTCAGAACCATTCCGAAATCCAAGAATTCAATCTCAAGGAATGTCAGCAGGTTTATCGCCAATTGATATGAGTGCATCACAGTCAAACATCCGTATGCTCAATTCTCAGCAAAGACTACGAAGCTTTAATGGTCTTACTTCTCCAAATATGGTTCCTTTATCAAAACGACCAATACATCAGACTTTACCTTCCAAATTTTGCGCTGCTGCCATGGATACATTCATTCCTAGAGCAAAACGTAGCAAAAGAGCTGAAATTTGGCAATCAACAGATCCAATCTCAGCCAGAACTGATGATCAGTTCAATTCAATCTTGCAAACAAATTCACATTTTATTAATCCATCGCAATGCGGTTTTATACCTTCCCTTTACTGGCCAAACAAAGATTTTTTGCTTGGTGATATCATTTTAGATTTCTTCCAACGAAAAAGCAATATAAATTGCAGATTTATTCACAAACTATACAATGCACTACGAATAGTCCAAATTTATCCAATGCTGAAAGAACTTATTGGTATTGAATGGATAAGTCCAAATATTTTGAAGGTGAGAAAGTGCTGCTTCGCCAGGTTACTCGGAATCAAATCGATTGACGGCGGTCTTTTCCATAAACAAGGAAATTTCCCAAGTTTAGGATTTCGTGAACTGACAATGGACGAAGCAAATGTTTATTGCCAAGGTTTGGACATCTCTGATGTTGATTATGAGAACGTAAAACTCTTGGTTCATGCTCCAGGACAAATTACTGCAAATTGGAATGAAAAACTAGTTTTCGGTATGACAAATAGTGTCGTCCCAAGGGCTTGATATCTTTATCCCCTTATTTTCTTATTTTTATTTTGTTTGTATATATATTTTAAAAAAATACTAATTTTGTTTTTTAAAACACCTATAAAATTTGTTAATTTTTTGTGTATAGTATAAGATTCTGTTCTAAGCCTTTGAAGCACTGAAATATAGATTGCAAATTTTTCTAAAAATTATTCTATAAGAACAGCTCATGCTCAGATCACATGGTTCAATATCTTAGATATTTTACCGAAAAGTCAGAATGTTAATTCGGTATTCTTCTATACTTTAGATAAATAATTTTGCCAAAACGAGTAGATGTTTCTTTAAACCATTCAACATTGGTTGATCTTTTGAAAGAGAAGACTCGTTCGGCTGAAATTGTCTAAATTCATCATTTTTTCCTCAAACTGATTTTTTGAATTCGAAATGATCGTTGTTGTATTCAAAGTTTTTTTTTTTTGCAATGAATAAAACTGTTAATGTTTCAATTTTAATGAGTGATGGAAAGAAACACGGCTTTACTGTACCATTTTCAGAGATTCTTCAGAACTTTGTTACATTAAAAATAGGAGATATTCGGGAATTAAGCATTTGCCATTGCTCCCTATCACCTGATGATGTTAACTATTTAATGCCACTAATACCTCCTAATTTGCAATCTATAAGGCTCTCAAATTTAGGATTAAAGCATAATCATTTAAAAATCCTTGTCAAAAAACTTATGACAATTAACCTAGTATCTATTGACCTATCAAACAACCCAATAGCTGATGAATCCATATGGATTTTGCTTGATTTATTGGGTAAAAAGACGTCATTAATTGATATTAACCTTAGTTATTGCAATTTATCAGGGAATGGTATGTTCCCTCTATTAAATGGCATATCATGCCAAGAAATTAACTCTCTTGATTTATCAGGAAATACTTTTGGTTATATTGGAGCAAATTACTTACAAAATTACATCCGAAATAAGCCAAAAGTTAACTATATAATTTGCACGTCATGTGAACTGTCCCCATCTGATATTGACACGATTCTTCAAGGTATTCCGGAAGATAACCAAATTCATATTGATTTACGCAGTAATGAAAAGATTTTAGAAAGGAAATTACCTCCTAATGTTTATGCAAATCAATATCATATGAAATGATTTTTCTAATTATTTTTCAAACATCTAATGATTTTTAGGCATGAATCTACTATACTACAATGAAAAGATGATTTATTTGCTATTAGTTTTTTAATACAATAAAGATCTGTTTGTTATTTTAAAATTATTTTTTTGTTTTTCATGACTCATAATGTGTAAGTTAATCATTCTATTGTTTGTACTATATTCAAGTGATTCATTGTGTTTGAATTCAAGCAAAAAACTTTATATGGAATATTTTGGTTATAAAAAGCAAAGAGAAAGAGTAAAGTTATTGTAGATGATTTTGTAATATAAATAATACATTTAAAATTTATTGTGAATAATAACACTATAAGGAAAATTAAAGATCAAATAAATTAGTGGTCTGGAGTCTTTTCCATGACCATATTATCCATCCAAAATCTTAGGTGGTTAAGCTTATTCAGCTTAACTTGTAATCTTTGGACTGCGTCTGCAAGTTCTTTCCTACTTTGTTCTATCTGTTCGTCAATATCTTCTGGAACATCTAAATCTTCTGGCTGACCAATGGTACTCATTATTTGAGAAAGTGCTTTGGAATGCTCTGTATATTCTCGGAGAAAATCTTGTGTTGAAATACTTCTTTCTGGTTTCAAAATTGGATCTGTTTGATTTATTGACTCAGTAATTAATAAATTTGCAAGTCTAACCATGGCTTGAAGATGCTCGTGAGCTTCTTTTGTTGGCCTTTGCATAATTTTTTTTTGTTCTATAATGAAGAGTTTACAATAATCGTTGTCAATTGGAATTAGTATTTTTAAATCAAATACAAGCACACTTCCATGTCATACAATTGAATCATAGCCTAAAGCATTTAGGAAATATTCTCGATTTCAAATTTAAAAGGAGGCCTTCATCACTTGTTTAAATAATGTTATCTTAAAGTCTGCTTCATATTAGTAATACCTATCTTGTCTCAGAAAATACCTATTTTGAAATTGATTTCATCATTATGCATTTTAGAATTGCGTGCCGGATTCTTTCCATATGTATTTATTGAACTGTTATCTGTCATTACATAGTGATGAATCTATTATCAAATCCTTAGCATAAAACTTTAAAATTTGAAGAGATATATTTTCAATTCATTTTGAGTACATTAGCATAGAAAAATCAATAGGATTATTAAAAAATAGTTTATTCTAATAATATTAATTGGTTGTCTTACTGTGTATTATTTTGTTCCGCTCCATATGAAATAAGAAGATTTGGAATTTCTTTATAACTATACTTTTTGGAAAATTCAAGAACAGAAATGCCATAGTTATTTGTTGCATTGACATCAGCACCTAATAAAATCAAAAGTTCCACGGTGTATTGATCACAAAATTCAATTGCATGGAAAAGAGCTGTAGAGCCATCTGCAGCTTTTGCATTGATGTCTGCACCAATTGATAGCAAATATTTCCAAAGAGACGGGATATTAAATCCTAATGAATAAACAAAGCATCCATTTATATCATTAGTTTGATCTAAATAAATCAAGAATGCCTGAAGATTCATATGATGTACACACATAGATAAATCAATTTCTATTCCATATTCATTCTTCAAAAATGAAACAAAGTCAACATTGTGTGATACGATGGCATATTCCATACAGCTTTCGTCGGGAGTAATTTCTTTCAAGCATTCATGAAATATTTCGGGATTTCCGCTTAAAAATGAAAAGTCTAAGCATTCTGAGGTAATTGTTGAGTCAAATTCTGATCTCAATATCTTAAAGCATTTAACAGCTCCATAGTTACAGCATATTTCCAGATATGAACATTTATCGCCATCAATGTAAAAATGACCTTTCACTTCATGTTCATCAAAATTGTCGTCGTTGATCAAAAAGCTAAAAGTTTTTTGATCATCGTTCTTTATTGCGTTTAAAATTGGTTCGTAATTAACATCATTTGTTTTTGCATCGATGTTTACATTTTCAAATATACATTTTTCAATTTGAGAATATTCATTCTTAAATGCAAAATGTGTATTCTCCAAAAATTCGAATAATTCCCAACTAGGTATAATTAAAAGTTTGTCTATGAGATTAGTTTTGACCATTTTGGCAATTCTTAAGAGATCTTCTGTATTTCTTGTTTTAAGGCAAAATAACGCATTTGTTGTTTCAATGTAATCTTTGAAGCGATTGTTAAGCTCCGAATAAAGATTTCCATCTGCAGGTTTTGTGAATTGGAATAATTTAAGATAATCTACTCCATTTGATATAAATAACTTGACTAATACAATTGACTTGATTTGATCTGCATATTGGGGTGCTATCTTACCTTCGTTATCTTTTGCGTACAAATCCGCGCCATGAGAAACAAGAAACTCGGCAAGTTTTAAGTGGTACGAAAGAACTGCAATATGAAGTGCAGTTTTTCCTTTTTCATCTTTTGTGTTTATATCTGCACCATTGAGTATGAAATACTGGCACAGCGATGGAATGTTGAAACCTAATGAAAGAATAAAGAATTTGTTGGCATCTTTTGATTTTGATTGATCGAAATAATACAAAAATGCTTCAAGATTATGATAATTTGAAAAATCTTCAAGTTTTGGTTGCATTTTGTATTCATTGAATAGCATCTTAAATAATTCCATATCATGAGAAATAATGGCATTAGTCATGCATTCATCATCTGGTTTATGAACTTTCAAGCATTCAGTAATGATTTCTTTATTTCCGCCGAAAAATGAAAGTTGTAGACATAGTTGAGTAATTTCAGAGTTGAATCTTGTTCTTAAAATGTTAAAGCAATCTAAAGAACCTGATACACAGCATAATTCAAGTAATGAAATGGAAATTTGTTTGTCTGCTTGGATGATACTATTGTATCTTTGATTCTTGTCGAAATTGTCACTTTTTGTTAATGAATCAAATGAATTTTTATCATGGTATACAATTGCCATGAATACAGGATCATTGTTCAGAATTTTTCTGTAATCACAATCTCTAGATTTAAAAGTGTCTTTATCTTTATAATTCCAAGCAAAATGGCAAGATAAACAGGAATAAAATTCTAAATTGCGTAGAATATATGGCTGTTTTGGATTCAAAATGTTAAAAATCTCCCGTAGATATAATGTTTTCGTTTCTAACAAGTTTTGTTGGATCATCTTGAAAATTTCTTTGAATTCTTGGTATAGTTCATCTGAAAAATTACTTTGCAAATGGTATAAATGTCTGACGGAATCATTGTATCCTTTGAGGATCATCAAAATCTCATTAGCATTTGTGGCACAAGCTTGAGAACTCATGTATTAAAAAATGATTTAATGAAAAAAAATGTCAATGAATTCAAATAAACTGCTAGTCAAAATTTAAACATTTTATACTTTTGCCAACAAAAGTGTAAAAAGGTTGTATTTCATTATGCACTTTTTCAATAAAATTTTTCATTTTTATTTTGAATATCTCTCAAATTTTGAGAAGCAAATTAAAAAAAAGTAGTCAAAAATTTGGACAGTTGAGAATAAATTAGCAGTAGCAATTTAATGATGCACTTACGCCTAATTGACATCATCACAGTAACTTCTGAAGCTGATTTTGTAATAAAATCAAAAGAATTTGTTTCTTTTTCCTCTTTTAATATGTAAAATGAGCAAATTATTCCATGATTGTCCACACAATCCAGTCAATCTAAATCAAAATAAGAATTATCAACATGGAAAAATTTTTCTTGACACTTTTTAGAATTGTTATAATATTGTCACTTTTTATAAAAATGTTTTTCCTATTTTGTTTTTCCATTTTTTCCTTACAATGGGTGCACGGATTTAACAATAGGCAAAATATCTTAGAATTGCTTCCTGAGAATGATCTTCTCCGTGATAAATTAAAAAACGAGAAATACGATTTTTGGGTAAAAAAAGACACTGAAGATCAGGAAGGTGCATTTACAATGGGATCCGTAACATATAGAAAATACTATGGTCATTCAAATGAAGCTGCAATCATGCTTCAAGAATCTGATGATTATTCTTTATTTACTCCATTTATTCAAATTCCGTCATCTAACAATAATCAAACAGATGGAAATACTTTGATTCTGAAGGTCGATGAAACACCAAATACACCACAAAATGCAGAAATGAAAATTCCACCAAAACCAAATGAGCATCCACTTTCAGTTAGATATAACAAGCGATTCCAACCTATTTCTGATGATAATATTGATGATGATTACAATCCAAACAAAGAAAATCTGCCATTATATAAGAAATCTGATGCAAAGCTTAGTGTAGAGTCATCAAATATCGACTACGATGAATCCTCTTCAACAGAGAAATACATTCCCCGAAAAGATCCCGTTGTTCCTGTTGTTCGGGCGAATATCCAAAGTCATCAAAGGGAAACACCAAGATCTAACCTATGTTCATTATCCTACTACTTCATTGGGGCACTTGGAGTCCTTTCTTCTTCAGTTTTTGTCATGTTTTGTGTAGTTATCATCAGATCAAGGAAAAAGAATGCGAAAATCATACTTGAAGAGTCCAAAATAGATGAACCATCATTACCTATACTAAATATGCAAACTTTGGATCAGATTTACCAGATGATTCAACTTTTCAAGCTGAATAACGTTGGAAGTATCATAGATGAACTCAATTTCCCTTCCAATTACTCGGCCAACGGTTTTGAAGCCCTCAAAATCCATTATTCTGATAATTTTTATTTGAACTCAAATTGTGACACAATTATTATAATCCGAAACTTATATCAGCATGGGAAGATATCAGAAGCCAAATCCCTCCATTATTTGTCGTTATTTAATGGATTATCTGATCATATTTTATCTTGGTATTTAATTCATAAGCCAACATATAACTTATGTGGTGGTCCTAACTCTGAACAGTTCCTTGCTTCTCTTCCAAAGAAATTCCCGAAGCGATTGAAAAATAAGAAATAATTTTGTTTGTTTTAATAAACTTGTTTGTTATTTATGCGTAACTACCTTTGTTATTTATATATTATTACTTTGCAAATAGTTATTGAAAAAATATCAAAATTATTCTTCAAAATTATCCTATATTGTTGCGAGAATTACTCATTTATCTTAATGATCTTTTCTATTACAGCTCTTTGACAATTGTCTGAACATTTTAAGATCATATCTAGCATTTTCTCTCATTATTACCAATATAATGCAAGCAATCAACCGTCCTAAAATGATCATTCTATTGGTGCAGTCTTAAAAATATCCAAATCTTTTGGATTTTGCTTTATAAGATTGCTATTAAACATTGAATGGATCATTACCACTACAAAGTTGTTTATTCTGATCTAAGATACTTCTGGCCAATAATCTAATTTAAATTTAAAGATTTTTGTTTCAACCTCAAAAAAACAACCGAAATACTGTTGTATTTGCTAAAGATATCAAATAACTGTTTATTTTTAAATAGAAGGTAAACACTATGTAAATAGATTTAGAACTTTTTCAAGACAACTTTCATAATGATGATAACAACAACAGCGATTAGGATGAGACCACCAATGATACCGAATATAATAATATACAAACACTTTGAGGCGGACTTCTGGTGCTCATTTGCTTCTGCCAAGTCTGCATTACCAGCAACCATTTCCTTGTGAGCATCATCGATATTGTTTTCAATTCTACCTATTTGTTCGTGTTGTTCATCGAGTTTATCGTTCAGTTGATTTGTTAAATCTACAAGTGTTGTCATATCTTCAACAATTTCACCTGCAGCTTGTTGTAAAGCCTCGGCTTCGCGTTCTTGTCTTTCTGCTTCTGCTTGAGCCAATGATTTTGCGTATTTCTCTGCTTCTTCTTGTTTTCTTTTTTCTTCTTCTTCCTCGAGAATTCTGTGTGGTTCAACTAATCTCTTTTGAATTTCTTGTATCTTTTCGATTTGCTTTCTGCAATTGGTTAAGGCTGTTGATATTTTGCCTTCTAATGGATGCTGAGCTTCCTTTTGACGCAAGTCGTTCAATTTCTCCATGTAGTCCTTGAGTTTTCTCTGTGCATCATCCATTGTTTTGTTAAATCTTGCATAAAGTTTTAAGTCTGGCTGTTTTTCGAGATTATTGGCTGTTTCGAATGAACGACCAATCTGTTTGAAAAGTTGTGCTGCCATTTGGTCAAGCGCTTCGAACGTAACCTCTTGGTTGCCTGCGCCTCCATTGGCTTTAAAATTGCGTATACTCATTTAAATCTTTTTATTCAAAAATTTCTATTGTTTTTATAGTGGTGATAAAAAATTCATATGGCACAATAAGTAATGCAGCTCCCTCTGATTCTGAATTCACTGTAAACCGCTTAATTCATAAATCATTATTCAATCAAGGCCATGTTTTGCTCGATTATTTTTTATTGCCGTCTTTTGTAAGTTTCTTTATTACTACCATAGATCACATAAGTATGCTTTTCGAAATATAATATGTATATTGTTCAATTCAAAGACCAAGAATTTGAACAATTCTCAAAAGTTGTCCAAATGATGCAACTGTTGTGATATCATCGCACTATATAAATGTATTTTGTTGTGTGATATTAGTTCATGTAAACACCTATTGTTGCTACAAACAAATTGGAACATTCAAAAGATAAATTCTTGATCAATATAGAAATGGATTAAAAAAGAATTATTCTTTCTATTCTAATAGTGTTCATATATCAACAAGATATTATATTTCATTCTCTATCAAATTGATCTACAACAATAGTATCTAATTGCTTATCATTTATGTTTGCATGAATGCAATCGATATTGTATACTGTCAATAGTCATGGATAAGTATTTTACATAAATTTTAATTTCATATTCCAATAAATGTTTTGAGTTCCACGATTATATATTTTAAGACTAATTTGCTCGATTTTGTAGAATATAAATAACTATCATGACATATAATAACTCAATAAGGCTTCACTTATAGGAATTATATGTACTCAAAAATTCCATTTTTTTTCAAGGATACAGCATTGATTTCATTCAATGAAAATATATGGGCTATACGCACCAGTTCATATAGTTACATATTACTATAGACTATATCCTCATAAGCTCTTCAGATACCAAGATAAAGATTTCAAAAGTTTCCTACAATTTGAATTTGAGAGATTTTAAAAAATCAATATATCTTTATTTGAACAACAGAAAAGTATATCAACCATATTAGGTACTATATAGTGATTTATATTTACTTTCTCCTGACCAAAAACCTTAACTTTTGGCCTTAGAATATTGGGATAGAAAGCTTGTGTGTCAAAAAAATTGAGAGAATGTCAGAAAGTGGTAAAAAAAAGATGATATAATTGATACATAGTATATCTCTAAATTTTATTAACGAGAGAGGGATTTAATTAAGAACATCATAATTCTCCCTGATGAGCTGATAAAGATAGCGAAGGTTGTAGATAACAAGTCCAATATCGAACAACAAGACAGAAACATCAAAAGTGTTGTATGTGTACATCATTCTCTGTGGTTTGTCCTTTCCTGTGTAATAAAAAGCGAATGTTGCAATCAAGCAGACAGTACCACGAAGTAATGATGGAACCATGGCAAGCACAGGCTTTCCTGATGCAAGAACGAAGTTAACTGCGGAATCATTAAGAGGAATTAACCAATTTGTGTAAAATGGAATTCTCAAGAAATATTTTGCGAATCTGAGTTGTTCTTCATCATCCATCCATATCTTGGCAACCCAATCTGCACGTGTCTGCATCAATGGAATCCAACATAAATGATATGTCAAAGTAATCAAACCGGCACGTATGTATAACTGTATAAGCCTTGTATAGTTGCCAGCGCCTCTTGCATAGCTTCCTGTGGCCATCAAACCCTGATTTATTCCAATTGAAACAGAGTTGACAGCACTTTGAAGCTTCAAGAAGACGGAGAATGCAGCAGCGATCATTGGAGCTTCACCAGATGTTGTAGCTGCAAGCATCATGTAGCGAAGTAAGATCATCGGAGGAATCGCACCGGCGAGAATGTTAAGAATGTAGGGGGTACCTAATAAGAGTGCATTGAGGGTATCTTTGGAGACAGGACGAAGGAACATTGAGCACTTTGGTCGGATATTGAATTTACCTGTAAAAATCAATGCTGCCAAGATAACTCCTGGAATACTTTGGGAAAGGGCGAATGAGATACCGGCAAATTTAATTGGAACCTTGACGGCGAAAAGTAAGATTGGAGAAATGCAACCGCAGTTCAAGGCGAAAGCTGCGAATTGGAGGATACCGCAAAGAATGGAACGGCCCTGGCTCTGAATGAAGCCGCAACTGAGTTGGAAAAGAGCCATGAAGGGCATACCAATGAGAATTGGAGTTAAATAGTGTCTTGCTTCAACAGCAATGTCGTGTGTGCATCCCATGAATATGAGCATTGGTATAGCAACGAAGTAAAACATGATTGAAACTAAAATCATTGAAACAAAAGAGATTCTAAAGAGATCTGTAATAACTTGTTCGGCATCTTCCTTCTTGCCAGCACCAATAAGGGCTGCAATTTTAGCAATTGTTGATTGAGCAAAATAAATTGTTACACAGACTGATAAATATCGGATTAATGAAGAAAATCCGACAATTTGGATGGAATCACCACCAAGAGCTTTAGAAATAAGCATCATATCGACGGCATCGTGAAATGAGATACCGCTATTGAACATTAAAGGACCAACACTAAGAGTTAGCAGAGATAATACAATGTTTTTGGATTCGAAACGCTTTTGCTCTTCTGTTTTCTCCATAGAGTTGAGAGAGGTAAGAGATTTTACTTCTTCGTTTTTCATAATGAATTTAATAAAATTTTTTCTGCGGGATCACTTCGAATTCAAATTGAATTCTTCAGAAAAAATTGAGCCAAGTTTGGACACTTAAAATCTTCCACCATTTATCACATTCAATTAGAATATTGATGAAATTTGATTTTAAATTTTTTTTCCCAAGAACTCAAAATTGTTTGTTATTTCATCTTATTATGTAATGGCCATCTGATGGATAAGGCGATCGTAATTGCAATATTTCAATTGATTGAGAAAATTGGGAAAATTAAATTAAGAAGGGATCAAAAAAGGTTTTATGGAGGGATCACATTGGTAAACTATATCATGCATATCATATCTGACTCACTTTCATGAGAATGCATTGGAAATATAAATATTTTAACATTGATATGAGAAAATGAATTCTTAGATGTTTGCTTTTAGGTTTAAATCAAGTTGGTAAATGTTGATTGCTAGATTTATATTTATTTAATATTGGAATTATTGATCAAATCATTTAATTGTTTAGTTGGCAAATCAAAATGTTGCTAAATATGTTTGATAATATGTGCATTAATAACAGAAAAAAGATTTTAAATGTAAGGTATCAGCCAATTTTAACTATAAGAATGTATAAATGCACAAATATGAAATTCAGCAAATTGATATTTAGAATTTGTGTATGTATACATTCTTATAGTTAAATTGGCTAATAATCTACATTTAAAATCCTTCTTCCTTATTTAGGTTCTTCTACATTTATATGCCGTATTATTATTGTCGTCTGGCGGTTTTAGACGACAATGCGAATTTTCAAATAAAAAGATTTTTAGTCAGATAAAGAGCTACACCATATATCATGCGTGTTTGCACACTATATGCATAGATGGAATTGATGTTCTTCTCTTATTTAGGTACCAAAACATGCTTGTAAAATCTCTTTTTTAGAGGACAATCATAGTTTTGTCACTTTTCCAGACGACAATGATAATTTGTCACTTTTTCCAGACGACAATAAAACATCCTCGAAATTTTTTATATATTTGGTATTTATTAAAAGTTTGATGTAATTAGTAGTTTAATTTGCTTTAAATGGATGTAAAAAGGAAATTAAATTATAAAAAGAATAAAATGGTATATGTTTAAGTTAAAAAAATCAAAAAGAGTAACTTATTCATGTAGTATACTCTCAATGTAATTAATTGAAGGTCAAGTATCAAAAATAAAGGTATTATGCTTTACTTACGACGTCTGTTGTCGCCTCTGTTTCCGCCACGTCTTTCATTGCGTCTATTTCCGCCTTTGTTGAAGTTCTTCTTATTCTTCTGGTTTCCTTTTGGTCCCTTTGGTCCCTTCTTGTTAAACTTCTTCAGCTTTGGTGCTCTCCATGAGACATCAGCCGGCGGCTTCTGGTGGATGTAGTTGTCCTCTTTGAGGATTCTGCAGAAGTGGAGAACGTTGTTTCCAGTTCTGATTGCGATCTTTGTCTGGCGTCTTTCCTCCTTGAGCTCTGTATTTGTCTTGATATCGGCGTGCTCTTCAAGAGAAGCCTTCTTGGCCTTGTAATGGTCGACAAATGACTTAGCAACTGTATCGATACCGTTGAGGCGGGCACGGAATTGGTTCTTCTTCTCGGCGTCCTCGGAGATACCATCATTCTCGCCTGGTTGGCCTGTAATGAAGAGGAGAATGCCATTTAATTCTGATGCCTTACGTGGGAACTTCTTGGCAAGGTTGTAGAAGGCATAAAGTGTGGCCTCGAGAAGGGAGAAGTTAATCTTTGTATCCTCGGAAACTTCGACTGGGAATTTGAGATAAACATTGTTGTAAAGTTGTTCAAGGATCTTAGCATCTTCGGCGTTCTGTGCGTTATCGGCAACAAGTTGGACAATACGGATCTTCTTATCGATTGGGACTTGTTCGAACTTTAGAAGGACTTTATCGGCAACAATGTTGTATAAGCGACCAAGCTGTCCGAATGAGTGTCCGAATTTAAGAATTGTAACAAGAAGGCTGTCAACAACTTCATCAAACTGGGAGTCAAGGGAAGCATCAAGATTATCAAGGAGCTGGTTAACAAGAGCAACTCTCTTTTCTTCTGGGATGATCTTCTTGTTCTTTGACATGAGGATAAGACCTTCCTCGACTGCGCAGTTAAGAGCAGATTCGATAACAGAGAGTAATTGTTCAACTGTTTCCTCTGTGAAGGTGATCTTCTCTGTAGCGATAGCGATCATCTTAGCCTGAGCAGCTGGTGTCTGGTCTTTGATTTGTGATGTGAATGTTTTTGCAAATTCTTCGTTGGAAAATGCATCGCTAACAATCTTCTTGGCAGCATCAGATACTGTAGCATTCTCTGAGCCAAGAACTGTGTAAACAACCTTAGCAACGTCATCTTCGTTGGCAACAAAGTTATCTTTTAATCCGCGAACTGCCCAAATCTGGACATCTGCGTTAGCATCTCCAGCAAGTGTCTTGAGGGCCTCAAGAGCATCTTTCTGGCTCTTTGGAAATTCCTTGTAATATTGAGGAATGATACGAGCTGTCATAACTTTAATTTCATCGTCGCCTTTGGCGCCAGCGAGGATTTGCTTGTAATCGGCTTCGACTGGCTTCGATTGAAGCTTCTCGTTGAGGGCGTGGAATTCATCCTTTGTTGGAATGGTCACTTTAGCTTTCGGCGGCATAAAATGTGGACAGAGTTCTCAAATTTTTGTAAAACAAAACGATTTCTATTGCTACATTATATCGAAAAGTTTAAAAATCATAGTAGAACAATATGGTAATTCTAAATATCTAAAAATTGGCCATATTTTCTTTGTGAACATTTTGGCGGGATTTAGAAAATAAAGCATTCAAGGTATTATCTCTTGTGCGTAATCTTTTTGAGCCATGTGCATAACATTTGTATATAAGATATACTTTGATTTTGATTTTAGCATATAAGACAGGTTTATTTTTGCAATTTTACTATTAATTTTTAAATTAAAGACTTATGGCCCAAATCAGTGTATAAAAATGGTTGATTTCCGATAGAAATACATGATAATTTATAACAAAAATAAACAAAAATAAAATATATAATCAAAATTAAATGCTATAACTATCCAATGAATAATAACCTGCAGAGCTGTCTTCGATTATTTCTTCATGGATCTCTTGTTGCATCATTTCCTTGATCTTTGAAGCAGATAATCTTGATGTATCATATCTTTGAGCTGTATCTTTAATTATAGGTGCGTTTGGGAGCTTTATTCCTCTTTCCCATGCAATTCCGGTCTTGGATTTGAGATCTGACATTTTAATTTCTTTTATATCAGTTAATTGCAATTCTTCTGGAGTTGTTTGCTCGTATTCATCTTCTGAAAGCATCAGATACTGGTCATCTTGTTCTGACTTGCTTAACTTAAAAGTTAGACATAAAATAATATTCATTACAATTTGCATCAAATCAAAGATTAATTGGTCGATCCAAAGGAAAGGATTCGAAAAGAAACCTGTAATCATTCTGAAAATTATGTAAAAACAACAAACAATAACAGTAAATCTTAAAATATAATACATTCTATATTTTGCATAGATAGGAGTAGTTGTTGGACTTACACCTGCATTTGCTATTACATACAGATGTGCAACAAAGTGAATATAAGAGTTTTTCAGGCTAATAATGAATTCTCGAACTAATAACATCAAAGAAAACATATTAACTAAGTAAACAATGGTCTGATATTTTCCTAGAGATGTAAATGTCATCACGCAATTACAGGCAGTGAATAAAAATACGTAAATAAAAGATAAAAACATATCTTTCATTGTTAAGTGCTGTTTGTAAACGCACCAACCTTTAATTGATAACAGCATTGTAATGTACATGAAGGCATTATAGCAAAATGAGAGAAATTGTCTGATTGAAGTATTTAATATCGATTCATCAACTTTGTTAAGCTTAACAAGCTCTAAAAAGAATGAAATATGGTATGATATTCCTAAAATTAGAGTTGTAGTTAAGAAGTAATGAATTTTGACGTTGGTTCGGAAATGACAAAACCAATTTACAATCCAGAACAAAAATACAATGCATAGGAATGTTCCCAATGAGAATTGCGACCAATCACCGCTAATCCAACGGTTGTCTAAGAATGAATCTGGATTGCGAAAAATTTGAACAAGGTCAAGCTTCATGCCATCATTGTTACAATTGTATACCAAAGGAGTGTAAATGTTTTTTTCTTCGATAGTCCCATTAAACGTGAAATTGTCTGAAATTGGTATTAAAATGCTAATTTTTGGAATTGGAGGCGTACCCTTGCAAAATTTTGAAGCAGAAGCTGATAAAAGTAAGTCTATTGGAAATTCTTTTTTAGATAGCAAAGTATAATAAAGATTTGGAATGTCAAGATTCGAAAATTTAACGTTGTATGTGCCATTCACGTTGAATCCAAACGAATCCAGGAGAACAGCATCTTGTGATGTATATATATTCCTTGATGATCGATATAAGAGAAAAAAAAGCAACATTATTATACTAAATTTTTGAGAATGCGTAAAAGAAATTGAGTCGTTTTATAATCGTAAATTTCCTTTTTACATGGGCATTGTATTGAAGACTGGTTGCTGTATTCGATATTATTTGAATCCGTTGTCAAAAATATGGGAAAATCATATTTGGAAATATAATTGATTAATTGTATTTAATCATTATTGACTTTTTTTCAAAAATTTAAATTCGCTTCAATTTTTGAATTCCCAAAATCCAAAACGTACTGAAAAATATACAAAGGTTGTAAGTCAAAGTTACAAGTCAAAATTTGCAATATTTCAAAATAAAAACAAATGATCGCTAATTTAAAATTCTTCTTGAAGTCTTGAAAAAAATAATCGTATTTAACCAATTTTTATTATAATCTTATTCTCATTAATGAAATTATTACCTTATAAATCAATTTTTTTTTAGCGAACATAATTTTTTCTTTGAATCTGACAATCTGAAAATGCTCAATAAAAAATGTAATTATTGAACCAAAATTCTGTGAAAGCAGATCACTTTTTCCAACATTTCATTATTCAGGAATTTGCTCGCAATTTATATGAAGAAATATCAATTATGCGAATGAAATATTCGATTGATACTGATTCTATCTTTTGGGAATATCGGCAAGTTGATAGTTACATATCATAATGAAATTTCACGATAATTTTAATTGATTTTTGGAGGAAATTTAATCGAAAATTCATTTTCTTCTTCAAATTTCCAATTAATAACGTTAAAATGTTGCATTTTATGATATTATAGCATGGTTTTACTATACGTTCTTTCAGAAAAATGAAAAAAAATATTAAAATTAAAATTATTTATTCAAATTTGAATTAATGAGCTCCAAAAGCGTTTTCTTCGAACAGCTCCAAGCATCTGTCCTTCTTTGGGGAGTTTCTTGTTCCTGATGCCGGAGTTGCCGGAACTCTTACAGAATTAGAAGAAATTCTTTGTGTCGAATTACTCAAATTCATTTGAAGAGTGTTGAGTTTTGCTGTGTTTTCATTAATTTTGAGGTTTTCTTGTTCCAATTCCTTCTTTAACTGGTCTCTTCTTTCTTGGAGGAGTTTTGTTGCAGCCTTCTTTGCTTGGATCAGTTCCAGGGACTTGGAAGTTTCGTTTTCAACTTGGTTTTTCTGAATTTGATAATTATTTTTTTCTTCAATTATCTTTTGCTTTGTTAATTGCAGCTGTGCTTCAGCATCTTTAACAGCATTCTCTTTCATCATGATTTGGTTTTCGAGATCTTTATTCTTCAATTCCAAATCATTATTTGATTTCTTTATTTCTTGCAATTTTTGTCTTAACATTTCTTCTTTCTTCTTCTCATTCTCGAGATTTGTTTGAGCAACAATTACTTCTTCTTTGAGTTTTGATTCTTTCTCGAGTTCTTTTTCAACTTTTTGTCTGAGATTTTCAAGTTCTTTTTGAACATTTAGAAGTTGTTCATTTTCTTTGTTTTGTTTTTGTTTTGCTTCTTCTTGTTCTTGCATTGTTTGCTTGACTTTGTTCTCTATGTCAATGAGTTCTTGTTGTAATCCTAAAATGAGTTTTTTCTGTTTTTCTTCCTCTTCTTTTTTATCAACAATTTCTTGTTTTTTGTTTGTTATCTCTGTTTGCAAGTTGTTGTTGACTGTTCTGATCTCTTGTAGCTTCTTCTCTTGTTGTTGTATCTCTTCTTTATGGCTCTTCAACTCATTTTGCTTCAATTCTAACTCTTCATTCAATTTCTGAAGTTGTAAAGTAAGTTCGTTATTTTGAGTTGTCAGTTTTTCTTTTCCTTCTGTCAAATTTTCGATTCTTGACTTTAGAGCGTCTCTTGTGGCTTGTAACTCAGAGAGCTTCTCGCGTAATGATACCTGTTCGACTTCGATCTGTTTGTTTTGGTTTTGGAGCTCTGAAATTTTGGATTTCTGGTCTTTCGACTGTTGGACGTAGTTTTGGACCGATTCTTGGAGTTCTTCGAACTTAGAAGAGTTCCTCATGTACTCTTCCTGTAATCTCGAGGTTTGTTCGTTGATGGTTTCTTTAATTTGGCGTAAATTTTGAAGTTGTTCCAAAATAGGCTGAAGTAGTTCTTCTTTTGACTTTTCGTCATTCTGAATTGATTTGAGCTCCTCTTGTGCTTGTTCTAAGAGCTTCAGTGACTCCATTTTCTCGGCATTGGCTATATCCAAACTATTAACTAAGGAACTTAAAACTGGAGAGATTCCGGTATTAGGAGGAAGTTTTCCTGATCCTGGTATAGTTGAGGATGTATGGGATCTAATATCTTGATCCTTACCAATAGTCTGGAGAAAGCTAAGAGCTGTCCTTTTCATTTGACATTTGTAAACCATTCAATTTTACCTATGATGCGACGATTAAAATCTGCTCGAGTGGCCAGATCTTTGGTAGTACTTTAATACTATTGTCGTAATAGAATTTGGATAAGGAATATCTTTCATACGGAGATATAACATCAGCTGATATAAATTTTATATAAATTTAGAACTCAATAAATAATTAAACAGTTAGCGAAATTTTGAAATCTTGAATTAATAGCATCTAATGACTCGTTTCTACATATAATATGACTTTATTAGAAAAGCTTTGTATTAAATTTATCAATTAATCAATGCGGGAGGTGAAATATACATGATATGCTGATAATTTAACTGTTAAATTGCACCTGAAGCATATTATTGATCACAAAATTTGAAAAAATCAATAATCGCGATTGATCTTAAGCAAGTTGCATGTTTTCGTCAACCAAATGAGAGAATGTATATTTTGGCATAGGGTTCCGATAAAAATAAAGTGAAATCAAATTTGACAATTGAAATTGAAGATGGATCAGAATAGTTACATACAAGAGATAACTGATGATTGGCTCATATCTCGCTCGTATATGAGACCGATTATTAATATTTCAAACGAGAATTCAACAAAAACTCTTTATGAATTTTTGAATTTTGCATTTAATGCACTTGACGAATATACTAAATCGACGATTGAAGTTGTCAAAAGAATACAAGCAGAAATTAATGACTTAACTCAAAAGAAATATGATAGAGAAACTCCGAAAGAAGTTAAATTCTTAAAACGAAAGCTCACATTCTTGCAAATATCAGAAAAGGAAATAAATATGTTTCTTACATCAGCCAAAGTCAATATTATCTCAAAATTAAAAGCAGAATTTGAATCATTATACTTATTAGCACAAGTCAATGAAGAAATAACACCGAAACTCTGCTTCAGCGAAAGAGTAATTTCAGAAATCATCGATTTATACTTCAAACACGAAATTGAAAGAAGAGAAAAAAGCCAAGCTTTAACACATACACTTCTCAAAGGTAGCATTGAATACAACACAAAATACATAGAAGAAAACGCCCAAATACAACTCGAAAATGAGGATCCGAACGTTGTTATTATCAATAATTTCGAAAAGATCCTTTTAGATCCTGAGCTCGGATATTCTAGGGATATTGAAACGATTGTTGATGAATTTGATGTTGTTAATACAGACGATTTCATCAAAAAAGTTGATAATTTATTTTTAAAGCTTAAAAGAAGTTTACCACAAGATACTGACGTTAAAACCTATTATGGCTACCTCATTACATACATATTTGAAGGTATTTACATCAAAAAACACAGAGTTTTCCAGATGAATATCCCATCTTATTTTGTACCGAAGTTTTCGGAAAACAAGTCATGCGAACTTGGTCTCCCTCCATCACTCATTGATTTCTCTAACCCTCTGATGACTGTTTATGAATTGGTAACTACAAATGAACATTTAAGAAATTCCGCGGACAAACTTTATTTGTCTATGTTCGAATACTCTCCAATAAAGATGCTCGGATGGATTGACGAAGCGTTAGAAGAAATTAAACTTTACATGACAGAAAAATTGACCCAATCAGGAGTTAATCCAGGATTTGTTCCTTTCGATGATACATTCTTGCTATTCCAAGCTGTGCTAAGTGTTTCAAAGATTCCTATCTTGCAATCTTTGACTGTAATTTCATGTGATTGCGTAAATCACAAAATGTTGCCGAATAACCTCGGATATGCTCAAATGATGCTTAAGAGTGCATATGAGTATCAAATGAAGCAAAGATCAACCAATGCAAATTAGTTATTTTTAATTCTAATTTTTGTTTTAATTTGTTTGATTAAATCTATCTTCTTTATTGTTATAATTCGTTTCTATATATATCTAATGGCAATATCCATCAAAACATCAATCAAATATTCTTATGAGTTTCATCAAGAAGAAAATTCATTCTCTTTAAAGGTTATAGTGCAAACTTCTCGCTAATTCAGGACTATTTCCAAAAATAGAACATATATGCATTCCTGATATAAAAAAAAAGATTGGTATGATGATTATTCTTATTTAAATATCCGAATTCTTTGTGGTCATTGTTTTCCACATGTATGCGCTACAGATATGTCAGGAAAGATCTTAGTGCATGATATTTTTTTTAATGAAAATGATATTAGAGCAATATCAACTCACCATTTAGACAGTCTTAGTATAGTTATATCTAATGTCATATTATTATTGGATTAAACCAATTTCAGACCAGATATTAGGGAAGCGAGCAAATTTACAAAGAAAAGTGACAAATTTTAGTTGTTCATCTAATGTCAATTGTAAATAAATTTGTTGAGAAAGCATTATCCCTTCCAACATATGCCAAAGCAGCCATAGGTGCTGGTGTTGGCCTTGGTGTAACTTCAGCTGTTTTCAGTCTTTTCCATACGGATAAAGTTGTTGGTCTTCCACCAGCTGCCAATTTAAATGGCTTCGCTCCAACACTTACAAGAAAGGAAGCAGAATTAATTCTTAATCTTCCACCAAATTACACAAATCAAGACATCCAAAAGCATCACAGAACTTTAATGGCCTTACATCACCCAGATAAGGGTGGCTCACCATATATTGCTACCAAAGTTAACGAATCTCGCGATTTCCTCACTGTTGGTATCAGAGCTTAAATTTACTTCTTAGTTTAAGAAAATCAGTATAAAATATAGATGTACTTCAAATAAATGCTTTAATTATTTTAATAGATACTTAAGATGCTTTGGATATATCAAATCTATGTGTTACATAAAAGATTTGTTCATAACTACCCAAGTATCTTTTAAATGCTCATAATTGTTAGTAAAAAAAGAATGAATGATACAATTCAATAGGAATATGAATAAATCTTGTAGAATTAGTTACATTTTGGGGATATCATGTGTTGTTTGTGAATAATTTTATTACATTGAATGAATTATAGGAAATTGCAATAATGATATCGAAGAAGAAGTTTCAGACCTCTATGAGGGATGATATTAAAGCTGCTTACTATATGATTTTATAGGAGTAATGCTAATTACATAAAATATTAATCAAATCGAGAATGAATTGATAAAGTATTCATGACCGCTAAAAAACGAGTAAACGAAATCAGAGCACTATTAGCATTACTGCAATTCAGTTTCATTAGCTCCGATAACTTCTCGTTTCATAAATTTTTTTGAACTTCTGACATTTTATCCGACACGATTTTGAGAAGTTTACAAATTATTGCAATAATACATAAATAAAAATTAATAATTCTAAATATAAATATAATTTGTTGTCTTTTAAAAATTATTCCGAATTTATCACAAAAATTGTATGTGATTGTGACCAACCGCGGAATGGTCTTGAACCAATGTCAAGACATAAAGCCCAATCAAAAAAGAACGATTTCGAAGCACGCATGTGTTAGTCTTAATGTGTAAAAGTCTGAAATGTATCGCATATTTGCTCTGTTTTAGTATTTTGGCATACTCTTATTGAACAAATTTCTGTCTTTACCCTGAATTACTAAAAGGTATTTTTATTACGATTCTATAATGTATGTAATATCCATTCGTCACGTTTACGTGCTGTAAAAATTGATACCCTCGATAGATCTTTTTCATGGATGTTGAACCAAAGGTACATTCACTAGGCGATAACAGTAAAATGGGATGAAAATAGGATAAATAGCATCCCTATATAGTGCCTAACAATATTTATACGGGCCAAAAAAAATTTGGCTAGAGATTTGGCGAGTTAGAAAACTTAGAAAATTGAGAGCGATTTTTATTTTTGAATTTTTTGGGAAAGTTAAAATTGCAATTAAAAATCGATTTCCGGGAGAACTAAGCATCTCATCATATATTTAAATCTATAAAAATATTAAATAATAGTTGAATAGTATAACTACGTGAAATTATGGCTGAATATACAGAAAAAATGAACATATTTGACATTTTTGAAAATTCATACGTTAGATGGTGACAAACTCATAAACTATACTTTAGCTAAGATTGATATATGGTTTCAACAACACATGGTTAAAATCGTAAAAATATTTTAGATTTCAAAAAGATATATATGGTAATATAATGGAACAGAGTCAACAAATAGCATGTAAAATATGTTATAATTAACTTTTTATTAGATCTAATAGTATATATCGAATGGTTTCCAGCTTTATGGTTAATTATTTTCTTTTCGAGCTTCTCTTTAACTGTTGTATTAAGGTTGTAAATTTTTGATGCTAGAAACTATGGAATCTTCTTTGCTGCTGCATTTTTCTTGAGAGTTCTTGCAATTTCGAATATATCTGCGCATTGTATGAAATGGGGCTTTAAAATATCTTGAATCATAATAGGACTGCTTTTCCAAAGGAATGCTTATTTGTAAATCAGAGAGTTTCAAAATTGAGTGCAAGATTATCATCATAACTTAATAATTTTGTAGCATTTTTCTAAATATGCTACAAAATTATCATTCTCAATTGAATGATGAATCGAAAGAATTTTGTAGCGTACGATTATTTTCCCTTGAAAAATAAATTAAAAATTTTTGTATATTTAATCATACTGTTTAATGAGCATCCTAATTTACTAAAAATAAAAAGATGATAGAAAATATTCAAAAAACTTGATGGCTTGAGATAGCCTTTTCGAGGAGTAACTTTTTCAGTGAATCGTCGAACGCTATCCACTCTCATAACATGTCCTCTTAATGTCCAACGATATGCAACTTTTATCCCCATATTCATTGATCTTCCAAAATTTCAATATCAAATTAGGCTTCAAAGTTCCTAAAACTTTAGCCATGAATAGGATGTCAATCTTAAAGTCATTTCCTACCTCCTTCATACATGAAATTAAGAATAAAAGTTAATTTTTTAAAGTTTTTTAGTGATAATTTTTCAATGGAAAATAATCGTATGCTACAAAATTTTCGATTACTGATCGGGTGAGAATTTTGATTTTGGTGCAAAAAAGGAAGATAAGCTATTAACAAATCATTTACTGTTGTTCATCAAAAGAAGAAAACTTTGATAACAACTAATGATGATAAAATCAAGCTATCTTTTAATATTTTAAATTGATAAGACATTCAAAATATTTGAATGGTTTAAAATATTTTCTTTTAATTTCTATAAGATATTATCATGATTATATAATAAAATTTAAATTTTTATTCAAAAAGGCAATATTTCAAACTTTTAATTTCAAAAATCTTAATTCTGCAATAAATGTATTTAATTGTAGCAAATTTAATGATCCTTCGTCATGCTTAGCAATTTGGAACTCATAAATTAATGATTTCTTCAAGTAAAATTCTGCATTATTTCAAAAGTCAATAATTCTCTAGTAACTTTTCTTCAAACCCTAACCATTATATTATAGGTATAATGGAGAATAATTGCAAAGAAAGATAGCCGAATTTACTGGGTAGTTCTTGTGATGCGAAATAATTGCAAATTAACACCTAGTTTTAACAGCATCAATCTCTTTTTGCTCTCATTTAAATGCATTCGCACACTTTAATTTTGAAATATAAGAGTTTTGGAAATTATCAAATTTATCTGCTCAAATACTATAGATCTTCATAAGTGTTAATAGAATCATTAGCCTTACATATAGTGTTTAATATAATAATGCACATTATACTGGGATTCATTCCTTATTCATCTAGTTATTATAAGATTTACAACCCCATGAAAATTTAAAATTTTATCAAAAATAGTGAATGTACCTTTGTTGAACCGCAAATCGAATATGTGAATTAATACATAATCTTCAATAAAATTCTATTTTAAAAAAATTGGGAGCAATCAAAATTGAAATGACTGAGCCAGAAAGCGACCTTACTTTTATGGTTCATAAAGCCCTAGAACTTGGTCGTTATGAAGATGCAGTCAGATTTGCTCGTCAGCTAATACAAATTAATCCAAACTTAAATCATGATCAAAGAATTTTTTTATCATCAGCATACCATGAAGCTGTTTCAAGGCGAAGACAGGATGTGCTTATTATATCACAATGCATCGAAGCTACCGTTGAGGAAGCCAAAAAAGTTAAATTGGTCGAAATAGTTAATAGAGTTCGTGCAAATATTCACGATTACTGTATGGATATCATACAAATAGCTAACGAAATACTTCTTCCAGCGGCAGACTCACCTATTACCATAGTTTTTTATGAAGAAATGAAAGCAGATTATTATCGTTACGATTCAGAGGTCCAAGTAGGAGATCTTAAGATTCATTCGGCGCAAGAAGCAGAAAATTGTTACAAAAAAGCGTTATCGATAGCCCGAGATGTTATACAACCTTCTCATCCAGTATATTTAGGAATTATTCTTAATTATTGCGTATTTTTAGTTGATATTAAGAACGATATAAATTCAGCTAAAATTATTACCCAGAATGCTATTAACCAAGCTTCAGAGTGTGAAGAACAATTTAAGCCTGATTCGGAAATTTGTGTTAGGCTTCTTCAGGAGAATTTAGAAATTTGGAGTGAACAAATTTAAGAGTTTCATCCTATGTACTATAATTATTCTTAGTCTATCTAAAGATTTCGTATAAAGTTGTATTTAATTATACCTAAATCTCATCTATAAGTATTATTGCCAACTAAATGCATTTTTAAACCATTAACTTCATGTTCTAATGGAATTTATTGCGAACATAACAATATTTCTAAAACAATAAACAAAAGTTCACATTAAATCTGCGCTTTTTGCGTTAATTTGACTGAATAAATCCCAACATCAACTTGTAAAAGTCTATATCTCTATTTTATTATTGAAATTTCGAAAACGTGTTAAATTCCATAAATTTGTTCATAATTGATCCTTTCATTAAAAATTAAACAAAATTATAGTTTTAGATTTTTCCAAATTATTTAGAAATTTGAGAAAATAAAGAAAACTTCTTAGAATTTTCAATTTGAAAACCAAAATTTCGAAAATTTTTGGAGAATTTTTTGGACAAAATACCGGGTGAGATGTTTGTATGTTATATGATTAAGGTGATTTTGATTAAATTAATCATTAAAAATAATTTTTAATACTTTTCTGAATTAATTTCCAGAATTTAATAAAGAATGGAGATTTATCTCACTAAGATGAATCTTTGCAGGAGGGGCTGTTGAGGTTTCAACAATAAATCAAAGTATATAAAAAAAAATTATTAAAAATCGAATCTAACATTTATCTATTTGTAAAACAAGGATAGAAGTAAACATAACAACATTGTAGAATTAACAGGGAATTACTTCGAGGTTAATCTTATAGATTTTTGAACTGAGTAGATAGAGCGAATTTCGACAGTACCTGCTTCATGCTGTTTCGTTGCAGACGTGTCATGAGCATAAATTTCGCCTTTGTTCTGTCTGAAACATAAAATAACAACAGAAACTATCGTAATAATGATGATTACACATACAATTGCTGTGCATGCGATCAACCATGCAGAAACTTTGTTACCATCTGGGTTAGGCTGAACGACGATGATTCTTGTAGGAGAAGGAGTAGGTGAATTTGATGTCTCTGGTGTTCTATCAGGAATAACTGGTGGAGGAGTTTCTAATAGCTCTAATACTGCAAGCGCAAATACAACAAACATCCGAATTAATGAATTATTTTTTTACAGAAATAAAATTTCTAACGAATTTGTAAAATCTAAAGATCGACTTTCACTTTTTAACAATATATTTAAAATACTTGGGACTATGGCAATTTAAATTAAGCATTGCAGAATCAAAAGTCCAATTTTGTATAAGTTTTCAATCCGAATTTAGATATTTTGGAGTTGATATCAAACAACGATGACTCCAAAAAGGTAACATAGACAATTGAGGCCAATTCATATTCAATATCAAAATAAAAATTATATAATTTTTTAATTAAAAAGAAACAATGCACGTTTTATTTACAATAGAGCATGTAAAAGATAATTATATTAATATATGACTCTCATTCTATTATTTAGATTTTGAGCTTACTTAGTGAATGAAACAAGGCCAAGATTAATAGACTGAACAGAGAATGAAATTTCTTCTCCCTCATTAGGTGTAAAGAAGATCGTACTTGAAATAATATTTGTAATTGTTCCAGAAATAGGAGATTCCTTTCCAATTTGAATAACAGCACGTGTACCAACAGAAAATACATTATCACCAATTTTTAGCTCTGTTCCATTAATCGATGCTAATATTTGTTGATTAGTTGTTTCTGAAAGAAAATCACGAGTTTCATCAGCTCCCATGAGTGGTACATTTGGTAGGTCAATGCCAACGCGTGCTTGGCGTTTAAGTAATTCGACATTTACAGTCTTGATGAACGGACAATTTTGAGAACCAAAGAATTTCGCAGCTTTTGGAAGTTTTTGTGCTAACATTTCATATTTAAGGAGCATCAATTGGAAAATTCTTTCCTTTGCCTGTTCCATAGCATGGACGCCATCATTATCTATTTGAACTAATTGAGATTGCTTAAGTCTAAGCGCTGCTTCGTTCTCGCAATCACGCCATTTCTCTAAACTCTCGAGACGTTGGGCGGTCGCCTTTTCAATTTTTTGGTTATATTTCGTATCAATTTCTCCTTGGCAATTAGACAAATCCCTATATCCTTCACGTATCTTGATTAATGTATCTTGAAGCTCAGCGATTTTGGCGGCAATTTCAGCTTCAGTTTTTGGTGGTTCTTGAAGTGTTTGAGTTTCCATATTTTTTTTGTTATTGTAAATATTTGTAAAGTGACAAAAATACGCAACTTTGACATCGTAAATTAATTTTTTGACATATTAATATATTATATCTAAAGTCAGAGAAACTGAGTGTTTGTACATAAAATTGATGGAGAGGTGTAGCTCTGTGTAATACAAGGCTTCGATTTTCCTATATAGAATTGTTAATTAACTATTTTTTCTTACAAATTACTAAGAATTATCATGTTTTCTATTAGTTTAGATATTGTATTGTTGCCTTTTACATCCTTATAAAACAAATATAAAGATTTTAAATAATTCTTTTAAATAACAAGAAAATAACAAATAAATAATAAAAAAATTAAATAAAAAATACTTATCATTGACTAACCTTTTTGAGACCCATCTTCGATGTTCTTTTCTGATCCAATGTTGAGTTCAATTCCGGATCTAACTGTCTTGCAGCGGCATGAGCAGCTTTGATTTTTTCATCTTGATCTCTTTTTTCTCTTCTTTCTTCCATAATTGGTCGGATAACTCCTTCGATGAAACCACCTCCGACATGAGATTCAGCCGGATGATGTTTAAAAGCAGGCCTCATCATCAAATCGAACATCGGAAGTGCTTCATCGTGAGCAGCTCTTAAAGAATCCAAAGCTGCTTTTGCTCCGTTCTTTGCTTCTTCTTTTTCCGCTTTATCAACATCGTCATTCATCTGTTCTTTCTCATTCCTCGCTGATGTAACAACAGAAACAGGTTGTTGCTGGTTTTGGTTGACATTTACTTTGACTTTTTCTTCAGGAATCTCAGGAGTTTCGTTTCTCTTCCTGGCCATTTGAAGAGCTCTTAAATCACTGATGAATTTGTCTTTTGTGGCCTTGTCAGCGGACATTAACCTGTTTTTCATTTCTTTTAAGTCTAATTCGAGTTTTTGTTGGTGCTCGAGACGGAAATTTGATTCCGTTTCAAAGGAATTCTTCATTTCGGTGATGGAATCACATATATTTGGTCTTAAGCTACGATGGAGATAAGATCTGGGTTCTGCCATCGGATTATATTCTCTAGTTCGACGAGCACGGTCGTTAACGCCTGTAGGAAGCGGAGGACGTGGTGGAGGAAGTAATGGAGGAAGATTAATTGTCCAATCAAGCTCATTTTTGGGATATTGAATAACAATTTGCGCATCATGCTCAAAAGGCACTGATCTATGATTGGTAGCTGCTGATATAAGGGAACTGACTCCAGCCATGTTGATTTGCTTGCTGATTGGACGTTTTCTTCGCTGCATTTTTGTTAATGTCTTTAAATCTTCAACAGGAAGCTTAACATCTGTAATAATATCATCAGCATCTGTTGATTCCTTTGTGTCTAGGATCTCTGGTTCTCTGTTTGAATCAGTATCTTCGATATAAGCTTCCGGAGGTTTTGAAAAGTATCTTGTAAGATTATTACCAAGCTGTGATTCTAGAGGAGTCATCGATGTAAATAGTCTAACAATGGTTGAGCATAGTTTTAGGCGAAATGTTCCATTTGTTGTTTCTGGGTTTGCATGGCTTAAATTAATGTATAATCTTTGTATTGTTTGGGTTGCAAAATATGGAAAGCTATCGAAAAAAAAGTCTCTGTCTTTGTTGTGTGTTTCAAGTGGGAAAATGAAATTTGTCCATAGTTTTCCAACGCTCTTTTGATATTTTTCTAACTGTGCAGGGTCACCTGGATACAAAGTAACTTGAATTAACCAAAATAACTCTGTAAGTAATTTCACCAAAAAATCTTTATTTGCTGAATAAAAGTTCTTTGCCATTCTTGAAAAGTTATCTGGCTTAATTTCTTGTAATGACTCATCGAATGCTTCACTGACATGTAGATTTCCATTTTGTGGACGAAGATTTTTTATATCAAGAACGCAAATCTCATCATCTACATAGTTTTCATCATTCATGAAATCTGCGCTCGGTGTTGTTGAAATACCAAGAGCTTTGTGTATTTGATCTTGGATTACAACATTGTTCATGGAAATTTTGATTCGTTATTTCAAAAAAGTGACATTAATACAAGGATAACTAAAATCATTCATGCCTTTGACGTATGACAGTACATCCAACAATTTTCTCATACACATCTTATTTACTATAAGTTTACAAAGAATACTTTTCTAATTTTCGTTCTTGGTACAATCCATGCAAATAGGGATGAAAATATTGCATTATCTGCAAGAGTAATTGGATCACTAATATATCTCAGCATGATTGCGCATTAAATAAGATCAATTTTCGAATCTACAATCAGCTACTGAATTTACAATAGAATATCATCTATTCTCTATATATCAGCGGATTTTAATATTATAATGAGTTATTTACAAATAAAAAGAATATAAAATAAACGTTGAATAGCCAATTAAACATGTTGGGCTTTTTCTGTATATCTAAGAGTTTGAATAGAAGACATTTCGGTTTTGTCCAAGTACATTTTTGTCTTTTGCGGACCGTCTACTACTGGATCATCTTCTAGATTTTCTGCTTCTAACAGTTGACGTATAAATTCTGGACCAACATACTTTTGAGGCACTGATTCATGTAATTGTTTTAAATTTGGTGAAAACAATGACTGCTCGATTTGTTCTTCAACAAGTTTTCTGCGAAGATATCTATTTGGATATGGAGGAACTGATTCCGGGGTATTATCTTCGGCCCTTTGGTGAACTCCATCTATATATCCACTTATTGCATCTAGTCGTCGATTTAATTCTTCTATCATTTATTTGTACGTTTACTTTCAATACATTCTCATAAAATTCATTTACTCTCTACTGTTTAATGCTCGTATAGATATGTTTGTTGAATGATATGCTTTTTATCATGAAATCACGTGATGACAAATCAAATTCGTAAATTCCAAAATTCAAAAAAACAATACAGAAGGTTGTGGGTGGGGAAAATACTTCTAAAAGAACGGACAAAAATATAATATTAAACAAAAATATATATTTATTTCTTTATCTAACATCAATTGAATAAGTTTGAACATTTTCATTACCAATCTTAATTGGTTCTGCTTCAACGACTTTGAAACCAGCACTGAATACCAATTCATAAACACTTCTGCTAACACGAAGTTTGTTGGGATCGCAAATCCTCATTAATCTCTCTGTATATGTTTCAACATTTCCTAATATCTGATATGAAGGATAATCTGTTGAAATAACACCAGCAATAACAGGTCCGCCAGTATGGATACCAATCTTTATATCGAAATCAACTTTGACTTCTTCCTTAAGATGAGTGATTCCTTTGAGAATATCCAAGCAAAATCTTACTGTTTCTTCTGCATGCTTTTCAGGTTTGTTCACAGACATAAATATACCACCTGCAAATGTATATTCATTTGAGAATGTCCTGATCCTTGTTAATGTTGTATATTCTGTTAATAAGTGGTCAAAGTTCTTGAACATCATTGACAAGAATTGCATATGCTGCATTGTTTCTAATTCACTTTTAACGATAACTTGAATTCTTCCAATAGAAATGGAATGTACTGTTGAAGAAATAGAATCAGAACCATTTTGTAATTCGTTCACAGCACTTTCGGGAATTACAACTTTGAGCATCTCTATGATTTGCTCTTTCTTCTTCTGTATCTTCATCTCTGTAACAGCAAATTTGGAAATATCTTGCAAAATCAAAGCACACCCCGTTATCTTTGCTTCATCGTGTTGCATCAAAGCTCTAGTATCATTCATAGCAATGACAGTTACTCTAGCATGAACAGGGTTTCCTAAACTGTTGGTTGTATTTATTGTGGCCTGATATGTATAATCACACTTTCTCTCGAAAATATTATAAATTGTGAGACTCAAATCATCTGAATTCAATTCTTTGATGGTTTTGATTCCAGGGAGCATCTGATTGAATGTCTCGTTAAATTCTACTATGTTCAGATCAGGATCAACCATTGCTATACCTGTTTCTGTGTACTTTAGATAGAAACCACCGCCATAAGTGAAATTATCTTTCTGTCTTGCAATATTATTAACTGAACCTAAATGAATCATCTCCAAAAGTTGTTCATCATTCATTATAACTTCAAGATCAATAAGAATAAGTAACTTCATGGCAATCTTGATATTCCTATTGAATTTGTAAATAGAATATATTGTATAGAAAAGCGAAATAAATTGGAAAATAATGAACAAAGTTAAGAAAATTGTAACTAACGCTTCACCTGAATCAATCGATTTATTTGAAGATGTAATGATTGTCTGGTAAAATTCCTTCTCAACTTCATCATATACCCACCACAAATAATATGCATTGTAGTTGATATTTGTGAGAGAAGGAGGTTGGTTCAAAATTGTCAATTTTGACAAGAAAATGAAACAATCAACTTGCATGAGATATCTATATGTAGCTAATCTTTCGAAGTTAGCTTTCATGATTGGGATTGAGTCATAGTAATCTCCAAGAGGATCCCATGTCTTCCTGTATTTATCTTGTATATCCATCCAATCACCTAATCTGTGTTTACTTAAAACCAATTGATTGGCGTTGGAATGAATTGCATCTTCAAGAAGTTCATCTCTGAGATCAATCATTCTATTAATCATGTCTTTGTTTGCTTCATATTTCTCTTCTATTGGATATCCATTTAAAAAGGCTACAGCTGTTGCCAAAAATGACATTCTGACATCAGTTAAAGCTGTTCTTAACATTCCTGCACTCTGGACAATTGTATCACATTCTCTGATATGAGACATTGAACAGAAGTAGAAGCCGTAGCACAAAATAACACACGGGAATGCCGACAAGAATAATCCGAAGTAGAACTGGAAATTCATTGTAAGCATTGACATGGCAGAAATTGAACTTATATCGTCTTCTTCCTTTTTCTCCTCAGAACCTGAAGTTGTTGAATTTTCACCTATTGCTTTGCGAAGAACCGGAGCAGGGAGCGATGAAAAGCAGACAGCAATGTTGTGCATTGTTGTGGTGAGCTTGAAGAAATGTAAAACAGATGGGAATGAATAGAAAATTAATGAAACTAAAAGTGACAAAATCAGGAAATTGGAGTTTTCATTGATTTTTGACTGGAAAGTTAAGTTTGTGATCATAGCTTCTAATGATTTTTTGAATTCATGATATACTGTGATACTATTATTCACAAAGTTTTCATTATAATTATTATTCACCATCATAATTGTACTAATTGATTCTGCAACAGTTTCATTCGTTCCATCAAAGACATAATTGTTGTAAAATGTAACAAAGTCATTGATTTTAGTGATACTAGTGTCCAATTTAGAATTTGCCAAAGACATATTCTCCATTGCCGTTCTAATTATTTGCGATGTTTCTAATAAGACTTCATAGCTAACATTAATCTTCTTAAGATGACCTTCTTCGAACCAATACGGTGAAATCTTTTTCATCATGTCATCACTATCGGAAAAGACACCAGAATCAGAAGTATAGAGACCATAGTTCACAATCTTAGTTAAAAGATATCTTGCAAATGCATGCATCAATCTGTTTGATGTTGAAATGAAAGTATATGTTTTTGATACGTTATCTAAGATCTTATATTCGAACATAAGGATATACAATACGAAGAAAGCAATTGATATAATTGCCATTATAGTAAAGAAGAGTCCTGATGAGAAATATCTTCCAACTTTTGAATTATTTATCAATTCGTTTGTAATTTCCTTCTTTCTAACTTCTTCTTGATCAACTTCTTTGTTATGCAAAGCGTTACCAACAATATCGATTTCTTTTGTGAGATCTGAAATTGAATTCATGACATTAGGGAATAAAGAGATCATATTGATGAGAGCTCTATCTTTATGCGCAGGAAGACCTTTCTCCAACATATCCAAGTCTTTCTTCAGTTCTTTCGCTTCTTCGAATTGAAATGTCAAAGTTGAATGGATATTTACTGCTTCTGATACAACTTCTGGGCAGTTCTCATAATCGTTAACTACTTCATTAACCTGTCTTGCCAATTCTGATTGCAATTTGTGGACGACATCAATATTTGTCCAAAAAGCAACGTTGTTTGCTTGTAAAACATTCTCCCAGAATCTTCTCATATTGATTTTAAGCACTTTGGACTGATTTGCAATTTGGTCAAAAGCCTTGACTATTTTTGAATTGACAGCTGTATTTCTGTGCATAATCAAATATTGAATTTGGAAATTCAATAATCTTCTGCAATCCAAAGATGACTGTTTGAGTGTATCAGATATGAGTTCTAATTTGTATTTGTAGCTGGGGAATGCTGAAACGATTCTGGCATAGACAAAAAGCATATCTTTGCACTGATCAATTCCATCCTCTATGAAATTATCATATAAATTGAAGAAAAAGACACCAGGTGAGCAATAATCTAATGATCTTCTGACATCTCTTGCTAAGTTATCACTTCTTCCATAGAAAAATGACTCTTCTGCTGCAGCATCTAAAGTAACCATACTTAATTGCGAGAATTTCATGTGCATGAAGTAAAGAATTAGGACAGAAAGGACGACAAATAATATAACAACGAAGAATAAGATATTGTATTGGAATTGAATGAATCCAGCGACAATATTTAAAATGCATGTCGAACCGTTGGTTAAAAGGAGTGCACAATAGAAAATTCCGAATAGTTTGTTGATAAAAACGCTGTCCAAGAAAAGATATATTCCAGCCACGTACGAGAAAATGAACATTACAATTAATTATACGGTTTTTGCATACTTATTGCCTTGAACTGTAGCAGAAAATATAGCAGCATTAACTCCTGAAACAATTGTAATTAAGACTGAGCTGAACGGCGTCCACATTAATGTTATATCTCTAATGAACATTACGCGTGGAGATATAATATCATATTGCATCTTGGCTTATATAATGAATACAAATATTGCTAGCAAAACAGATATTATTTCGAAAGCTGTAATCGACCCGTTGGTAATTTTATAAATTCCATCTCCTACACAACACGTTGTAAAAGAGGTTAAAATTGGCAGTATATACGTACTAATTGTAAACATGAGATTAATTTCTGTCGGTTTCATTGATTTGACTTTCGAATAAATAAAACTTCTAAAAGAAATGGTAATTATGATTAACAAAGTAATAATTGATGCTATTATTGATGTGATGAAGGGTGCTTCGCCATCAAATGCACCACCTCCACACCAAAGTACTGAAATAATTCTCATTCCTCTTCCAATGGTTGATGTTTCATGTTGTATATCAGCTTGTTGCATTAAAGCAGGAAAGATTGCTTGAATGCATAAGAATATACCTGTGACAACCGAAAAAACGAATTTGGGATTAGTATCTGTTTGAATTTTTGCAAAATATTGATACATATACTCACGCAATCTTTCAATAAGAGAGAGTTCAAGGATTCCAATATAGTCTTCCTTGAAGCTAGAGTTTTCTAAGTCATTATTTGCATTTTCTTTGACCTCCTCTCCCATTCGTTATTTTTTTGTAAAAAAATTTTACAATTGAATAATTTATAAATTCGTTTTTTTGACAAATACAGGTGTGGGTAATATGTCAACTTTAGATTAATTTTCTATTATTTCTTATATATTATCTATAACCTTTCAAAATAGTAAAAACCAACTCTTTTGAATACACATAAAATGAGGTCTTTGACATAAATATCTTTCAATTGCACTTCTGAAAACACACGAAACATAATAAAAAATCGATTGATAAAAATATAAATTGATTAGAATATGTAATTGAATTTTCAACGTCTTTTCAAAAAATAATTCAATTCAATTGTCGGTCTCTTCTACTGAGCAAATTTTATCGGAAAATAGATAATATCTTTGAATAAATCATTGAATCTCTACCATCGATAAAATTGTCTCAAAAGTAGATTTTACTTGGCAGTTTTCTATCGATCGAACAAGAGTATATTATTATTTATATATTCATTTTATATAGATAGGAAATCTTAACGAGTTGATGCAATATTGAAAATTATCGTTACAAGGGATTAGATGGGTTATTAATTTTTCGTAACCAAACAAAAAGAACACGTGCAAACATAAAGCTCAATGCATTCACACATGAATATTCGAACATTTTGTAAGATTGAGATTTTGAAAATTTAGTAGTAGGATATGAAGGGTTGTGTGACTTTTTTTGTTACATCTATATATAGACGATGCATTAAAATATATTTATTTATAAACCATTAAAAAAATTAAAGTTATTTTTAAAATAATTTATTTTATCTTTTATAAAAGAAGCTATATATAGATGATGTCAGATATTCCGCGATTAATTAAACATTGTTTAAATCCTGAATGGGTTAAACTTCAATTTAAAAATGAAGATTGTGAATTATTAAATGAATATGAAAGCCAAAATAAGCTAATGAGGTATAAATATAATGATAAAGAATATTTAATTTCATGGAATCAATTTTAACATTTACTAAAAACACTTGTTTTAATGAATTTGCGAACAAATTTATGAACGAAAGACAAAAGGCTGAATTAGAAGGAAATAAAGGAAAAAGTTTATTTTGCAAGATTTCACTTAATGGATCATATGGTTACGATGCAATGAATACACAAAATTACGCAAAGACTAAAATAATGAATGCACAGAAGGCACGCGTTGCATGTATGTCAAATAAGTTTAAAAACATAAGAGAAATAGGTGAGGATACATATCAAGTGATGCTTAAAGATAGATTTTATAGATGTGATACATGTTTACAAGAGGCATTCTTCACTTTAGATAACGCAAAATACTGGTATTTGGTTTTCATTTATGATTTTATGTATAAATGCATGAATGTTAATCGTTTTCATTTCATTGAAGGTGATACTGATTCATCTTATTGGGCAATCGCTGGCGACCCAAATCTTCCTAACACTCAAGCATTTCAAGCAATTGTAACCGATAAACAATTTTATGATAAAAACATTTTCAAATTCGCACCTTTTGATTTCTTCTGTTTTGATGAGAAATTTAAACCTAAATTAAAGAATAAAGCTGAAGAAAAAGCACATGAGAAGAAGTTATTGGGTTTAGCAATTGAGAAACAAGGTGATAACATGGTTGCTTTATGCCCCAAGTGTTATACATCATTCAACGGTTCAATTGATGGAAGTGATTTTAAAAAGATTGCACAAAAAATGAAAGGTGTTAGTTTACGACAAAATAAACAATTAACACCTAAAAATTATTTGGATATAATAAATGATAAAGTGATATTTGATGGTCAGAATATTAATTTACAACTTAAAAACGGGTCAATGACTCGCTTAACAATCGGTAAGACTGCATTAACAGGAGCACACACTAAGGCTGTATGTTGTGAAAATGGATGTTGTATGCCATTTATTTAATACAATTTAAAATTTTATTTTTAATAAAATGCCACAGAAGAGACAAAAGGAACCGTTAATGATGCGATTCAATATGTAAATAATGGTTTTGATACTATGATTCAAAGAGGCGGGCACCCTTAAACATTTATTTTATTTTTATATAAATGAATAGCGTAGATTTAAAAAATTTAATTGATGATTTAGTACTTAATCAAAATTTTCTTAGTTATTATGAATTAAAATCATATCTCCAAAAATATGATAACAATATAATGGGTGATGATATGGAATATTATTATCCATATTATAAAAATAAAATTTTGAAATATCATGAAAGAATAATTTCTAAAATTAAAGACAAAATTAAAAATAATGAATATACAAAGGGAAAAACTAAATCACAACTTAAACAGTTGAAAGATTTCAAAAATAAAGTATTAACAGAAGAAGATATTGATGAATTATATAAATTATATAATCCTGAGCCGCAAAAGCCAAAGGAACAAAAACAAAAGGTGCAAAACGCCCAGGTCCTTCAGACCATAAATGAAGCACAAGCTTTAATTTATGATTCATTAGTTAAACCATATTCAGCCCGACTTTTAAATGAAGATCAACTTTTGGAATTCATCCTTCAACATAAACTCGAAGCGGGAAAGTATATCAAACCTTTATATACAGCATATTTAAAACAAATGAATAGAATACATCCAGAATTAATGAAGGGGGGAATGAAATCCAAAATCAAAGCAGATAAAATTAAACCACTTGCAACACCAAAACCTCCAACGACAGTACCGCCTCCTCCTTCAGTTAATCCTTCATCATTCACTTTATTATATCCATTTCAAACATTAAAGAAGCAAAAAGATTTTAAAAAGTGTTTCAAGATATTAAATAAACCAATTGACCCAAAAATTCAACCGTTAAAGGAAAAATTTAGTTGCCCTTCATTTGCACCATATCCATATTCATACGAAATCGATCATCTGGAATATTCAAAAGGAAACGTTACTTATTTATTTGCCATTAACATTAACACTAGATATTTATATTGCATTCCAGTGAAAGGGAAAACAGAACAGGAAACAAGAAGAGCTATACAATACTTACTAGATCATGAAAGAGTAGATAATATCAGGGGTGATGGTGATAAAGGATTTCAGGCGGCTATGGCTCATTATTTCCCACAAATTAATTTTTTCTTTTCATCCTCTCCATATACGTTTCATAATAAAATAGTTGATGCGGTAATGAGAACTCTTAGAGATGCGTTAGGGGTTAACGGTCGGATATACTGGGATGGAAATCATGACCGCATCATACAACAGTTAGTATATTATTACAATAATACATGGCATAGAACTATAAACATGAAACCAGTGGAAATGAAAAATGATATTTCAAAAGAATGGGAATATATTAGAAAGCAAATGGAAAGGTTGAATGATGTTAAACGTGAACAAATTAATTCGGGGCTCATGAATTTTAAACAAGGGGATAAAGTTTTGATTCATCTCGATTATGGAAAAACTGATAAATCAATGACAAAAAGAAGACGAAGATTTGACACAATAGCTGAATTTGTTAGATATATTAACGGTAATGCATTAGTTGAAGTTGACAATAAATTAATAGAAATTCCAATTTATTTTATTACTCCATTATATTTAAATAATATTTAATTTTTTTATTTCGTAAGAAATGAGTGACAACAAAGCAGCCAAGAGTCCTGATTCAATTAAGATTCAGAGTCCTGACGATGAATATAAAAAGAAACTAAACAGAATTAAATCAAAAATATGCTATTAAAAAAGAAGCCGCAATGCGGCGGGGCTGATGCCCATAAAACTAATGGAACTGAAAACGATAAAGAGAGGAAAGAAATAATCGAAAAATTAGAAACTTACCGTTCAATCCTTAAACTGGGTGAAGCAAAAATAAAAGAATTTAATAGAATAAATAAATTGATTGGAAGAGATGAATTTAATAAAGATGAATTTTTAAACTCAATCCAAATTTAATTTTTATTCCTCTTCCGTCAATGGTTTCCCGAACCCTTCTGGGTTCTTCTTTCCATCATTACTGCATAACCACATCTTCTCGGTTTTCGTGGTTTGTTGTTTTTAATTCGTTCTTGCATCATTTTTATCATTTCCTCCCTTGTTATGATTCGTGGTAAATTTTGAGCTTGTGGGGTATCCATTTATATAAAAATAAAATTTTGTTATCAGTTATTTTATCGTTAATGTTTTTCAGGTTATTCAATAATTAATTATTTTTGAAGAACTGAAAGTGTCACTACGTCACCATGTCACCATGTCACCAGGTTAATTAACTTCTCTTAAAAATGATGACAACATGACATTTTGACATCACAGGTACGAAAGGAGGAAGGCATTTATGAATTATTTTTGAAGAACTGAAAGTGTCACTACGTCACCATGTCACCAGGTTAATTAACTTCTCTTAAAAATGATGACAACATGACATTTTGACATCACAGCAGGATTAATGCAAAAATAAATTCAAATCATACTTTATAAAGCTTCATTTACAGGTATTTCATCATCAGTAAATGAATCCTCATTATCGTTTGGTTCAACCTGTTTATATAATCCTTTCATTTCTTCTTTCAAAACATAACACCATGTTTGTTTACCATCTATTCTTCTCTGTTTCCTTTCACATTTATCTTTAATGCTCATTTGAAAGTTTTTGTCTTTCATGTCTGATGGTTTGCAGAATAGAGCATTTTTACACGTCATACCTGCACACAATTCATCATAATGTGTATTTATCCATTCATCTAAAGGATTTGTTGATAATTCTATTAAATCTTGTTTGGCTTCAGTCATCGGTATGATTCGTACATTAAATGATGAAAGGTCATATTGCATAAAATACGTCAGTAAATTATCATAAAATTCCTTAGTGCATGAATCCATTAAATTCTTGAAGTAATCAAATTGACCCTTGAATTTACCATTAACTCTTAAAACTACGTATCTTCTGTCTCCAACTTCAATTTTGACAGGGTAGACGTTATTAGTTACCAAAATGAAATTGGCAACATTCTGAGCAGTTCTTCTGGGTTGATTCTTTTCATTAATTCTAATCTCATTATCCGTAATAATTGATTTCAAAGCGTTGAAGTTTGCGAGTCTATCTTCACCTACATTCTTGAGTTCATTAAGTACAAGAAACATTTTATTCTCAACTACTGAATTGAAATTACCCGTTAGCTCACTTATTTCAGTAATGTTTTTACATGAATAACCGGCGAGAAGTTCAGAAATAATATCTGTAAATCTGTTTTTACCTGTTCCCTGAAGTCCTTTCAAAATAATTGCTGTTTCATTCTTGATTCCAGGATGTTGAATCATTGATGCAATCCAGCCGAGAAGGTATTTATACACTTCATCGTTATTATCACAAATGGCTTCTTTAATGAAATTCATAAACATCTCAATTTTTGAGTAATCTGGCTTTTCGAGAACGTTGTATTTATAACCTTGAAACGTTGAGAAAACATCTGGAGAATCAGATTTAAAGCAAACACCCTTAACGGTTAATGAAGACAATTGATTTAGTAGTACGTCCCATGCTGTTATGGTTTTACCTTCTTCTTTAAATAATTTAATCATTTTAAGTGACTCTTTCATGTTTGATTGAAGAACGAATGATATTTGATTCATTTTGTCGTGGATATTATAGTCCTTTTGAATGAAATATTTGTTTCCACAATCTACAAAACGGATTACACGTGATAAATCCTCAATTACTTCAGAACTGTTTTTATACTGATGATTTTCAGCCCTGCGTCTAATATCCGTTATCAAAAACGAGTCATCAAGTTTGATATCAAATGTTATTTTTGGCTTACGTAATAAAGGTAAAACATATTCATCATAATATTCCTTTTGATAAAGTTTTAGAATCTTCACCAAAACAAATGGAGAAGTCATTAAATGTGCATATCTACTACTTGCTTTTTCAAAATTACTTTTTGCATTTTCAGTTAAATTGCAAAAGTTATAAACGTTATCGTATGCTTCATTAATTAAATGATTAGGTAACGAATTAATTGCTTGAAACAGTGTGAATAATGTAACTTCTTTTTCCAAATTCATGTTTCCACCGTCATTATGTACTTCAAAATCACTAATGCCATCAACTATGCTCTGGGCAAGTTTATCGTCAATGTTTACATCTTTGTTTTCATTCATTATACTCTTTATTTCTTCGTTCTTCTGTTCAACTCTTACCTTAATATTCAAATCATTTAATATATCATTCACTGTTCTAGTTAATGTTGAATCGTAACTTCCACGAATGAATGAGTATGTATTGATTGGTTCTGTTGCATTCTTGCGAACTCTTGAATCAGCCATAACCACTAATGAACGCTTTGAATCATCCATAGAAGTCATTATGTCAATATCATAATCATTGCAGGAATAACATTTAATCATTCTGTTCGAAACTGCATAGAAGAAATTAGTGTTGCAATAAATGTGAAGACCTCCTGAAGCGGTTTTAACGATAACATCTTTATCCGAAAGTTTTGATAAAATATCTTTTCTAACTGTTTCTTTAAGTTCATCATTGTACGATTTATTGATATCAACATCTATAATCGTTAAATTTGATATTTTATTTACTAATAAAGCCATACCAGTTTTCCTTCCTCTTCCTCCATCGTGTTTGAGGTAGTTATGTAAATCAATCTTGTTTTCACCAATTCTTTCGTTGAGGGTTTTAGTTTCTGCCACAACTAATTCCTCAGCTAATGAATCAATAACTTTTTCATCAGAAACGATATAGTTGCTGTTGTTTGTTGCTGTCATTTATATAGGAATAAAAAAATGAAACCGATTTTAAAACTAACTTTATTTTTGGGCTGCATCATATTTCCAGGACTGTTGTCAAAATGTCATGTTGTCTCATTTTTTCAGAGAAGTTAATTAACCTGGTGACATGGTGACGTAGTGACACCCTCAGTTCTTCAAAAATAATTAATTATTGAATAACCTAAAAACCATAAACGATAAAATATATTTTTGGTCGTTTATGACAAAAATAAATGGTTCATTTACTCACAATATTTTTTACAAAACGACCCCAAACTTTTAACTTCTTTTCTGCAGTTTCTAATGCTATCTTAGCGAGTTCATATTCTCTAAATTCTCTCTTTAAATCTTCTTGTTCCCATTGGTCTAGTTCGTATGGAGAATCTCTATAACCATAATATATCTCACGTTCATGTTCTAATTGTTTTTCGCACATTTTTCTAACTTCTTCTTCAAACAAATGTTTAGCATTCTCTACTGTATCTTCGAGTTCTTCTTCATCTAATTTCTCATGAACTTTCTTGTCTATGGAGTCCATAATTTTTCCAACTGCTATGCAATATTTTGGAGAAGCCCACATTGCTATATAGTTTATAAGTCTTGGGTCTACATACGTTCCTCTAACCTGTTTGATTTCATCAGGAATTCCTGCATGAATTTTGTATAAAAAGCAACAGTCCGAATTCCGGCGGTTGCTATATTCTTCACAAAATGCCTTATAATACTCTTCCCAGGACTTATTTTCCAACAACTTTCTAAAGTCTTTCCTAAACTGCTGACACATATTTGTTGCATTAATGTAACCATCCTTGTCTCTACGTAAGACTTCAATACCGTTATAAGTGCCTTTTGTGAATGTTTCGCCATTAGATTTGTTCGTAAATGATTTTGCTTCGACTGACATTTCTGTTCTTACATACAAAATAAAAAATGAAACCGATTTTAAAAATAAATGAAACAGAGGAGGAAGAAATAAATGAAAGTGAAAATGTTCAACAAAAAATAAACGTTGTTAAACCAATTACTGAAATAAAAATTTTTTCATCTGTTGAAGAATTTAATGACTATTATGCTAATAATAAAAAATTATTTGAAGAATTGACAACATGTAAATTGAATAAAATGTTTAAAGTTGATGGATTCAAAATTTCAAAAATAAAAGGAGTGGTTAGTTTGAAATCTATTCCTCAATCAAGAATCACCTCATTAATGAAAATAGATGATTTAACAAAAAGAATAGAAGAGATTGAAGAAAGAATGAATCAAATAATTGATTTCATAAATTCAAATAATCATTAGCTTATTTTGGCTTTCATATTCATTTAATAATTCACAATCTTCATTTTTAAATTGAAGTTTAACCCATTCAGGATTTAAACAATGTTTAATTAATCGCGGAATATCTGACATCATCTATATATAGCTTCTTTTATAAAAGATAAAATAAATTATTTTAAAAATAACTTTAATTTTTTTAATGGTTTATAAATAAATATATTTTAATGCATCGTCTATATATAGATGTAACAAAAAAAGTCACACAACCCTTCATATCCTACTACTAAATTTTGATAAGAATCAAATATTGTTTACTAGACGGTAAAAAGAAATACTACATGCTTAAATTCTTTTGGCCATACGGAATCTCGATCTCGTTATCTCCAGAATTAAAGGTTTATCGGCATCATATACTAATGCTTTATGCTTTATATTTCCTAAGTAAATATACAATTTCCAATTATTACACGGCATTGAAATATCTTAAACATTCATTCTTGAGAAATTGTCCATCAAAAGGAATAAACACGAGCAATCTTTCGTGTCAAAGTATCATCTGTGTACATTTATTATATGTGCTTTAATAATTTACTTTGATACTACATAATCTCCACAATAATAAGATAATTTGTTAATATTTATGAACTATTTATTTGATATTTACACAATTTTGCGCTTATGAGCAGATCAATTAATTTATATGTAAATTAGCTAAATATATGATAATAAAGTCATAAAATTAGCAAATTAAATGTAATATTGAGATAAAAAAGTGATGAGGACAAACACAAATGTTGTTATTTAATTTTTAAACAAATCTTAAACGAAACAAACTTTTTCATAAATAATAAAAAATTATATCGAGTTGAAAATCACTTCTTATGGGTGCTGCGCTTTGACTTCGATGTAGATGCACGTGATGAACCAGTATTAATCTCACTATTTGCAGTAGAACTCTTGTGGCGAGACTTTTTAGTGGATGAATTCGTGTTTTGAACAAATATATCAGAAGCACTATCATCCTTGTTATTTTGGGCCATTGCAGATGCTTTGTATTGCGAATGTGTTGATTTCTTAGGGAGTTCATAATTATCTATTGATGCTGATACAGTTTCTGAAAATTCGTTGTGTAATTTGATTTGCCTTTCTTTTACATGCTTATATGACCTGTGGTCATCTTCCTGTCCTTCTTCGAGATTCTCTGGTAAAACATAAGTTGGATCTTCATCTTCAGACTGAGAAATAGTATGTAAAACTTCGGAATCAATTTCGAACCAGCCTTCTGAAACATCTTCTTCGCCATTTCCTAGATCAACATATCTTTGCCTGATAAGTTTTTGAATTGGAGGGCGTACTTTTGATATCTGAAGACATCCTTTGGAAATTTTATTATTTGCTGAGAAAATTTCATTTTCTGCTTCAGTTTCAGCAGATTCTAATGTAAGCGATAAATTTGTTCTCTTTAAGAATTCATATACTAGTCTTGCAGCCAGTTTATGAGCTCTTGTCATTTTCATTTCGGGTGGTGTATGAAATAAATCAAAATCTGATTTCATTGCGGCTATTGCGACATCATGGAAGTATTTTGCATAGATGTAATCTGGGGCTCCATTCTTAACCATTTCTTTGCATACACTAGCATTTAAATCTTTTGGTGCTGGAGGTAGATAACTCATGATGAATTATAACGCATGAAAAACGGCTAAAATCGAAGGATCATTTCCAAGATCACTATGAGACTTTGGCATGAATGAATATTGCCTATATGATCAAAACTTGTCAAAAGAAAGATTAGCTATTGCTGCTTGTAACAACAAATATTTCGAATCGAAATTTTAACTAATATATAAGAGTTCATTGAGCTTTATTCTTCAAGCACCATATTATTTCTATATTGTATTCTCATATTCATGCATATCTGAAAGATATTTCATTATGACAACATTAATTGAAGAATTAACATTTGTATCTAATATCATAGTTTGACTACATATTGATTTATGCATATATTAAATAATGTGATGTTTCATCATTCAGAACATCGTTTGAACTTAAATTCAAATCTATTAATCTTTTATTTAGCATAAAGATCTCAAAATCGATCATAATAATTATTATTGAACTGTATACAAGCAGTGTTGAGCATTCTGAACTAGATTTTAAGGCAATTCTTCTTCATGCAAAAGTAAAACACAATTTTATAGTCTTTACCTATAATAACAGGCTCAATTATTCAATTTAACTTATTTTACGAGATCTGGTTATATTATGAGTGATATATCCTGTGCGAATGTTTTCTATATTATAGATTTTGCATATGGTTCGAGCAATGAAAAGTAGAGAGAACGTACATATTGCTTGGATCACAGATTAAGAAAATATATTCATTATTTAAATAATCATGTCCGAGTGAATATATCCATTCTAATAGGTTTGGCTATTAATAATGCCAAATTCATGGCCGGCAATTTGTGAGTGAAATGCCCAGAAAAGAAAATAAATTTCACAAAAATGAAATGATATGCGAAATTTTGACACTTTTTTTATATATAAAGAAACAAAAAAATGGCCACGTATTATTCAATCGAGGAAATGTTTGACATCTATCAGAACAATGTTACAAATAGATATGACGAAGCAATAAGAAATGACGCATCAATTATGCGTCTTTATTTTGAAAAAGCACCAATTACTCAATATCGCAGTGGTAAAATGCAACTCAGCATCTCCAAAGCATCATCTTTCATCCTTAGTAGTGTTATTGAGAGTGCTGGCTACATTGCTGACCCGAAAAGGTTTGTAATGACAAAAATAAACATCATTACACAAGTCAATTTTGATTCTACATTTAGAGAGCTCAGGAATAGAGATATTAATCCACAATTCGTCCTTGATTCATTACTGCAAAAGGCCACTTCCCCAATTCAAGATCCAGAATCACCAAACAGTGGCATTCCGATTCAAATACAGTTATTCCTGAGATTACGAGAGGTCAACGAGAAGTACAACGAGTTCCCCGGCCTTCTTCTTAAAGCTTATGACCAAAATATTTCTTTAGCCATTCAAAACAAGTGCAAGACCATTTTAGTATACCTTTCATATTTCTTTGTATACAATATTCTTAAAAGAAAGCAATACGGCGAGATTCTTATTAAGATTATTAACGGATTAAGGGTAGAAGCGGCAGTAGAGCATTTAATCTCCGCTCTTTCCATTTCAGCGCGAAGAATAGATACAGAACAGTACACAGAATTCACTTATTTCTATCGTTTCATCATGAGAAATCTCAATTCTTGTTCTGGCTTCACTTCTTTCAAAGTCACCGAACATTTCGAGCAGAGAGCCAAAGGATGGCCAGACGAGAATCCAATCATCAAAGAAAAACGAGCTGAACCTAAGAAATTTATCATGAATTCTACATCTTCAAAGATTTACACCGGCCATACAGATTTCAACTTCAACTGTGGCGATGCCATTGAACAGATGTACGAAGAATGGAAAAATTCGTCCAAATTTATGGATATTTTGAATTTCAAACCAGATATCATTGTTGAGACAGCATTTAAGCTATTTGAGAGACATGTAAAGGATGTCGAAGACTATTCTTACTTCATTGCCTTCGTTCTTGATAATTTATTCAAGAAGAAGCCCGTAGAAAGGTATTTAGCCTTCAAGAAGCATGTACATATATTCCAGGAGCTAACAAAATCAGAGGAAGGTACAAAGATCTACTGGGATGGCTTCGGAAGAATGCTTGATACTTTATACATCCATAAGAAGATCGAACAGCAACATTTGTTTGATATCCTGTCTATTGAAGATATTCCGCTACCTCAATCCGTAAGAATTAAGTGCATTATCGAAAAGGATGACGTAGTTTCCGAATACGAGTCGACAAAAATTTTCAAATTGGCAAACGGCGGAATCCCAAAGTTAGATGAATTAAACATGGCGTTCGTAAATATCGCTTTGTACAGCGAATTCGATACAAAAGAATTTCTGATAAATCCGAAATGTATAGAAGGAGTCCAAAACATGGATCCACACTTCGTATTTAAGTTTATAAGAGCGGCTGTATTCGAATCTATACAAGATTTCCCAAGACTCCGCCAATATCAAGATATTCTTTTCCATATTAAGCAGAAATGGACATCTTTGTTTAAGCCAATGATTGAAAAATCAATCGAATTATCATCTTGTGGCTCAACAAAGAAGCAAAACTTCAGAGATTTAGTTGAAAGAATATTCTATTCTCCTATGAGATAAATTTAGAGTAAAAATATATTATTGACTGTTTTTTATGAAATCGATCATCATGTTTTCTTTTTAATCCGTGTTTGAAAATTATATCTCAAAAATATCTTAAAAACTATTTAATATCATACTAAAGTTACAATATACTTCATAACACTTTTTGAATTTTATAATGCATTTGATCTAGATTCATGTAATAATAATTACTTTCATGATTCATTGATGTGCATTGGACTGATATAAGCCAGATAAACTCATTTTAAGGATAAATCTCAAAAGTTTATCAACTAATCACTTACTTTTGCTCAAAGTTTTAAGATTTTTTGTTATCTACTTAATAAAGTATTAATCTAATGAGAAGAATCTTAAAAAATTGTTAAATGATTCTAATACTCATGGCCACTCAAATCTTTTATTGAATAATAAAATAAAAAAATTGAAAAACCATATTGCATTATGGGTATTTAATGTATACACTTTTTAGTTACATTCATTTCAATTTTACAGGTAGAATATTAACGAAATATATGGGGAATCGTAAAAGATACAAATAAAGAAAGAATTTTCTCACGGAGGCTTAAGCTGAACTACCATTGCAAGCTGGTCATCGAACCTTTTCTGGAATAAATCTAATTGGCGCTTTTTCTCGCGTAAACAATGGTGCATATGTTCATAAGCCTGAACAGTTCTTAGTTTATGAAGTAAATAGTGGGCATTCATGAATAGATACTTCATCTGATCGAGAGTTTTGTCTGGGTTTTCGTTGCCGCCAGCTAAAGTTTGGAATAAATCTTGAATTGTGAAAAGAATTTGGTGATTGATCTTCTTTAGCTCTAAAAGTGGTGGTTCGGATGGATCATAGAGTACTGGAATTCCTTGGGACTCTAAAGATGGAACATCATCATCATTTTGTGGTTTATTAAAAACAGAAAATGGTGTATCTGGAATTTCTGGAGGCTGAATAGGATTTTCTCCATCCTTAGTGAACTGTTTGTATTCTTCTAAAGGTGGAGGAAATGCAACAGTTGCTCTTTGCTGTTGATCCATAAAAGTGACTGTTTTTGAATTATCGGCGTGAAGCACCAATAAAAAAAAGATTATTCATTGTAGAAGGGTAATGTCACTCCCTTCCAACCATATCTTTGGTTTAAAACTCTAGCTAGAGACTATAAATCCTGTATGTATGTAGAAGACCGAATATAGATGTTAAAGAATGACTATGCTTTTATTGTTATTCTACCTTTCTTATTATGTTCATTATAATTATGGATATCAAGTTATATTGCATTGCTACAATTTGGATTAATCGTAAAGATTAGCTTTAATTAATTCATTTTGACTCATCTAGCTTAAATACATCTTTACATGGGATATGTTCTATATGTCTTACTCTGAAGTTCAATGATAATCATGAAATTAGTCATTTAATTATCGAAGATTATTGATAATTTCTATGATATATTCTATTAATTTTACATGTATCTGGATAAATTCTATCATGTAGAAATATTTATAGACTTATTCAAAAAAATCGAATCAATTTTCAAATCGAAAACTTTAGAAAATGTGTGAAAAATGTTTCCTTAGATGAATATCTGTTTCAATGAAATTGAATGCAGTCAAAAATTCTGATCATAAATTTTAGAATGAAAGAAATTGAATAGTTTTTGGAGAGAATTATCAGGAAAACGATCGAATATTATATTCTACATCTGGCCTTACAAATATCGAAGTCAAATCATCATGCGAGATCATTTTTGGACAAGTTGGTTCCGATGTTTGTGGTAATTATGCATTCAAAGGAAGCAAAGATACACTCGAACGAGTCACATTTGCTTCAGGTTCTAAACTCAAAACCATTGGTGAATGTAGTTTCTACAGTTGTTTAAAACTCACAACAATTGATTTTTCAGAATGCAAATATGTCACAGAGATTAAATCATATGCATTTTATATATGCTCATCTTTAGAAACAATCACATTACCATCTTCTATTCAAGTCCTATCTCAATTTTGTTTTGGATATTGTTATAAACTTGAAACTCTTATAATTAATAAAGACTCTGAGCTTAAAAGCATTGGTGAAGGATGTTTTTACAACACAATATTGAAAAACGTTTTTATTCCAAAATATGTTTCACAATATTATGCATGCAAATATCCAGTAATTACGCTAAAGTATATCGAATGCGATGAGTTGAATGAATATTACACTTCTGAAAATGGAATATTATACAGTAATGATAAATCAAGACTTATTCATTATCCAGGAAACTTTTCGAAAGAATTTTCAGTTCCAGATTTTGTTGAATATATTGGAGATTATTCTTTCTATATTTCATTTATTGAATTAATTCGTTTCACATCAAACATCAAAAATCTTGGAAATTGGGCATTTTATGGTTGTCATTTAAAGACACTAAATATTCCAAGCAATATCAAATTAATTAAAACAGGTGAATTTAAAAATTGTAAATATCTGAATGAAATCATTTTAAGTAATGGGATAACTAAAATTTCTCACGTTTGTTTTAGTGGTTCAAATATATCAGAAATAATACTTCCTGAAGGATTAATAGAGATTGGGAATGCAGCATTTACACTATGTCCGAATTTGAAATCAGTGACAATTCCTAGTTCAGTCACAATTCTTGGAGGACATTGTTTCGATCCAGATATAGATATTCATTTTGCAGAAAACTCAGCATTCACAAAAGATGATCAAGGTATTATCTACAATGCACAAAGAACTCGACTTATCTTAATTCTAAGTGAGAAAGATTCATACTCTATTCCATCTACAATCGAAGAAATATATGCTTTTGCCTTTGGAAGCATTTTAAAATTAACCACAATAATTTTTGAAGAAAATCCAAATCTAAAAATAATTTTTAATTATGCTTTTAACATATGCCCTAACTTAAAAAATATTGATATTCCTGATTCTGTGTCCACAATTGAACAATATGCTTTTAATGGTTGCGTATCACTTAAAACAATGAAGTTTGGAAAGAGTTTAGAATACATTCACGACAATGCTTTCAGAGATTGTGAACATTTAGAATTAATTGAGTTTTCTGAATGTAATAAAGCAACAATTGGAGCTTATTCATTCAATAATTGCAAGAATCTAAAGAGAATTGTTTTTGCTAATAATATAACAAAAATAGGAAAGAATTGTTTTTCAAATTGCATATCACTTTCGGATGTTATATTCCCATCTTCATTAGAATATATAAATGCTTTTGCGTTTTCGAGAACAGGAATATTGAATGTATCATTTCCATTAGATTCTAAACTAATATCACTTGGTGTTGGATGTTTCAGCGAATGTAGGAATCTATCATATATATCTCTCCCTCAATCTGTGAATGAGATTCAACAAAGTTGTTTTGAGTTGACAAACATATCTTCTTTCGTCGTTCCGAATCATACTGAATACATATCTGATTATGCATTCAAAGACTGCTCAAACTTACGAACATTCACAATTCCATCGAACTGCTCTCTTCGAAGATTCGGAAATCTCTTCTTCGAAGGATGCTCATCTCTTTCTGTCATCGAGTGCCCTCATAGTGAATGGTTTTGTGTCGATGTCGGTGCACTATACAACAAGAACGAGACAGAGCTCATTTGCTTCCCGCCTGCGTCCGATATCAAGTTCTTCAATCTCCCACAAACACTCGAAACGATATCGTCAGGTGCTTTCATCGGATGCAAGAATCTCGTTAGCATATCAATCGCGAGCAACTCAGTGAAGACGATCAAGCAATATGCATTCGCAAATTGTTCTTCTCTCACATTCATCAACATTCCAATCTGTGTTCAAAACATAGAGAGTTCTATATTCATCGGCTGCAACAAATTACGTTGCGGTGTTATCATCGAAAATCGCACAACATCTTTTATTAAGAGAATTATTTCAGTCTGTCTTCTCAATCCTAAAGCTATTTTCGACTGCGACATTCTTTCATGTCAATGTATTCGAATTCACTCATCCATAACATCACATATTCTATATTCTTTTTCAATAATATTCTATCTTGGAATATTCTAAAATAATTGTTTTTATTAGTTTAAATATCTATTTTTCATACCCATGTTTGAATAACAAACACATATTACAACAAAACATTTTTTTTACGCTTTTTACTTCTTGACTTCGGAATTTTCATTGATTATATAAGCAGTATCTTGTCACTGTGACTTGTGAGATATCCCTGCAATAAATATTCCTTTCATCTTATTTTGCTCTGGATCTTTTCTGGATTTGCACTTGTTTTATAAGGATTCATCGTAGTAACTATTAATGTTTGATAAAAAAGATGAATTGATATAGAAATGCTTCTAGATAGCAAAGTTTCAGTGAATTAATTTCCTTCACAAGATAAACCATTTTACCGGCAAACCCAAATTTTAGCTAAAAGTGACAGGAAAAAAAAACGTTTAGTATTAAAAAAAAGACCGATGAGAGCTTCGTTCGAAATATAGAGGGAACTGAGAATGCGCAACCATTCTCAGGGAATATTGGATGCTATTCCCGTTCCCTCTGTATGGAAAATTGAGGTTTTCAAAGGGAGTTAAAATAATATCAAATTTATACTAATTTACTTCAAAATACAAAAGTATTTGACAGCTAAAATTAGTTACTTTAGCAAGCCTATCAATACCCTTTTACGATTATTGCTACTTTTTCGAAATAAAAGTAAAAACAAATTTATACTAATTTACTTCAAAATACAAAAGTATTTGACAGCTAAAATTAGTTACTTTAGCAAGCCTATCAATACCCTTTTACGATTATTGCTACTTTTTCGAAATAAAAGTAAAAACAAATTTATACTAATTTACTTCAAAATACAAAAGTATTTGACAGCTAAAATTAGTTACTTTAGCAAGCCTATCAATACCCTTTTACGATTATTGCTACTTTTTCGAAATAAAAGTAAAAACAAATTTATACTAATTTACTTCAAAATACAAAAGTATTTGACAGCTAAAATTAGTTACTTTAGCAAGCCTATCAATACCCTTTTACGATTATTGCTACTTTTTCGAAATAAAATAAATTTATTATCAAAAACCTTTTTTTTCTTAGTAAAAATAAACGAAATTTTTTACCTTATGAACTTTTGATGGAAATATGCAAATTTAAAATAATAAAGAAAGCCGCGAGCGAAGCGATCGGCTTAGTTCGAAGATTTTGATTCAAATCTTTGCTGATCTGTAATTCGCGGAAGCCGCGAGCGAATCGAGCGGCTTAGGTCTAAGATTTTGATTCAAATCTTTGCTTATATTCCTTAAATTCTTTATGAAACTCGCAACAGTTCCATAAAAAATTTTAAATTCTAAACTTCACGGGTGTGTCACTTTTAGCTAAAATTACCCCTACTCAATTTTACCCCTATTCTTTAACCCTGATATAATTACAGTAAGATGATTCATATTTATGGACGAAAATCATTCATTTGCAGAGTTTTTGTGATCCTTATGAAAATGGTTTGAAATTTTTCAAACAGTATTTCCCAAAAATTCTGTTTGAAAAAACAGATCATTTTGGATAAATTGATAAGGCTGAGATTATCGTTGCACTCAGAAATTATATATCAGATTGAATTTTTGAATTGCATCTTTGGTCTTGTTTGAGAGGAGAAAATTAAGGTCATTTTTATACAAAAACGATGTTAAGCTTATTTGCATCGCAAGCTCTTTGCGGAGCGAAATTCTACGTCATGGCGACGTTAGATCTCTTTGATGACAACCAGAATTTCAAAAATGAAAGCCAGTTTACCTACTATTTAGATCGTCTTCGTTCTGCAGGCGTTGACGGCATCATGATAGATGTTTGGTGGGGTCTTACAGAAAAGCAAGAGAAGCAATACGTTTTCACAGGTTATCATAAAGCATTCGATTACATCAAGGCAAGAAATTTGAAGATTATTCCAGTTTTCTCTTTCCACCAATGCGGCGGAAATGTTGGTGATCAATGCAATATTTCATTACCAGACTTTATTATCAAATCTGAGCAAGTTCCATTCTTCATTGACCAGGATGGAAAAGATGATAAGGAGTACATTTCACCTGCATACGACAATGTCGCTATCACAACAAGTGGCAGAACACCACTCCACTGCTACAGAGACTGGATGACCCAGTTCAAGAAGGAATTCGGAACGATGATCGACAATGGCGACATTGCTGAGCTTGAAATCGGTCTTGGTGCTTGCGGTGAATTACGTTATCCATCATACCAGTCATGGAAGGGCTGGGAATACCCAGGTTGCGGTGAATTCCAATCTTTCGATTCCGAATTTACAAAGCAGCTTACACAGGATGCTATTGCTGCCGGCCATTCTGATTGGGGCCATCATCCAACAAATGTTGGTAACTGGACTACCAAACCAGGAGAGTCTGATTTCTGGCGCAATGGCACATCCAACGGTTGGTCCTCCGCATACGGCAGATGGTACATCAAATGGTATGCTTCAAAGCTTAACAACCACGGCGACAGAGTTCTTAACATCGCAAGAGAACTTTTCCCACGTACACACCTTTCCGCTAAGATTTCCGGTATCCACTGGTGGTACATGGAACCCTCACATTGTGCTGAAACAACTGCAGGATTCAACAACTTCGACGATTACGATGGTTATCGCGATACGCTCTCTGTTTTCAAGAAATACAACGTCGATGTTTGCTTTACATGCCTTGAAATGGCAGAAGGCAATTACAGCTCTAATCCACCTTACCTTGTCCAGCAAATTATCAACGATACTGCTTGGGCCGGTCTCAACTTCGAAGGCGAGAACGCTCTTGCAATCTACGACAAGGAAAACTACCAGAGGTGCACCAACTGGGTCTCAAAGGGACTCAAAGTTTTCACATACCTTAGAATGTGCTCTGATCTCATTGATAATAACACCAAATTCAAGGATTTCGAGGAATTCGTTCAAAACATGCACAACTAAGCTTGGCTTGGATTAATCTTTCTAGTCTAATTGAGATAAAAACTTGATTTAACGACTACTAATACAGAATATTAATTTTTTAATACGATATATTTAATTAACACGTAAATGTCTATTGATTTTTATTTAACGTATCAATATGATAATAATTTGTTATTTAAAGAAGTCATTAATAATATGATGTGAATTTTACTTTGGAATAAGTTTTTTTATAAGCCTAGTATGTGAACCATAATAATGAAACTGAACTTAGAAAAATTTGGAACAACGGCTCTTAATATTGCAGCAAAATTTGAAATATGAATCAGAGTTTAAAAATATCATTTGTAATATTTAACCAATAAGTAACTATCATGATTTTTGATAATTAATGTGATCAGGAAATACCAATAAAAAAATAGCGGCATTATTTAGTAAATAACAATGGTTTAAAACAACACAAATAAATAAAAAACAATAATATATAATTAGATAATATTACACCTCACAAATCATGCTCTAATAATCTGTTATTATTGGCTTGAATTTCTGAAATCATTTTCTAAAGTTTCTTTTAGTTGATTTTGTTCAACAAATTTGATTTTTCGACCTGATTTTTTCATGAATGAAATAGTTTTTGAGTCAGAATCCGAATGATAAGTATGTATAACATAAGTTATAGAGTCATCAGGTAAGTAAGTCATCATAAAACCATCTTGATCATTTTCGAAATAAACAAAATATTTTGCATCAATCATTGGGATGATTTTATCTAAGAAATTCATTCCATCTATTGAAACTATTTCTAAACCTATATCAAAATCAGAGAATCTTGACTTTGGAACATTTGTAACAATCTTTTCTTTTAGTGGAAGACTAAATGAAACAAATCTTTTTCTTATTTCATCGAAATATGATTTATCAACTTCTTCGGGTGTTACTTCTGAACTATATCGTATGGTATTGTTCCAACAGTATTTTGGAGGAATTTGAGATTTAATAAAAATTAATTTTCTTTGTAATACAGTTTCTATATAGCCTATTAAAGGATTTTTGATATTTAAAGAATTAACACCCACAGAAACGTTCACTTTTGATAATTTATAAGCCGAAAATAACACCTTTGTAAATATCGACATAACATCACCTGAAAAGACTTCAATAACTGCACATGATGGTAAATAAGTATAATCGTCAAGTAATGTTATTTCTTCTTCCATTTTATTATTTAATAATATCGAATTTGGAAACAGTTTTCTAATTTCTGGTTGAAAACCAGTGCTATCATATGTAAAATGGAGTATTCCCGACATATTTTGACAAACATGCGCAGTTGTTAAATTTGAAAAATATAACGTTTTTGATCGCTCATTTATGATGTTTGCATCTTGTTCTACAGTAAACGTTCCATTTTCAAGAACTTCGTCTAAGCAATATAAGGTATAATTAAAAGAACCAACTTGATCAAGATCAAATTTTAAATGAATAACATCTTCGTTGTCAATTTTCTTAGCATATATGATATTATACTCTTTAAATCGTATATCTGTCTTGAACATTGGTCCTTGATATTCTAATCGAAATAATCTCCAAATTTGGAACTTCGATAATATGCTTTTTGCTTTTGATCTGGACCAAAATACAATTTTATCGTTTTCGAAAGTAATTTTGTAGTCTTTTATAGCTTGACACTCAGGATTTTTGAGTTTCCAATTCTCTTTAGGTGTAAAAGGCTTGATTTGATCGCCAATATCAAACAAGAAGCTTGCAAAACAGATACAAAATAATAATCCTGTTACAAAATCAAAAAGAAATATATTCTGCCTAGACCGAAGATATTTCTGTTTTTCATTCATAAAAAATGTCTATTTGATGACGTGGAATTAGCATCCTAATGCAATTATTTCTAAAATTTCTAATAATACGTTCTGAATAAGATATTTCAATCAAATCAAATCTTATGTTACAAAGTAAGAAGATAAGCATTTGAAAATACTATTTTCTTCATATTGTCAATAGAAAGGTATCTAAAAAGGCGCAAACATCATAAGATTTAAACTTATTTTGTTGAATTGATTTAGAGCCATAAATTCATATGTATCTAACATATTTTAAGAAGATTATAAATATTTCATTGTAATACTTCATAAATTCTTAAAATCTAAAGGAAATTAGATAAAAATGTGATAACATAAAGAATCCTCTGAGTATTTATCTACGTCATGGGAGTGCAGGAGATATACATGATAAAGCTTGCCCACTCTTGTTGAAATTTGTAATGAACTCTCTCTCAGTGGGCTAGTTCATAGAGAAACACTTCTTGTATATTTATGTTATACACAAAATGCAGGTTTAAAAGAAGATTAAAAATTAAAATCTTGGATATTATAAAAATTTGACAGATTTTAATTGAATGGACAATGCGAATTTACCCTCTACAGTCGAAAGGGATGCATCGAAAGACATATACTCGCTATCTCCATTCAAGACACTAATGCTTCTATCAGTAGGCCCTATTATTTTTGAACTTAGTAGTTCCGTTATGGAAATTGTTGAAGCATTTTGGGTCGGAAAATATATTGGAAAAATTGGACTGAGCTCGATCGGTTGTGTTTTTGTCCCATATAGTTTTTTAATTGGGTTTTCGAATATGGTGTTTGTATCTATAACCCACAAGATTAGCTCATTGCAAGGAACAAAATCATTAGGAACAATTCCTGAATTATCTTTTGACATATTCCGTTTGACAATTATCCTCGCATTGTTAGCCCCAATATTTGTGCTTCCTATCATCAAACCGATATTTTGGTTCCTGAACACAAATGAAAAAATATCTCACAATGGTTTCTTGTATATGATTCCTTTGACATGTGGTTTCCTATCCACAGGACTGCTTCAGTTGCTAACTGGTATTGTTTATGCTAATGGGCATCCGATTTTATATTCTTTATTTTATATTTTGCAAAACCTTTTAGTTATATGCGTGTTCGAACCTATATTTATTCTATGGGCCAAAGTTAGTGTTATTGGAGTAGCGTTATCTATAATTTGTTCAAATATTCTCACTGATATAATAATTTTAATTTATATTAAAGTGAAACATCCAGATTATATATCATTTCAATGCAATAGGATGTTCAAGAAATTCCATCCTGAGTCACTTGCAACAATTAAGATCGGAATCTCAGCTTTCATTATTCAAATTGCTCTTTCAATCCCAAGCGCTGCGATTCAGAAATTCTTAAGTCTTTCAGCACATAAATATGGTAATGTCACTGAAGTAATGGCGATGTGGTCACTACTTCCAAGAATTTATCATATTTTATCATGCATTCCTTTTGCTTTCCAGAAATCATTACTAATTGCAGCTTCTTATGCATATTCAAGTGGAAATAATCGTAGATTATGGATATTTTTCTGGATATCCATTGCGATTTGTTGCACTTATAGTGGACTTAGCGGATTTTTGTTTGCTTTCTTTCCTAGGATTGCGATATACCTATGGTCAAATGAAAAGACCTTCTCAGACATTATTCCTAAGTATGTTCCTCCTTCTACTTATTCCGGAATACTCATCCCGATCTATTTTCTTGGATCTACCCTACTGCAATCTGTAAAGTCTAGTAGATATGCAACTATAAGTAATATGATTGGAAAACTTATCTCTCTTCCATCTTTTGGAGCAATATTATATTACACTAATAAGCAAGCACCTTACAATATCATATGGGCATATGGCATATCAGATCTTATTTCTGCCTTAGCAATAATTAATTCTACCATAATAATCAAATTTAAAAAACTTCGAGATATATCTCACGATGTCAAACAGCAGCAGATTCAATAATTCACTATTCTTTTTTATTTTCTATCATAAAATCTATATATATATATACTTAATCATTATAGATCTTTATTTAGGGATGTCCCAAACCCTGAATTTCAGGTGTGGACAGACACTCGTGTCTAGACTCCTTTTTTTCGGAAAGGATCGGTGTCATGCATATTTGATATATGTGCATCCGTCTTAAGTCATTGATTCTTTAGAGCAGCTACATTCGGTGAGAAATTTAGCAAGATTGAGGTTACCTTTTTCACATGCTACCTGAAGTACATTTTTTTTAATTTTGAACGAGTAAAAAAATCTTGTTTACAACGTCACTTTTAGTAAATTTTGCATTTGTCATCCTTTGCACCATATGATCTAAGAATTTCGGCCATTTCTTTATAATCATTTTCTGCTGCAATACCAAGAGCGGTTTTCACATGTTTCTTCTTTTTATTGATATCTATACCATGTGAAATAAGAAGTTCGGCGGTTTCTTTACTATTATGAGCTACAGCAAAATGAAGAGCGGTTTCTCCATCGTTATCTTTTTCATTGATATTCGCACCATGTGAAATAAGAAGTTCGACTGTTTCTTTGTTATTATAAAATGCTGCTATATGAAGAGCAGTTTTTCCATCATTATCTTTTACATTGATATTTATACCATATGAAACAAGAAGTTCGATTGTTTCTTTACAATTATGTTCTGCTGCAATATGAAGAGAGGTTTGACCATATTCATCTTTTTCATAGATATTTGCACCAGATGAAATAAGAAGTTCGGCTATTTCTTTGTTATTATTACGTGCTGCAAGGTGAAGAGCGGTTTCTCCATAATTATCTTTTTCATTGATATTTGCGCCATGTGAAATAAGAAATTCGATTGTTTCTTTACAATTATGTTCTGCTGCAATATGAAGAGAGGTTTGTCCATATTCATCTTTTTCATAGATATATGCATCATGTGAAATAAGAAGCTCGATTGTTTCTTTACAATTATATTCTTTGGCAATACAAAGTGCAGCTCTTCCATAATTATCTTTTTCATAGATATTTGCACCATATAAAATAAGAAGTTCGGCTGTTTCTTTGCTATTTCTGCGTGCTGCTTTATGAAGAGCGGTTTCTCCGTCATTATCTTTTTCATAGATATTTATACCATGTGATATAAGAAGTTCAGCTGTTTTTTTACAATTATTTTCTGCTGCAAAATGAAGAGCGGTTTTCCCAAATTTATTTTTTTCATTGATATTTGCACCATGTGAAATAAGAAGTTCGATTGTTTCTTTGTTATTATAATTAGTTGCTTTATGAAGAGCAGTTTCTCCATCGTTATCTTTTTCATTGATATTCGCACCATGTGAAATTAAAAGTTCGGCTGTTCCTTTGCTATTATTCAATGCTGCAAGATGAAGAGATGTTTGTCCATAATTATCTTTTTCATTGATATTTGCACCATGTGAAATAAGAAATTCGGCTGTTTCTTTGTTATTTTGAGATGCTGTAATATGAAGTGCGGTTACTCCATCGTTATCTTTTTTATTGATATTCGCACCGTGTGAAAGGAAGTATTCGAGTAATGACGGAATATTGAGTCTTGTTGAATAAAGAAAGCATTTGTTAATTTCATTAGTTTGATCAAAATAAACAAAAATTGATTCCAAATTATTATACCATCCGCAATTTTCTAAATCGATCTCTAAATTGAATTCATTCATCAAGAATGTAACAAAATCAATGTTGTGCGAAATAATTGCACATTTCATGCATTGTTGATTTGGTTTTTGATATTTCAAACATTCACTCATGATTTCTGAATTTCCTCCTAAAAATGATAAATTTAGACATGTTTGAGTTATTTCTGAGTTAAATTTCGTTCTTAATAACTTGAAACAGTCAACTTCTCCATGGTAACAACATAATTCAAGTAATGAATATCCTTCTTCACAATATGCGTATAAATCGCTTTCAAGTTTTTGATCTTTATCAAATCCTTCTCTTTCGGTGAAGAAGATGAATCTTTCTAAGTCATTATACATAATTGCTCTGTAAATTGTATCTTCTAACTGGATATTGAGATTTTCTGAGATATTTGTTTCGAAATTATCGGATTTGTTCAATTTAATTCCATATTCTTTATAAAATAGGTATCTAACAATTAATGGAACTTTGATTTCCTCGTTTACTTGATAGTCATCATATATGAGTTTGGCAAGAGATAAATAAGACTTTGCATAGCGATTATTAGAAAGAACAATCCATAAAATGTCATTTATAATAGTATAAGGAAAACATTTCTTTGAATCAATCAATTCTGTTTTGATCATTTTGTAAATATTATTTATTTCCTCTTCATTTTCAGTTTTTAGCTGATACAATGCATTATATGAATCGATGTAGTATTCATATATACTTCGCAATTCACTGTACTTATTTGGGTAAGTGTTTTGATCAGACATGAATAATTTTTTATAAAGAAATGTTTCAATTTTACCTTTTGAAACATCTTTAAAATTCATTTGGAAAAATGGATGCTACATTATATCTGTGAAAAAACACTGATCACAAAGATTTCGAATTTCATTTATGCATTTTGCTTAAGTTTGTAGATATGAAATAACACAATAACAAAATAAATGTCTAAATCAATAACATTGTCATCCAGATACGTATATTAAAAGATTATTGATGATTTCAAAAGCAGTCCAGCATTTCGAAGGTATTTATAAGATTATCGCATATCTTTTCAAAAGCAAGACATTTTTTCTCAATCAATAATATAATGATGCCCTAAAGAGATTAATGTTGTTTCCCTAACTACGGGATTAAAACCAATATGTTATTGTGTTTTCTCATTAGATTTTCTTAGTAAATCTAATTATCAACTGGCTTTAATAGTACTTTTAATTTCCAATTGTATATTGCTGTATGTATATATGTATTTCCAATTGAGTTCGAAATCTCAAACTTTTCCTATATAATAGCATACTTTTTAATATAAATTTGGAGCGTTCAGACAATATTTTCATGAATGGAAAATCAAATTTTCTTATTTTTTACAAGGTATAAAAAAGTTTATTATTTTTCAAACGAATAGTAAAAATCAAATAATAATTAAATGATTCAATAAAATAAAACAAGACTTAATCGCCACCCATCTTAGCGCGTCTTGCAGCAAGGCGCTTCTGGAGATCAGACATTTCAGGCTGAGCTGGCTGTACCGCGACAGCTCCAGGCTTTGGAGTCTTTCTCAAAGCGATTGGTCCTTCTCTGAGGCTGTTCATGAGCTCATCGAGGACACCACGTTCAGCTCCGCCTGGTCCTCCCATTACCATACCTGGTAATCTTGCGCCTGGTCCACCGCGAGCAGCAGCCTTTGCAGCTCTCTCTGCGGCCTTCTTTTCGTCCTGTTCGCGCTTCTTGTTTGCCTCGTCTGCCTGTCTGAGTCCGTTGACCAAGTTAACGAAGACTTCCAAGAATTCTGCCATCTTTGTCTTTGCGATGTCTTCGCCATAGAGTTTGACCAACTCTTCGTAATCCTTTGCGATCTGTTCGATTGCAGCCGGTGGCTTAGCGAGTCTTGGTTCGATAGACTCCTTGAACTTCATGAATGTTGGTGCCAACATGTATCCTTCGACAACCAACTTCTCAGCAGCTCCAACTTGGTTGGAAAGTCCGTTGACTTGGCCGTTGAGCTTGTTGTAGTTTTGCTTGGTTGTATCGAAATCGACAGACAACATCTTGTTGATTCCGCTCAACTCTTCGCATAATGTTGCGACATCGAATGTCTCTGCGATGTAGTTAAGTAATGTGTAGCCTGGTCTGTTTGTTCTCTGATCCAAGATCTTCGTGAAGAAGTCGAACTTGAAGCCGTAAGCGCCACCCTTGTTTGTGCCACCGTTGATGAAGTTACCGATAGCCAAGATGTACTGGAGGAGGTCCTTGAGCTTCTTTGATGACTTGAGCTGCTTGAAGCCTGTTGACAAGATCTCAACTGGTACTTCGATATCGTTCATCGATTCCTCGAATGACTGTCTAAGGGCCAAGAACTCGACGTGCTGCTGGAGCATTGGAATCTTTGAGACAGCGAGGACGTACTGTTCTGGCGGGCCAAGGAGTGACATGTCGCCATCGTAAGCTTCGACACTTCCGATTTCATCTGGTGTTGGGACGTTGTTCTTGAGGGATCCGATTGCATCTTCTGAGAGGTTCTGATCCAAGTTCTTGATCATGTTTGCGATTTCGTTGATTGGAGAACGGATACGGCCGAGCATGATGGAGATTGACTTGGCTCTCTGTTGGTCGATGATTTCGACGAACTTTGGCTTCTCCTTCTTCGGAGCAGCGTCTGGATCCTTCTCCTTCTTTGCTGGTTCTGCAGCAGCGAAAAGTTCGCAAAGCATGTCCTTGTTCAAAGAGACCTTTGAATCATCGATTGACTTCCAGATTGTGTTCTCGTACTGAGCGTCCTGGATCTTTGTCCAGAAGATTGCCTTTGTCTTGACTGGTGGTGCTGGGGATGGCTTCTTAGGAAGTCCTGGTGCTGGAGGTGCTGGAGCGCCTGGTGGAGCAGGAACTCCTGGTGGAGCAGGAACTCCAGGTGGAGCAGGTGGAGGTGGAACTCCTCCTGGTGGAGGCGGAGGTGGTGGGACGCCGCCTGGTGGAGGAGGTGGAGGAGGAACACCGCCTGGTGGAGGCGGAGGTGGTGGAACAAGTCCTGGAGCGGCTGGAGCTCCACCTGCATGTGCTGCTGCGAGTTCCTGCTTTGTCTTCTCGAGTTCTGCCTTGACTTGTTCGTAATCAGCCTTCAACTTGGCAATTTCAGCATCCTTTGCCTCGATCTGTGACTTGAGATCTCCATTGGCAGGTGATGCGCTGATAGAAGACATATCGATCTCTATCTTCTCACCGCTGTCCATGGCTGCCTTTGCTGCATTCAACATGCCGAGAAGAGACTCTTTCTCAGCTGTAAGTGTAGCAATCTGGGAACGAAGTGTAGAAAGGATTTCTTCAGCCTGTTGCTTGTACTCGATGAGTTCTTTTGTATCTGCGCTCTCCTTTGGCTGTGCTTCGAGTGCTTTGAGCTTCTTCTCGAGTTCAATTACCTTCTGTGCTTCAGCGTCTGCTCTCTGTGATTCTTTCTCTTTGTTCTCGATGGCGGATTTCGCTGAGTACTTGAGGCCTTCGATCTGCTGGTTGGCAGTTATGAGCTTGTTCTCGTAATCTGCAATGAGTTTCTGGATCTCGCTGCTGCTGGCGTTTGCGCTGACTTGTGGGGTTTCTGGTGCTGACTGATCTCCTTCTGTCATCTTCTGGAGGTTGGCGGCAACCTTGCTCTGGGCGGCCTCGGAAACGAGTTCCATGATTGGCTGCTGCTCCATTTCCTCAGAAGTCTGGAACATGTACATAGTCATGAGTTCGGATGGTTCGACATCTGGATTTAAGTGGCGTAGCTTGATTGGAACACGGAGATCTTGTGCAATAGCGATAGCTTGCATCAATCTCTGTGTACCGTTGCCTTGATTTTGGGCACGAGCGATTGCGAGGAAGTTGTGAATGAATGTAGTGATTCCCTTGAAGAGGGATGGGTTCTTGAAGGCTGTATCAAGCATCTGAAGAAGGATACTTGGAACAATGTACTTTGGATCGGAAGCTTCGTAAAGTTTCTTGACGATGGCCTTCTGGTTGTATGGGTTGACTACCTGCTTCTGGAAGAGAGTCTTGATTGTGCGTAATTCGATCTCCATTGTGTTAAGAAGCTTCGGTAGGTTCGGATATTGCTCCTTTGAAACTTCTCCGAGGACAGAATAGAGGCCGCATTGCTGTATAGCAAGAAGCCAGTCCGTTCTGAAGGATGGGTAGTCGGTAAGGGCTGCATAAAGACCGGTGATAAATGTAACGATAGAAGAGAGTAAAAGAGCTGCGGATCCGGACTGTAATTCTTTCTTAACAGCAGCCGCAAGAATCTTCCAGCCGTGGTGCGAACGTTTAAGGTTTTGGAAGGCCTTCATGATATTACGGAGATTTCTCTCAGCCTTTACTGGATCTTCTTCCTTGAGGATGAGGACGACCAGAATCTGGAGCGCTGTTTCAATCGTACGAGGAAGATCTGGATAAATTGAGTTAACGAAAAGTGGGAAAGCGTTTGGATAATTCAACATGAGCTTGACACCAGAGTTAGAGTTGCAAATGGCACGGAAGCAGACGAGTACGTTGATGAGGGAGTCTGCATCTTCGCGGACGAGAGAATCGTAACCGTTTAAGCAGGCAACCTTCTTGGATAAGATTGATAATAATGTAAGATGGCCATTAGCGTTGAAAAATCGTGTACTCCATGAAAGAATGGAAGATTTAAGTTGTACGGACAATTTATCAAGAATTGCTGATAATCTTTCTTTGTTAGCTCCTTGTACAACATCATGTGCTTTAAGAACTTTAATTAAGTATTCGGGTGCCGGTAATTGTCTATTAAGTTGGTTTTGCAAAAGAACGAAGTTCCATTTCTGTTCAATTGGCTTGGCTTCAAGAGGTTTTCTCTTTTCACCGTGAATATCCATCTCAGTGATGGTATCGTTGAACATTTCAAGAACTTTTTCTTCATCCATCTTTCCATCAGGTAATGTTGGCATCTGTGGCGGTGGAGAAGTCAAGAAATATTCAAATTCGACTTTGCCTTGGGCATTGATATACTTTGGAATACCTTCTTGCTCCATTTGAAAGTCCTAATTGATATTTTATTCAAACAAAGTCTCTCAAAAAAAATTTTCAATCGGCATGATTTAAAATAATATTGTATATGATATTAGGAAATAAAAAAAGTTTGATTAAAAATTTTGGTGCGTGAAGAAAAATGATTAGTTAAATATAAATAGGGTATTTGCTTTGTTTGCAGTATATATGCCATATTGCAATTTGCGAATCGAAATAATCTCAGTTAAATTTTATGATTTTATTTTTTTGCGAGGACAAAATACGTTTAACCTCACAAATTAAAATTGTTTATAGCATTCTTCTTCCTCATTATAAATATAACTTTTTTCAAAGCCAACGATTTTTTTATATTGTAACCACAAATTTTGAAATATCATTTATTTGTTTGTTAATACCTTTATTAGTGTTTTCGGTTGATTTCTCACCATCATAAGCCTGATAAATATCAAATTGAACACAAAATGAATAATAATTACGCTTTAAGTAATAGAAATGGACTCGATCTTTGGTGGAATTCATTACTCTTTATGAAAATGTATGAACATCACTTTCTGAATATTAGATTCATTTACTAAGGAAGAATCTTATTGATTTTCATAATCCTATCAATAAATTCACTTTATGGATTTGATCTAAAATTTGGAGGAGACAAATACGGAAAATAATGACGTACACACAAATGATTTGATTTGAATTTCTAAATTTTATCAAGGTTTAAATGCTATTTGCTTTATTTAATTCTATTGCGAATGAAAATATAGATTATATTACACGTTCAGAGTATTTCCTTGGAAGGAAATTATAACTTTGAAGTCGAGCTTATAATGAACACTGTTTTTCAAATTAAATTGTCTTCCAATTGAATTGGCATAGAAATTACATTTGACAAAAAAAATTGTGGGGTAGAAACAAATTCTTACATAATCGTTTTTTCTTTATCGATTTTATCTCTACTTAATGGTCCTTGTAAATTCTTTAAAAAATTCCCGCAGAAATTGTATGAGAATTTTTGATAGAAAAAATATTGTAAACACGGCTCTCCCCCTGAAATTTCAGAATTCAAAGTAATTCCAATTATTCATGAAAGGATATTCAAAATACATTATCAAACCACATGCCAGAAGCTCATTGCGTGCATCTCAAGGAATCTTCTTTGAAGATTCATTGCCGCGCGGAAATTTGTTTGACATACCAGATACTCCAGGACCTGGAGCATACTCAGCCAAACCAACCTCTCCTAGAGGATTGCTAAGATCCACTATTTCACGTTCAGTAGAAAGATTCCCAGTCGAAGAAAAAGTTGATCCTTTAGATTTTTATTACTCTCCAGAATTCTTCTCATACGGAAATAAAGGCCCTAGAATCGGACATCTACCAATGCCAAAGACACTATCAATGACACCAACTCCTGGACCAGGAGATTACAATATTACGCCAACAAAAAAGCCGGTTGGTCATCAAATTGCAACTCGAAAACCCGAAAAACCTAATACGAACCCAGGCCCAGGCCAATATAACATCGCTGATAAGCCAAAAATTCCTGGATACCAATTCTCCAAATTACCAACTAAAGTTAAAGAGCAAGAACCGGCGCCAGGTCCTGCTCAATATGTTAAACCTAACAGCTACATTCACGAACCTGATAACGTTATGTTAGCAAATGTACGCATTAGTTTGAAGAATATTAAGGATAGAAGTGCTGCAATATCTTATATACATTCGAACATTCAACTACGTAATGTAATGGACGAAATTATGGAAATGATACTTAGAGACAAGCCGGATAAGCCATTAGAGTACATATATGACTATTTCAAACAGTTTAAACCAGAAGATCCTGAAGATAAGATAGATTTGTCAATTTTATATAATTGATATTTTAATAATATTTTGTTTATGTTAAGATTTCTTTCTCAATACTTTTTTTGTAAATAATTGTATATGAAATAATACATTTTTAGTTATATTTTAAAAAAAATCTTCACATGCAACAAGATTCTTTACCTTTCTTCTCGATCTTGGGTTGTACTTGTTTGTTTGCTAAATAATCGGCTCTTCCTAATTCAGATGTGAATTCTCTAATTCCGTCTCCAGTCTTTGCGGAAACTTCGAAGTACTTAGCTCCCTTTTGCTTTGCATAATTTTCAGCATCTTCATATGAAACTACACGTGAGATGCTGTCAACAAGATCAAGTTTGTTGCCAACAAGGAAAGGTTTTGCATCAGGAGAGCCTTCACTTAAATAGTCGAAGTATTTATCCAATAATTCATATGATTTCTCATCGTCAAGTGAAAATACAATAATAGCAAATTGAACACCTCGAAAATAACTCTTAGTTATTGAATCGTATCTTTCTTGGCCAGCAGTATCATGAATAAACAATTTGAATCTGTTGCCATCTTCACTTAGAAATATTGTAAAGTTACCATTGTTGATTGTTGGCTGTGGAGAAACCATATCGATGTCACCTGTTAATCTTTGTCCAAGAGTAGTCTTTCCTACATTGGTATGTCCGGCAAAAACGCCTGTGTAGGTAGGTTCATCCTCAATCATTCTGAAAAATATGGTTATAAATTTTCCATCAGATGTCAAAATTGGTATCAGATCATGTGAACTTGGTTGGTATCACATAACAGATTATTTTGTTTACAAAAATTTTGACCATCTTGTCGATGTGAATTTTCCATCCATTCTCTGAGGCAAAATATTTTGCACCTTATGAAGATCATAGATAGATATACTCTGAAATTATAAAAAATCGACAATCTTGCATAATATCAAATAACTCCGATGAAATAATTAAATGTAGAAGCGTAACACCGAATTAAATGAATAAGCTTGTATAGAAAAATGCTATTTGTTTGAATCATAATAAAAATAAACATAATTTACAAAATCGCAACATCGCATTCTTCACGATTTCCAATTGTGAAGGCTGGACCTCCACGTGTTGATGGAATATCGTAAAAGCCAGGAGTAGATTCTGGACTCTTTTCGGGATATTTCAAACCAATTGTAATTCCCTTTGAGTCAAGCTTTGGATTGTACATTAAATAATAAGCAGCTGGACCTGGAGATTCTGATGTAGTTGTTGGAAGGTAGTTTCTTCCCTTAATTGTAATAGGAGCAACACCATCAACTCCGGAACTATTAAGGGTATTATATTGACCTGGGCCTGGAGTAACTTCTGTTTTTCCATCTGGAGTACGATTTCCAATTGTAATTCCTTTACCACCAAGAGATGGAGGGACATAGTTTGGTCCCGGAGTGGGTTCGGCGTCACGTGCTTCATGACGTGATGACATTGAGATCTTTGGTCCTTGACCAACGGTGCTTGGAAGATTAACAAAACCGGCTTGATTTGTATCGGTCTTTTGTTCGTAACGATGACCAATAGTATAAGAAGGAGAATTAGAACTTGATGGATTATTAGGGTTGCCATAATCACTTGGACCGGGTGTAACTGCAATGTCGCCTTCGCGTGGACGAATGTGCATCGAGATGCCTTGGCCATTCGTGATGTCGCGGCTGATGGCATAGTCACTTGGACCTGGTGTGACTTCGACTTTAGGATCAATGCCGCGACGACCAATTGTTGGACTTGGTGATGATTTACGAGTGGCATCGTAGTCTGGATTGTAGCCTGCTGGACCTGGAGAATCGGTGCCGGCACCTGGAAGTGGTGTTCGGCCTTTGATCGTGATTGGGGTGACACCATCAACACCGGACTTGTTCAATGTGTTGTATTGACCTGGACCTGGTGTAACTTCAATCTTGCCATCTGGAGAGCGAGATCCAATGGTGACACCGCGACTGCTCTCAGCAAGTGATGGAGGAACATAGTTTGGTCCTGGAGTGGGTTCAAGATCACGTGCTTCATGACGTGATGACATCGAAATCTTTGGTCCTTGACCAACGGTACTTGGAAGATTGACGAAACCGGCTTGATTAGTGTCTGTCTTTTGTTCGTAACGATGACCAATAGTGAATGATGGTGAATTAGAATTAGCTGGATTATTAGGGTTTCCATAGTCACTTGGACCGGGTGTAACGGCAATGTCGCCTTCGCGTGGACGAATGTGCATCGAGATACCTTGACCACCATTTGTGATATCACGGCTAATCTCATAATCACTTGGACCTGGAGTGACTGGGATCTTTGGATCAATGCCGCGGCGGCCGATTGTCGGACTTGGTGATGATTTACGTGTGGCAGCGTAGTCTGGATTATATCCGGCGGGACCTGGGGAATCGGTGCCTGCACCTGGAAGTGGAGTTCTGCCTTTGATCGTGATTGGAGTGACACCATCAACACCGGATTTATTAAGAGTGTCGTATTGGCCTGGACCGGGAGTAATCTCGGTCTTACCGTCGGGTGAACGATGTCCAATTGTAACGCCTCTTGAACTCTCGGCAAGTGATGGAGGAACATAGTTTGGACCTGGTGTTGGTTCTGCATCACGTGTTTCGTGGCGAGATGACATGGAGATCTTTGGTCCTTGACCAACGGTACTTGGAAGATTGACGAAACCGGCTTGGTTGGTGTCTGTCTTTTGTTCGTAACGATGACCAATAGTGAATGATGGTGAATTAGAATTAGCTGGATTGTTTAGATTACCATAATCACTAGGACCTGGTGTGACTGCGATGCCGCCTTCACGAGGACGAATGTGCATCGAGATACCTTGACCGCCGTTTGTGATATCACGGCTAATCTCGTAATCACTTGGACCTGGAGTGACTGGGATCTTTGGATCGATGCCACGACGTCCAATAGTTGGACTTGGTGATGATTTGCGTGTGGCATCATAATCTGGATTGTAGCCGGCTGGACCAGGTGAATCAACTGATGTTTCTGGCATGTAATTGCGACCTTTGATTGTGATTGGAGTAACTCCATCAACACCAGATTTGTTCAATGTATTATATTGACCTGGGCCAGGTGTGATCTCGGTCTTACCGTCTGGAGAACGATTACCGATAGTGATGCCTCTTGAACTTTCTGCAAGAGATGGAGGAACATAATTTGGACCTGGTGTTGGTTCAACGTCACGTGCTTCATGACGTGATGACATTGAGATCTTTGGTCCTTGACCAACGGTGCTTGGAAGATTAACAAAACCGGCTTGATTTGTATCGGTCTTTTGTTCGTAACGATGACCAATAGTATAAGAAGGAGAATTAGAACTTGATGGATTATTAGGGTTGCCATAATCACTTGGACCGGGTGTAACTGCAATGTCGCCTTCGCGTGGACGAATGTGCATCGAGATGCCTTGGCCATTCGTGATGTCGCGGCTGATGGCATAGTCACTTGGACCTGGTGTGACTTCGACTTTAGGATCAATGCCGCGACGACCAATTGTTGGACTTGGTGATGATTTACGAGTGGCATCGTAGTCTGGATTGTAGCCTGCTGGACCTGGAGAATCGGTGCCGGCACCTGGAAGTGGTGTTCGGCCTTTGATCGTGATTGGGGTGACACCATCAACACCGGACTTGTTCAATGTGTTGTATTGACCTGGACCTGGTGTAACTTCAATCTTGCCATCTGGAGAGCGAGATCCAATGGTGACACCGCGACTGCTCTCAGCAAGTGATGGAGGAACATAGTTTGGTCCTGGAGTGGGTTCAAGATCACGTGCTTCATGACGTGATGACATCGAAATCTTTGGTCCTTGACCAACGGTACTTGGAAGATTGACGAAACCGGCTTGATTAGTGTCTGTCTTTTGTTCGTAACGATGACCAATAGTGAATGATGGTGAATTAGAATTAGCTGGATTATTAGGGTTTCCATAGTCACTTGGACCGGGTGTAACGGCAATGTCGCCTTCGCGTGGACGAATGTGCATCGAGATACCTTGACCACCATTTGTGATATCACGGCTAATCTCGTAATCACTTGGACCTGGAGTGACTGGGATCTTTGGATCAATGCCACGACGTCCAATAGTTGGACTTGGAGAACCACGACGTGTAGAGTTGTAATCGGGACTGTATCCAGCAGGACCTGGTGAATCAACTGATGTTTCTGGCATGTAATTACGTCCCTTGATTGTGATTGGAGTGACACCATCAACACCGGATTTATTGAGAGTGTCATATTGGCCTGGACCTGGAGTGATCTCGGTCTTGCCATCGGGTGAACGATGTCCAATTGTTACTCCACGGCTGCTCTCAGCAAGAGACGGAGGAACATAATTTGGACCTGGTGTTGGTTCAACGTCACGTGCTTCATGACGTGATGACATTGAGATCTTTGGTCCTTGACCAACGGTGCTTGGAAGATTAACAAAACCGGCTTGATTTGTATCGGTCTTTTGTTCGTAACGATGACCAATAGTATAAGAAGGAGAATTAGAACTTGATGGATTATTAGGGTTGCCATAATCACTTGGACCGGGTGTAACTGCAATGTCGCCTTCGCGTGGACGAATGTGCATCGAGATGCCTTGGCCATTCGTGATGTCGCGGCTGATGGCATAGTCACTTGGACCTGGTGTGACTTCGACTTTAGGATCAATGCCGCGACGACCAATTGTTGGACTTGGTGATGATTTACGAGTGGCATCGTAGTCTGGATTGTAGCCTGCTGGACCTGGAGAATCGGTGCCGGCACCTGGAAGTGGTGTTCGGCCTTTGATCGTGATTGGGGTGACACCATCAACACCGGACTTGTTCAATGTGTTGTATTGACCTGGACCTGGTGTAACTTCAATCTTGCCATCTGGAGAGCGAGATCCAATTGATATTCCTCTTGCTGATTGTGCCATGGAAGGTGGTACATAGTTTGGACCTGGTGTTGCTTCAACATCACGAGCTTCATGGCGAGAAGACATGGAAATCTTCGGTCCTTGACCAACTGTACTTGGAAGATTTACGAAACCAGCTTGATTTGTATCTGTTTTTTGATCATAACGATGACCGATTGTATATGATGGTGAGTTAAAATTTGCTGGGTTATTTGGTGATCCATAATCACTTGGTCCTGGAGTTACAGCGATTCCGCTCTCACGTGGGCGAATATGCATCGAAATTCCTTGCCCATTTGTAATATCTCGACTAATTTGATAATCACTAGGACCTGGAGTAATTTGTTTCTTTGGTTCACTTGCGCGTCTGCCTATAGTTGGTGATCGTGAAGATCTGCGTGTTGCTTTATAATCTGGTGAATATCCAGCAGGTCCAGGTGAATCTACATTCGATTCTGGTAATTTTGTTCTATTTCTAATTGAAACCCTCGCTGTAGAAGGAGCATCACGAGGTGTATATTGGCCAGGACCTGGTGTAGACTCGGTTTTTCTATCACCATATCGTGGAGATACATGTATTGGTGTTGTTTCTGAACCAAAATTCTTAGGTATGTAATTAGGTCCAGGTGTATCAATTTTTGGTAGTGAATCATGACGACTTTTCATTGAAATTTTTGGTCCTCGGCCTATTGTCGATTCTAAATTTACGTATTCTGCATCAATTGCTTCTATTTTTTGTTTATATCGATTTTTAATTGTCCATGCTGGTGATTCTGATCCTGGACGTCTTCTGGTGGAATAAGCCGCAGGTCCTGGACTATGCGACCTATTTCCAACGAGACGTACCATCAGCCCATTAGACATTCTCTTTAGAAATTTACTAACGTATCAGAATTTTTTTTATATTTTTCAGCACTTTTGACAAAAATCCACTTTACATAGATTTCGTAATGAGGAGCCTTTCATTGTGATGGCTTTATTTGTATCAAAAAAAAAAAAAAAAAAAAAAGGGAGTGGGGCCTCCAGGCACTTCGTGCCCTCTAGCCCTGAAGATGTTTAGTATAAATGAAGTTTTTATTCGGAAAATTGTTAGTCTTCTGGTGTGAATTCGGAGGACTCTTCTTCTTCCTCCATTGCTTCTGGGAAGAAGCCTTCTTCTGGGTCGAAAACATTATATAATGTGTGGCTTTTCACAAATTATATATGTTTTCATGTTTTGTCACTTTTCTGTCACTTTTCAGGGAAAACATTTTTATTATTATATATAAATGAATTTTACAAAACCACCGTTACCGTTCTTTGGAAATAAGAGTAAATGTAAAGATATTATATTGAGAGAACTTAAGAAACTACCGAATGGTCTAACATTTGTAGATTTGTTCGGTGGAAGTTTCTATATATCCCATTTGTGCCATACAATATTCCCAGACTCAAAGATTATATGCAATGACTTCGACAACTATATGGACCGTCTCAAACATATACCAGACACAAACAATATATTGAAAGAGTTAAAAGAAAAGATACCTATAGGTAAGATGGAACGTATACCATTAGATAACAAAAATATTGTGAGAGAAGTTTTGAAAAAAGCAGAATATATAGACTGGGATAGTATATCTGCTAGACTATTATATAGTGGTTCTATAAGAGTTCATGACATTGAAACACTTATGTCAAAAGTTTTATATCTTAACTATACAAATGTTTTCAAAGAGGACATAGAAAAATATATTGAGGGTATAGAGTTTGTGAGATGTTATTGGACAGAGTTGTATGAAAAATATAAAGACAAGGAAAATGTTTTCTTTATAGTGGACCCGCCGTTCTATAACACATGGGATTTTCAATACCAAGTAGACTGGACTTTGAGAGACTCTTTAGAAACTTTAGACGTTTTACATAACCATCCATGCTTTTACTTTACATCCGATAAAAGTGGTTTGGAAACCGTTATGAGATGGTTAGAGGACATACATGACTATGAGTTTAGATATGACAAGATAGAATATGAGAGAGGTCCTATAAACCGGAGAAAGTGTCATAACAAAGAAATTTTATTAGTAAGTAAATGTGGTTTGAAATAGGACTACTTGTTTTAGGTTTTTTCCATTGTGTCATTTATTTATTTGACGTGGCAGAAAAGTACAGAGAATATGAAGATGAACCAATGCCTGCAAATGTTCAGTATATGTACTCGTAAGAGATATTTTTATCTAATATTAAATGGACGCACAGAACTTAGCGAATGCACAGCAACCTGGACAACCAAACCCAGAGAATATTCCAAATGAAGTTAGAATACAAACTGCAATGGCAAACTATGGTCAAGTGCCAACAGATGTACAAATGCAAACTGCCATGTCAAATGACGCTGCGTTAGGTTTGCCACCATGGTATGCAAATATGAGATGGAAAGAGTTTTATACAAACCCTGAAGTGGGATATAAAACAACTTTATGCAGATGACGCGAACACAGGAGTTGACCCAGAATATGTTTTCTACCAGAGGAGAAACAGAATGTATGAGCTCCAGTTAAAGAATGCTATGGAACTCAACAGGAAACGCAAAAGACTAGGCGGACATTAGATTTTTACATATAGTAAAATGGGTTTCTTCAGTAGTATTGGAAACTTCTTCAGAAGAGTTGGAAGAGGTATATGGAATGGAATAAAAACCGTAGGAAGAGGAATTTGGAACGGTGTCAAAAATATTGGTAAAAGGGTAGGTCAGTTTGTTGGTATTATACCTAAAGACCCTGAACCAGAAGAACAAGCTCCTGTTATACAACAGCCTGAACCTGCACCACAGTCTAGTTGGCAACCAAATCCAACACCTCAACCGTATTAAAAAATTATATTTTTACCGTTCGATAGTAGTTGTATATGAAACTAAGTTCTAAGTAAAACGCGTGGTATAATGGAATTATTCTTTTTCTTCCATCTGTAGTAAACCATACTTGAAAGTCTGAAATACTTCCACTTGGTGGTTCGTATAACTTTGTAGGTTTTTCGTAAAAGTCATTCATCAGACATAAGAAAGAGTTTTGGGCGCCAGAAAATGAAGCATGAACAATAATAGCATCTTGGTCGAAAACATTTTCATATGTTCCATTAGGGTTTTCGACTTCATAAAAGTCTGGGTGTACTGGATATGCTGCAGGCTGATTTAACATCCTCATAAATCTATACCATGCCAAGTTGTTATATTTTGTAGAAATATAAACGTTTTCTCCAAGGTCTTCTATTTTATTGATTTTAACAGTTGCATTTTTCCTGTCATAAATAATATCGAGATGGTACTCTCCCTCGTCAATGTTATACTGGTTTGCATATTCGATATAGATATCGTTTATTTTTTCTTGAAAAGCTTGAAGAGTTGTTTCTAAGTTTACAAGCAAACTAACTTGTAAAAGTTTTCCCTGTTCAAATTTCTCATACATACGTTTTTCTTTGTTATAGTATCGAACTTCAAAACCGACCGTAAATGGGAAACCATGTATGGCTTCTGAAATGAACTTCATTCTACGAAAGCCAATAGCTTTTGTGACAGATGGGTCTCTTAGCCATCTTAATGGGTAGTCAAAACGATAGCCTTCATGCTTTACGGTCTCTGTCTCAAACTTTTGACCGACATTAGTAAAAAGTTCATCTAATGGTTTAGTTGTAGCAACTCTTGAATTTTCTTTTTCTATTGGAAGCATATTTTATCTAGAATAAAAATGTCAAATGAAACAGCGTCTATGAGAGAAATACAACACAACCGACAACTCATTATGCAAGCTCTAAATAAGAACACAACAAACTTTTCAAACTATTCTAAGATATCTGAGTCATTGAAAGAAGGAAACTTAAAACTGACATTAAACCCAATGACAGATGAGTTTCTGTTTCAAGACAATAAGAACCATACTGTCTGTATAAATCCAACAAAAGGAACTTTAAACGAGAAACCTATAAATGAACTTCTTTTGAAAGCAGATGTTGACAACAAAGCTGACAAAGAATATGTAGACGATGCAATAGCAAAAGAAGAAGAAAGAGCTAACAATGCTTATGCAACAAAAGAACATACTCATCCTGAACTAGCAGACAAAACATATGTTGACAATAAAATGTCAAGTGAAGTGACAAGAGCTGAAAACGAATATTCTAAAAAGACTCATACACATTCTATATCTGAAATAACAGACTTACAAGAAACCTTAAACAGTAAAAGTGCCGTTGGACATACACATACCATTGCAAATATTACAAACTTACAAGAAACCTTAAACAGGAAAAGTGCCGTTGGACATACACATTCTATATCTGAAATAACAGACTTACAAGAAACCTTAAACAGTAAAAGTGCCGTTGGACATACACATACCATTGCAAATATTACAAACTTACAAGAAACCTTAAACAGGAAAAGTGCCGTTGGACATACACATTCTATATCTGAAATAACAGACTTAAACGTTAGCCTTGAAAAGAAAGCAGATAAAACATATGTCAATGAAATATACCAAAGTTTGATAGGAACAACAAAAAATATTGAAACTATTGTTGGTGACTTTTCTGTCAATGAAGAAAATAAATATTTTAGATGGCAGTTTGTACATTCCTTAAAAAATGGTATACGGTATAAACTCATTCCGAAAAATAACAATGAAATGTATGTAAGCTATATAAAGAATAATGGTACACAAGTTAAAGTTCCATTAGACAACAACTGCTACTTAAACTTATATGGAGACGAACAAAAGAAATATTTCCGAGTTTATGAAATGGCAGATATGACATTGCCTGACCCAGCTCCAGCACCATATTATTATGACTATGTAGATGACGAAGGAACACTACATGCAGATGAACAAAAGCAAACATTATATTTAGATTATAATAGATATAAAGATATAATGCAATAGAAAAACGAGAATAGTATATTATTATATAGATGACAGAAATAAATATTATAGTCAAGATTTTACCCACCCTGAAAACATAAGATTATATTATAAAAATATTCTGACACAACCCAGAAGAAACCTGAAATAGTTGCACTATATTTTAAGTTCAAAAGAGCAAATCCTATAATATCTCATATGTTTGATTTAATGAACCCAGTAGGTTCTATTTATACATCTATGGATGCAAGAGGTCCTCAAGTAATGTTTGGTGTTGGTGCATGGGAACAAATAGTCGACAGGTTTTTGTATTGTGCAAACTCTTCAAAGGAAACAGGTGGAAGTAAAACGATTTCAGGTGAAAATTTACCTGCGCACAGTCACTACATAGATTTAAGTACATCTCAAGCGGGTTGGCATAAGCATAGATATTGGGATTGGTCAGGAATGACAAAAGGGAAAGGATATGATGTTGAAGATAACGTTAAGTTTGCTATAAATTGTTACTGGGATGACACTCAGGGAGAAGGAAACCATACACATCGCGTTTCAGGATATACGCAAAACAACGGGACAAAGTAAAGAATACATGCCACCTTACATGACAGTTTACGCATGGTATAGAATTGCTTAGTCGTCATTTTCAACTTCTTTAGCATATTCGTCAGGAGTTGTCTTAATATTTGTTAGGAACTGTTTTTTGAAAGTATACCACTTGAACTTTGACAAGTTTTGAAACGAGGTCTGACAATAGTCGTTTTATCTTCTGCTTGCAGTGTGTACATTTTGCCATGTTTGCCTAAAACTTCATAATATTCTCTTGTATACTTTCTTCTATTTTTACGAACACGAATGTGAGTACCTGTCGGGTTCCCATTGTTGTCATAGTCAATAGTATTTTCATATGGGTCGCGTTTTAGGTATTTCTATTTTTACTTTGTCACCTTTCTGAAGTTTGAAGCCCGGCATTCT